TGGCCCTGCCTGTCCTTTCTCCTGCCTTGCTATTGGCTGTTTAGCTCTTTATTAGACCAATCAATCAGTTCTTTCGGACAGGCAAAGTAGCACAGCTTCACAGAGTTAAACAAATGCAACAGAAGAATGCAATACATCTTTGCATCATTAAACAAATAATTCCACAGCACAAACAAATGTAACACATCTTAAAATAATATTCTACAACAGAGGAGGAAGAGATTGTAGGAACTGAAGGGATGGAGGACACCCAGGATAACATAGCCCACAGAATCAACTAAGCCGGACTCACAGGGGCCTACAGAGACTGAAGTGACAATCAGGGAGCTTGTACAGGTCTGAGCTAGGCCCTCTGCATATAACTCATGGTTTTATGTCTTGGTGTTCTCATGGGACTCCCAACAGTGGGAGTGGGGGGGGGGTGTCTGACTCTTTTGCCTGCTGTTTGGAACCTTTTCCCCCGATTGTCTTATCCAGCCTTGTCAATGTCTAGTCTTATTGCAACTTGGTATGTGTTCACTTGATATCCCTGGGAGGCCTATTTTCTAAAGGGAAACAGATCAGTGGATCTGGGGGAGAGGGGAGATGGGGGGCACTAAGAGGAGGGAGGGGAGACTGTGGTCAGGGTGTATTGTATGAGAGAAGAATAAATAAAAAGAAAAAAGAAAAATGAACAAAGAAGAAAAAAATGTCTTGGCCATGTTTACGGATTCCAACAGTGGGGATTTGAGTCAAATGAGCCTTTTTTTGGCTTTTCTTCCCAGCTTTCTTCATTCAGCTTCTCTGAATTGTGAATAGAGAACAACTTAAGCATTGGTCTTCTGTGTGTCTGTTTTGTATTTTGAAGTTGAGACATTCAAAGCGAGTGTCATGGGCAGCACTCCAATGCTCAGGGTTTGTTGCTAAGAGCTGAGCACCGATGGCTACCCACAAAACGGATCATTTAGGAAAACTGATGAGATCTTAGCCTTAAAACTCCTCCAAAGCCCTATTGGTCAGATGGAAGTGTATCTACATTATGTTATCATAAAATATGCATGCACAATGGTTTCCAACTGGATAAGTAATCAGTGACATTCACGCTTTTCTGATCTAAGGTTTTTTCAAATGATACATTTTGTTTATTCTATGAAAATGGCATGGAGGTATACAATGTATCTTGAGAGTCACCCTCCACATTCCCCTTCGAATTCCCCAACACATCTCCCCCTCATTTTCATGTTCTTTTAATTTATGTATTATTAGTTGTAATCCACTGGGTGCAGTTAGAGCTGTCTGTATGCACATGGGTGTTATCCATTGGAGCATGGGAAGCCACCTCTGACACAGAAAAGTGACTGTCCCTTCCCCAGCAGACAATGAGATGTGATGGCTCGTCCCTTTAGTCCCAACACTTGGGAGGTAGACTCCTGAGTTTGAGGCTAGCCTGGTCTACAGAGCTAGTTCCAGAACAGTTGAGGCTTCACAGAAACTCCGTCTTGAAAAACCAAAAACCAAACCAAAACAAACAAACAAAAATTGTTCCATAATGAACATTATGTTAGGTACATCTTTTCGCTTCCCAGTAAAGAAAGAAGCTGAATTATCAGGAGGAGAAAAGAAACAAATGTAAAGGACTTGAGGACAAGCATGTACAGTACTCACGTTGGTTTTCAGCCCTCAGTATTCAGCATGGACCTAAGCGCACATGAGCGACCATATTAAATACTTGCCGTGGTTACAGTGGCAAGAGGGATTATCTGTAACTGTGCATGTTCCTTTTTTGTGTGGATGGGTTGGAAATTAGTGGCAAATTGAACTCTAGGTTAAATACAATCAAATAAAAATATATCATGGTGAAGAATTGATTGGAGAATTGAGAAATCACATTTTTGCTTCTTTGGGGGAACTAAGTCACCAGAGGAGACTAGAGTGACTTTTTTCTCTAAACATCCCTAGCAGCTGCCCCTAGCTCATTTTGCTCCATGACCACTTGTGTGTCTGTCTTGCTCTCAGCACCCAGCCACATAGAGGACAGGGGCCTTATTAATTGTTTCTGGGTGTGTGGTTTCTGGCAAAAGTCTTCAAAAGACATTACTTCCATCCGCTCAGCCAGTTGATGGTCTAAATTCGGAGTGGATGGGTGAGTTTTCCCTAAAGTATGCTGGCCCGGGACCCAAGGCTTGCCTCAGATTGGGAGGCTGCTCTGTTTAGAAGGTAATCATCAACAAAATGTTATGAAACCCATCTAATTCAATTCACTCAAGGCCCCTGAGAATTGGGATAAGGTGACATTCAGTGAAAGAATGACTGAGTCACACATTTACATGTCGCCTAGCCCACGGATGTGTAAGAGCTGACCTTCAACCCTAATGTGTAAGACCTGACCTTCAACCCTAATGTGTAAGACCTGACCTTCAACCCGAATGTGTAAAACCCTCTTCGCTTCCTAAGACTGGCAGGTAGCATCCCACCAAACCCACAGTGTTCTTTTGTGAATTCTGTCAGAGGCATCACGATATATTACTCTGTTTATCACCTGTTGGTTCCCTTTTATCCTGGACTCTGCTGAAGTCTAGCTATCTAGACATTCCCAGATGTCTAAGACCCTTGAGGGAACCCTGTTCCATGGTAGGTTCTATGTCTCTGATATCATATCTGACACAGGGGTGGTATGTGACGACATTTTATGTCTCAGTGCGTGAATGAACAAACAGGTGAGTGTGTGACAGTGACAAGGACCCACTCAGTCAGCTAGCTGATGGGAAGAAAAAGCCAGCATTAATAATTTCTCTGTTCAGTTGGCAGGGTGCTTGCCTATCATAGACAAGACCCTGAGCTCCAGCCTTAGCACTGAGTAACCCTGGTGTGGAAGCACACTCCTGTAACACCAGACAGGAGGGTCAGAAGTTCAGGGCCAGCCTGAGCAATTTATTAGAGGACACCTGGGCCACAAGAGGCCCTGTAGGTTAAATACTTTATTTCTTTATTTAGATTGTCTTGTAGGTGATGAGCACCTGTATTGTTGAAACTGAGAGCTTTTATCAAAGTAAAGAAACAATTCTTACTTCATGTGACTCTTAGGGAGATGGAGAAACAGTCCATATGAAGTGGTTGCTTTTATGGACTTTAATCCCAACACTTGGGAGGCAGAGGCAGGTGGAGGACTGTGATTCTGAGGCTAGCCTGGTCTACATAGTGGTTTCTAGGCTAGCTAAAGCTGCAGAGTGAAATCCTGTCTGCAATTAAAAGGAAAGAAAGAAAAGTAAATAAGCTGCCATATGACAGGTAGCTCCTTAGTCACCAATGAGAAGAAATTCAGGTGAGCAACTTTGCAAGTGGTTGGCCATCAGCTATTCCCAGAAGTTCAACTGAATAACCAAGGTCTGACAACTTTTCTTCTTTGTTTGGTTTGTGAGGCCATTTAGCCAATCCATCCACACAGAGGCATTAGTGACTGACATTTGCATGACTGAACAAAGATGCCCTCATTAGTGTGGGATGTGGCAGTGTTTTAAAAAGCAGCTGGCCTGTCCTCCTCCTTCCCCCCCATCCCCCCCACCCGTCATTAGATGGTGGAGTTATAGGAAACACTTGCATTGAGCCTGCGGCTATAATTTAGGACATCTCCTTGCCTAATCCACCGGCCTGGACCAATTACCCAGAGAGAACCCTCATCGCTGCCCCTGTGCAGGGACTCCTTTAACCTCTCCTTGTTACCTGAACTTGTGCTACTGAGAGTGCAGGTGGTGGGATTGTAGGGAACGGAGCCCTTGTCTGCTCGCACAGAAGAGTTAGCTGACTCCAACCCAACCTTGTGGCTTTCTGAGGGCAGTGGGATTCCTAATCACATCTGTTTTGTTCGAGGGCTGAACCCCTCCATTCTCTGGATCGAGTTCTGTGGGTGACTTAGCCATCATCTTGCTTCCATTTAAGACTTCAAAGCTGAGTAATGCTTCCTAGGACTCACACACACACACACACACACACACACACACACACACACACACACACACACACACACACAGAGAAGAAAAACCCCTTTGAAGTCTACCCCACCCAATCTGTCCAATGTCTTCCTCAGAGGGATCTCATCAGTCTTTTGGCCTTATTGCCAGTCAGTGGCCCTGAGACCAATTTTTGTGTGACTAATACTCTCTCCCGCCATACAATGCTTCAAAATCCAAGAACCCTTGGATGACCAGAAATGTACTTTATATGAGGTAATTAAGTGTCCTCTTTGCGATTGAGCTTGCTTCCTTGTACCCTCACTTCTGAGGCAAGAGAAAAAACAGACATCTTCTCCCTCAGAACCACATTGTGACAAAAGCCTGGCCCAATTGGGCCTCTGTTTTCCTCACCCATCCCCATGTGTTTAGACACTTGTTCCAGATACCCAGTCCAGCTGGGTCCCTGCCAGGAAGACAGACAGGCAGCTATTGAAAGAACCCTTAAAACTTGTGATAAAGATGCTGAAGAGCTATTCTTCACAGCTGACGGCTTCTGGAAGAGAGAGGGGCGGGGGGAAGACTCAGTTATCTTTAAGGGGCTTGCCACTGAGTGTTTGACCTTGTTCCAGTGAGTATACGGGCAACACAAACTGGACTTGAGCACTTTTTTTCTTTTTTGTGGGGGAGGGCACAAGCGTGGGAGGGTGGACCTGAGTGGAATGGGAAGCAAGCATCATCAGTATGCACTGTCTAAACTTTCCAAACAATCAATCAAAATATTCTGTTGGGAGAAAAATAATGCAGATTCCTAATTCTCACCCATTGACTTGAATCTGATTTTTTCCAAATTCCAGGCTCAGAAATCCAAACTTAGCAAGTTTTAGAGGAGTCTGGCAAGGACTCTGTATTGTAAGAACAGTCTCTTTGGAGTTTTAATTTTCTTAGAAAACTGTTGGTGTGAGGCCCTGGAGCCCAAGCCTCCCAGCTCTAGGATGGGTATCCAGAGTCTGCCGATGGCTGGGATCTGCCCCGTGACTCGGCTGGGCTGAGGTGTCTTGCAGTAAGCAAGTAGGGATGACTAAGTGAAGAGACCCTGCGTGCTGCTTGTGCTCAGCCACTCTCTGTCCTGCTGTGGAGACATCATGTTGCTGGTGTTAAACCTACTTCTTCAAGATCTGAGGACTAGCTGAGACATCCAGCTCATGGACTGAACAACTACTGGATTCTTGACCTTGCCACCAGGAGATGGCCGTTGTTGGACCACAGCCTGTAAGCCATTCTAACAATTCTGTTCTAATAAATAGATGTATTTTAACAGCTCTGTTTCTCTAGAGAGCCCCTGCAGACACGCTGCTCTTCTACAGCCGCCGTCAGAGAAGCTACCTCCTGCAGCAGATGGGAGCAAATACAGAGACCCACAGCTCGACGATGTGCAGAGAGTGCGAGACCTTGGAACACTCAGTCCTACATGGGATATCTCCATCAAAGCGGCCCACTCAGGGCTCAGGGAACTCTATGGAAGAGGAGGTGGCAAAGCAGTTAGATCCTGTGGTGATGTAAGACACACAATAAACAAGGCCTTTTAATACAACAGGACTGATGCACATATGTCACAGAGGCTGTGACAGCATGCATAGGACCTGCATGCACACGTCTGAGCTGGATGGGGTCCCAGCCCCGAGGTCAGAAGTGGACACAAGGCACCATCCCTCATCCCAGAACCATTTTCAATTGATAACTGCTTACAAAGGGAAAACTATAGCTTTCTCTTAGGAGTCTTACAGGTCTTTTGCTTATATAGTATGTTTTTTTAAATTTTTTTATTTTGTGTTTAAGTGGGATTTCTGAGTGTGAGAATGTGTGTGTCTCTGTATCTGTATGTTTCTTGTGCATTTTCTTTGGCTCTTTTTTTCCTGCTTGTTCTGTCATATTTTGGAAATTTATTTATTTATAGTGCCTATTTTCTTTTTAAAACATATTTTTAAAGATTTATTTATTATGTATATAGTATTCTGTTTGCATGTCAGAAGAGGGCACCGAATCTCACTATAGATAGTTGTAAGCCATAATATGGTTGCTAGGAATTGAACTCAGGACCTCTGGAAGAGCAGTCAGTGCTCTTAACCTCTGAGCCATCTCTCCAGCTCCTGCCTGTTTATTTTCTAATGAGATAGAGAAAGAAGGGGTGTGGATTTGGGTTTGTTGGGACGTGGGGAGGACCTGGGAGGAGTTGGGCGAGGGAAACATCAATAAATACTGTATGAAAAATCTATATTCAATAGAAAACAAACATAAACCATGGCTCTTCTATAGAACCCAAATTAGGGTCCCAGCACCCACATTATGCGACTCACACAGGCCTGTAAGTCCGGCTCCAGGGGAATCCGACCCCTTTTTCTGGCTTCTGAGGGCACCTGCACTTACGTGCACACATCTGCACACACAGATGTACGTGTTTTAAAAGCGGATGAGCCTTGCTCTGCATATGTTGGAGCCCCTGTTACTGAGAGGATCTTGACAGGAAGAGCTACAGCTGTACTGTGTTAGAGCTGACAGCCAAAGCCAGGGTCCCGTTTGTGTCGCAGAAAGAGCCTGGCAATGAAGGCATGAAAGCAGAAGGGGGACCACGCCATCGAGGAGCAGATGAAGGGGGAGGACTTACAAGTTCCCCAGTGCAGCCCCATGGGACCTGGCCTGGGCTTTAGTGAGATAGGAGAGCGCTGGGCCACAGTGGGTGTTTTGTCACCTTCCACCTGCCTGTTCTCTTCTGCCATCACCTACCTCTTATGCTCGCTGACATCAACAGAAGTCTCTCCATCCAACACCTTAGAGAAAACTGTGAATTCTTCTCTTCCTAGAAGCACAGTAACTCATTGTCTACTGTGTGTCAGTCACTAGGGGCACACAGAACAAAGCAAGGACTTTGCCCCGCCAGAGTTTGCATTTTACTGGGAAACCATAAACCCTTCTAACAAGGACTTATGACTCCTGCCTCACTCTCTAGACACAGAAGGATGATGAAGAACGTGTGGGGCTGTAAATAGCTGGTAACTAATTAACATCTGCAATCAAGTCCATACGGGACCTGTAAGAATTCTATACCTTTCCTGGATACTTCTTTTTATTCGGTTATATGAAGAATATATATCTTTCCTATATGTGGCTTGCCCTTTAATTATGCTAGATATTTGGCCCAAAGATTAACTTTTTAAAAAGAGTATCTACCACCAGTATTAAAAGCAATCATTAACACCTTTACCTGAAGCCCTGAGTCCTGGCACCACAGTAACAAGGTTGTGCTGGGTGTGATGGTGAGAGCTAATAATCTTTAGGTTCCACCCTCTAGAGCCTAAAGCAGGAAGACCAGGAGTTCAAGGTCATCCTTGGCTACATAGCGAGCCAACCTGTGCTACATGAGGCCTTGTCCCCCAAAAAGGAAGAAGATTAAATTTTGATATAGCCAAATTAATTTTTCTTTATAATTTTAAAGCTTTTTTTCTTGTTATTTATGCAACTTTACTTGGCCTCAAAGCTTGGGATTTGTGACTCTCCACCTTTATATAGAGTTTACATTTTTCTGAACACCACAGGGTAAGAGTTTAATGTATCCCTCAGACAGAAATGCAATTTTCCTATTTGTTAAAGTGAAAAAGGTTTCCCTCCAGCAGGTTTGATTCCCACATACACATGCATGTCTTCTGTTCTATTCCATTCTAGAAACCCTGAGATCTTTCTATGGGCCATATGATATTCCCTAATGACTGTAACTTTGAAAAGGTTCTTGATATTTCTGTTATATCGATCCCTGCCTCTTTAATCTTTCTTTCCAACATTTTCTTACTTACTCCTGGAGGTTTGCTGTTTTGTGTAAATTTCTAAGGTAACCTTTGAAGCCCCCATGAGAACATTTGGAGGATCTTTACTGAAATGGCATTGAACTTAGAGACTAACATCAGACTAGTCATTAATATTTTATTTTTATAGATGAGAGAGAATATGGAGAAAGAACGAGAAAGTAGGGAGAGAGAAAAGATGTGTCATAAATGTAATTTGTAACAATTCCATAAAACTTAGTTTGTCTTTGACTGTCGACATATAGTATTATCACTTTGAGGATTATACACAATTCTGTCCCTAATGGCTATCGTATATTCATTTCACTACTAATTTTTCAAACTTTCTCCCAGTCCCTGGGTCATGAGCTTTTAGAGCATGCTTCTTTGTTCTCATCCTGAAAGTGTCATTCTTTCTCGCAGACTGTAATTACTAGGCAATACAGTACCTTCAGAAGGGCCAAAGTTCCCTCGGTAACAGTCAGAGCAAGGTCCGGTAGGCTTTTATGGCAAGGAGTCTTTGCTACATCCAGCTCATTTGCAACAATGCCTTGGACGAGACCTGCCCGTGTTCTCTTTCTGATCTTGTTTTCTGCCCACATAGCAGCTGTATCGGTAAGCAGGTGTCTACTTCTATGGAAATTTAACCGCATCAGCTCTAGCCTAAGTTAACTACTTTGTGTACGTTTATCTCCCTCCAGATTAAGCATCTTTTGAACGAACATGGTAAGAGGCATTTCATATGAAGTTTTTCTGAGTTTTCCTCAACAAGGTTAGTAACAGTTTTTCTTCATATTTTTTGACAGACCACGATATAGATGGCAAACAGAAGGATATTTCAGAAATCAACCAAGGTGAGCTCGATTTCTGAAATATTGAGACCTTCAAATCCTTTGTTTATTAATTAATTGATTGATTAACTAATTTGAGACAAGGTCTCTCTGTGCAGTGCTGGATGACTGGAAATTGCTAAAGTAACCCGGGGTAGACTTAAGGAAGCCATCCAGCCTTCTGCCTCTGCCTCCAGAGTACCAGGTCCATCCATAGGCACCAGCATGCCTAACCTGAGAGGATTTCAAGCCCAGTGATAGGGTTACCTTTTTGAGAGACAAGTTAATTGGGGCCGACTGGCATTAGAAGTTTCTAGGAAATGATGATGCCTGGGAGAAAGAGGATTGCGTTAGATTGTGTGTTCGCTCATGCCATTGCCGTTGCATGCATGTGTGTGGAAAACGGAAGTCAGTTCTAGCTATGGTTCTTCAGGATCTGCCCACTTCGTATTTTGAGACCGGATCTCTTTGGCCTGTGTCGTGCCAAGCAAATTAGACTGACTAGTCAGTAAGACCCAAGGGTCCACGTGCTTCTGTCTCCCTGTCTTTGGAATCAAAAGTACGCCTGGGTTCTGGGGCTCAAAGCCAGGCCCCCATGCTTGCTCAGCATTCATTTTACCAACTGAACCATCATCCCAGGCCCTAGATCAGCTTTTTCTAAGAGAGATAATGAACCCTACTAGATCTAAGACCCCATAACCTAACAAGTTTTCTGCTTGTGAAGATTTCATATCTTCTAGTTTGAAATTAGAGGGAAGAAGAATGGGTAATTATTCAACTTGCTAAAAATTATACAGAATAAGCAGATAGTTCTACTTAATGGGAGAAACATCCCAAGCCTGGACTGGTCCGTCATATGTGCTAGTGATGAGGTGACTAGTTGACAAGGCATAGAGAGGTGGCGAGGGGGGGGGTAAATGTTTTTCTGCTTGGAGTGTTTGTTCAGAAATGTATTTATTGAGGAAACCCATGTGGTCATCCATTACGGAGAGGAAAGGCTTTGAGGTTGCCTGTCTTCCTTCTGTGTTCTGCTTCTGGGATTTCAGAGATGCCTTTGCATCTTGACATCTTTGACTGGGACTGGTGTCAGTGGAGGGACACCTGATCACTAACACCTTAGAGTTTGCAAAGACATTCATATCCAGTGTCACCACCATCTTGTAATGTGGACAATTCTGTTTCCCCTTTTGCGGGAAGGGACAGGGTACTCTCCACGGTTAGAGACCCTGTTCACAGTGCTGTAAAGAGGTCTCCTCCTCCTCCCTAGGGTGCCCCTCCTCCATTTCCTGCTCCAGTCCAAGTGCTAGGAAATGCACCTGTTTGCACACAGCAGACCCAGGTAGCAGTATGGCTGAATTAGCATGAAGCACCCATATGGAAAAATCAGCTCCAAATCTGTTCCTACTGATGGTGACGTTGCAATGGCTTTGCAGCTGGTTGTTATTTAATTTCCTGTTATCATGTAACTAGGTCAGGATTACCAGGGTTGAGTACATCTGTGGAATGTATGCATACAGAAGTGAGTAGAGCAGTGGCAGCCTTTGTCCTGGACAGGTGAAACCATGGTCCCTTGTGTTTTTTTTCAAGATAGGGTTTCTCTGTAGCTTTGGAGCCTGTCCTGGGACTTGATATGTGGACCAGGCTGGCCTCGAGCTCACAGAGACCCAACTGCCTCTGCCTCCCAAGTGCTAGGATTAAAGGTGTGAGCCACCACTGCCCAGCTGCCATGCTTCCTTCTAATACCTAACCCCTCTTAAGTGTCATTTGTAAGAAGCTATATACTTTGTAGAATAAGACTTCTGTTACTACATAGGGGATTCGTCTCTGGATTGGTTTCCTACTTGTAAGCCAAGGGTTGTCCTCAGATTGCTATGCAATCCAATGATCTCATCTGAAGCTTTCTATGTTTTAAAGGTAATACTGCTTGTCCATGAGGTTACAAAAGATGGAGTCATCAGGCTGGGGAAGTAACTCAGTTGGTAGGGGTGCCTAGCATGTGGAGTCTGATCCTCAGCACCCCTATAGTGGGTCTTGTCTTAGTTACGGATACTATTACTGTGAAGAGGCACCATGACCACAGCGACTCTGATAAAAAAAAAAAAACATTTAGTTGGGGTAGCTTACAGTTTCAGAGGTTAAGTCTGTTATCATCATGGCAGCATTAGGGCAAACATAGTGCCAGAGAAGGAGCTGAGAGTTTTACATCTTGATCCACAGGCTATAGGAAGTGGACTGTATGCACAACAGGTATAGCTTGAACATATGTGAGACCTCAAAGCCCACCTCCACAGTGACACACTTCCTCCAACAAAGCCACACGTATTCCATCAAGGCTGTACCTCCTACTAGTATAACTCTCAATGGGCCAAGCACCCAAAAACACATGAGTCCATAGGGTCATATTTATTCAAACCATATTCCACCCCCTAGTTCCCATAGGCTTGTAGCCACACACAATGCAAAATGCATTTAGTCTAACTTCTAAGTTCCCATAGTTTATCACAGTCTCAACAATCAAAGTCCAAAGTTCAAAGTCTCATCAGAGATTCATGCAATTTCTTAACAGTAATCCCTTGCAAAATCAAAAAGCAGATCACATATTTCCAACAGGATATACAGTACCATTTCAGAATGGAGGAAAGGGAGGAGAGTGAGGAAACACTGGACCAAAGCAAGACCCAGTCAGCTGAACAAATTCTAAGCTCTGCATCTCCATGGCTGATGTCAAAACCCTCTCCAGATATCCAACTCCTTTAAGTTTTGCTGACAGCAGCACACTTGGGCTGGTTCCGCTCCCTGTTAGCAACTCTCCTCAGCAGGTATCCCAGGGTTCTGTCATCTCCAGCATCTTGGGGTCTCCAAGGCAACCCAGGATTCGCATTTACAGCTTTGCACAACGACCTCCCTCGGCCTCCATGCAGGACACCGCTGCCACACACCCAGCCTCAGTGGTTTCCTTTGTTTTGGTGGGAGAGTCTGTAATCCCTTTCTTTAATCCTTGACTATAAAGCCAGAACCACATGGCTGAAGCTGATTGCTGAGGCTGGAACTTGGCCTCCTTGTTCAATTACATCCTCACGAACTTTGTGATTTTGGTGGTTTCCTTTACTACAGAAGCTTACCTGCTTTTGTCTCAGGCCTTTTTCGCTTTCTTCTGTATATCTTACTTTCTCTGCTTCTCTTGTCTGGCTGGCCGGCAGCTGCCTGGCTTCTGACTCTGGATGTATCCCCTAGTCTCTCCTCCTCCTTCTCTCATTCCTCTCCTGAGCCTAGATTTCTCCTATGTTTATTCTCTCTTCCTGGCTGCCACGTCTACCCCTCTCCTGCCTAGCTATTGGCCATTCAGCATTTTATGAGACCAACCATGTACTTTAGGCAGGCAAGATGAAACAGATATACCACATCTTTACATAACCAAACACAATCTTTACATCATTAAACAAATGCTGCCTAAACAAATGTAACACATCTTTGATTAGTTGAAATAATATTCCACAACACAACAGGATGTGAACCGTGTCCACGCTGGGCATAGTTTGAGCATCTATATGAGACCTCAAAGTCCACCTCCTCAGTGATACACTTCCTCCAACAAGGCCACACCTACTCCAACAACGCCATACCTAATAGTGTAACTCCCTATGGGCCGAGCACTCAAAACACATGAATCTATGGGGCCATATGAATTCAAACCAACAGAAGTGTGATGGCCAATACTGTGGCCCCAGCACTGGGGAAATGGAGACAGGGAGATCTGAGTTCAAGGCCATCCTTGGCCATGTGGACAGGCCATACTCAATCTGAGCCATATGAAATTGTGTTAAAAAACAAGAGTAGACAGAACACTCTAACTCAGTAACCTAGGGGGAAGAGTGTGATGTCTTGTGGTCAGTGTTAACATTTAGTGATCATTAGGTATTTATTTGTATTATTTTGATTTTGTTGTTGTTTTGAGACAGGGTTTCTCTGTGTAGCTCCAGCTGCCCTGGAATTTGCTTTGTAGACCAGGCTGACCTCGAACTCACAGAGATCCACCTGCGTCTGCCTCCTGAGTGCTGGGAGTAAAGTCTGCATGACGTGACTGGTTATTAGGCATTTCTGCTTGGAGCACATTTTAAAGCACCTTTATATGTGTTATCATTTAATTCCCCAGGTCTATACAATTCAGAACATTGTGGTTACTCTTACAGTTAAGGAAATAACATGATGATAATTAATTCAAGGCCAAGACTTGAACCCAGGCAGGCCTAGGTCATGCATTTGGGCAGGGGTGGGGATTCCAGACAGAGTTTCTCTGTGTAGCTTTGAAGCCTGTCATGGAACTCATTCTGTAGACCAGGCTAGCCTCAAACTCACAGAGCTCCACCTGCCTCTGCCTCCCAAGGGCTGGGATTAAAGGTGTGTGTCACCACCACCCAGCTTAGGTTGTGCCTTTTTAATACTGTAAAATTAAAATGGATAAACTAAACATTATTTTAAAAGGTAAGTGGTGTTCTTTAAATGCTTGGGAAGTTTTCCCATGGTCTTTTCCTTTAAGAATCTTATTTTCAGAAGTCCTTTGAGGTCAGGGTTAAGTAATTTAAGCAGTGTATGTGGGTCTGTTATGCTAAGCATCTGAAAAACAGGGCTTTGAGATATCACCCTGAGTAGACCTGCACATGATCCCCTGGTATCCATCATTACTGCCCCTGGTTTAGGTTTGGAGGCTGCCATCTTCCTCATAGGATGAAATCAACTCAATGCATTTACCTATGGGAAGTGGGGGGGCAGGGACAACGATGGGGACATGAAGGGCAGGGGTGGGACACCAGCTGTAATACCCACTTGGACAATGGCCTCCTGGTTCATGGCTCCTTTTCTTCCTTTGAAGAAGGAAAGGTTTAGGGTTTGTGATCAACACTATCCCTTCTAATTCATCTTAGCTATAAGGTTATTTTAGAAATATTATTATTTTATATGTACAGATGTTTAAACTGAATTTTATGGTATGGATGTGCACCACATGCATGCCTGGGGCCCACAAGGGCCAGAACAGGGTGTTGGACCCCATGGAACTGGTGTTACAGATGATTGGGAGTTGCCAAGTGGGTGCTTGGGGTTGAACCCAGGTCCACTGCAAGAACAGCCAGTGTTCTTAACCACCAAGGCATCTCTCCATGCCCAGTTCTAAGGTTCTTGGAGAAGAGCTTTTATTCCAAAATTGAAAAGACACCATATCAATATATAACACTTCTGTTCACATTTACTCAATTAGAGGGAAAAAAATCACAATTTCAAAAGGAGACAAATGACTGCATGAGATGAAAGATACACAATAACAAAGATTAATTTTACTGTGACATGTCTTTTATTAATGTTCATTTCAAATATCCTTTTGTTTTTAAATCCTCCCAGCTGCAGGCCTGAACCTCTTTGAAGGGGACATCGTTCTGCCAGTGAGTGCTACCAATGATAATTGTGCCCTGGGAACTGTGACACCCCTGGAGCCCAACCTGGGCTTTGGGTTCAGTGATGGCCACTGTGGAAAGGGAGCAAAGATTCACATATAATCTGTAGCCATAAGAACTTCCTCAGAGTGGATAGTAATAAAAAACACCAAAGAGAGCAGAAAATATGCAACTATCAAGTAGTTTATTTATCCAATTTTTCCCAATTAAACAAAGAATAGGAAGGACGTGCTCCAGTATATTTGTAGGTGTGCCAGAGTTAACAGTTACCTGGCCCTTTTATTTAGTTCTTTTGAATGCCCCTGGGTCCCCAAAAATTACCTCTAAGGCGTTCCTGTTGTTTTTATAATGACAAAATAAATGCTCTGAGTTATCTCTGTGGTGTGAGTTGAGTGAGGGTTACAAAGGTAGTCTTGGTCACTGGTTTTCTCAGACTCTGTGTTGTTCTTTGGTTGTTTTCCATTTTGGTATCATCACTTAATCAGCTTACAAAGTGGCTGTTTCCCTTATGGCATTTTTCATATATACTTAGTTTTGGTTGGCTCTCCTTCCCACCCATTGCTCTTCCCCATCTCCCCAATCCCCATCCGTGTATGAACCCCTCCATCCCTTGTATTCCCCTTCATATCTCTGGTTTTCCATTACCCCACCCACCTTCTCCCTCTAGGCCTCTATTTTGTATTTTCATTAGTCCCTTTCTAGTTTCCTGGCCTCTGTCCATCCTCACTTTCACCTAAATACCAACACATAAATAGTAAAAACTAGAAACTAGGACCTGCCTGTGGCAGAGAACATGCAGCGTTTATCTTTCCACACGTGGGAGATGTGGCACATGCATACAATGAAATTTTATCCCGCTGTGAATAAAAATGGAACCAGTAGGAAAATGGATAGAAATGGACAACATTACACTTTCTCTTGTTTTTTCACAGAGAACCAGAAATGCCCTGAGAGACCCAACAGCAAGATGGAAGTTCCCCATTCCGTACATCCTAGCTGACAACCTGGGTAATGGAAGTCCTTCATACCTAGATATGGGTTAACTTTTCTCTCCCCTTTCTCCTGTTCCTCAACTTCAGACCAATATATAAAGAGCCCTGAAGATTCTTTATCTCACAGGAAGAATGTCATGACATTCCTTTATCCAACCTGCGAGAGTGTCAAGGTTTGGACAGATGACATGGTCAGTAAAGTGCTTGTTTCGCAAGCACGAGGACCTGAGTTCAATCTCCCGCATCCAATTAAAAACTCTGGCGGGCTGATTCATGCTTGTAATCTCAGTGCTTGGAAGGTAGAGGCAAGCAGGTCCTTGGGGGCTCCTGAGCTAGCCAGGCCAGCTTCCTCCGTGAACTCCACGAGGAGAGACCCTGCCTCAAAATAAACTGAACTGCACTTGAGGAACAACACCCACAATTGACCACTGACCTCCACATGCTCCAACCTATACAAGTGTGCCTGCCTCAGCAAAACATGCACACACACACACACACACACACACACATTCACACACACACACACACACACACACAGTCAGAAGTTACTGCACATGTAAAAATGTTAGTAAAATCAGGAACAACACAACGAACAAAACTGTGAGATAAAATTTGACTCTGTAATGGTAAAATTTTGTACTTCATTGATACAAAGGCTGAGCTGAGTATACATTGAGGATACTATTTAGAGCATATTGATTCCTTCTGTTTTTTTGTTGTGAGAGGAACATAGCATGTTTTGGAGAAATAGAAAAAGCAAATATTACCCATGTTCAAGTCCCTTTCTCTCAACATGAATAATTTTGACTTTCTCCTTTCTCTTAAGATAAAGATCTGTATACCTTGTGTTTTAGTCACTGATAGAAATATTAATTAGCAGTAAATAAATGACTGTTAGATACCATAATAGGTACTGGCTGGTCCTCAAGTGATTTTTCCAATAAGTACCACAATGATGCCTTGTCTGCAAAACCTACTCTTCATTGATAGAGAAGATGAGACAGGAGAGGGGGAACCAGGCCAAGGTTGCATCATTTGCTGGGTAGTTGGGCTCTCCCCACTCTAACACATGTAGATTGTGATTCAATATCCTCCAGTCACTGTTTTCGGTGTTGTTTCTAATACCTTTTCCAGTGAACAGATTAAAGAACACCATTGTTCTCAGCTGTTGGTTGGGAAACTAAGTCATTTCCCCACATTTCTCCAGCATGCTTTGAATTCAGTGTCCCTGTTTTCCAGAGCATGATTTAAGAAACCACCTTGGAAGGAATTTTTTCCAATCCCCATTTTCCTTCCCAGTTTTCTCTCATCTGCACTACCCCCTCATGTGCCAAGTGCTATGCCTCTACCTGACAGTTTACTGAGGCTTCACTGTATCTATGCACTGAGAACCAAGCTTAGCCTTCAGGAAGCCCTGGACTGCACCCCCAGAACCCTATAAAACAGCCTGTTTGGGAACACTCATAAACCACCCAGATTCATAGTCGGTCTTCTCACTACAGTTAAACTTACTTGAAATGCCTTAATAGACCCACCCAGAGCCTTGTTTCCGTGGTGATTCAGACAAATGATTAACTGCCACAAATCCTGATTGAATTTTCTTTCATTCTTCTACATAAATTTTATTTCTCTGCGGAGAGAGTCTCTGCTGTTTCCTCTTTTTTCCTTAAATCTTTGAACAAATATACATCATACTTTAAACTCTTGGTTAGTGTCAACATTTGAATCCTCCTGCACTTGTGGTCACATTTCCCATTTTGTCACACGCTGATGGTTTTGACTCTATTGGAGTGATGTGGCTATCACCCCATACAGAGATGCTATGTGCTGTGTTTTTCCTCATAATGCCGGTCATTTTTGAATTACTGTGCCAAGAATTGGGCCTGCATTTTGAAGCCTTTGCTTTGGTTTTGGTCTTACTCCAATGCACATCTCAGAGTGCTAGGATGTAGTCATGAGTCCTAAGCCTGCTTGGATTCTTTGGGGTTGGAGTGGAATGCCCAAGATTTCCCCTGCCCCTTCAACTTCATAGGGCTCAAACTCCTGGCAGTTGTTTGTTTCTCTGTTGCTATGATTAAAATACCATGATCAAAGGCGGACTGGAAAGCTCTGATTTCCTCTTACCAGCCTCGGGCTACACAGTTGGTTTCTGAGCATAAACTGGAGGCAGTAGCTGCAGCAGAGGCCATGGAGGGATGCTGCTGGTGGACTTGTTGCCATGGCTTACTCAGGCTGCTTTTTATACAACCAAGGACCTCCTGCTGAGGGATGTCACTGACCATAGTGGGCTGGGCCTTCTTACATCAGTGAGTAATCAAGAAAATTCCCCCACAGACTTGCCTATAGGCCAGTCTGATAGATGCAGTTCCTTCATGGACATAGCTTCTTCCCGGGTGACTTTGGTTTGCATCAGGTTGACCGAAACCTAACCAGCTCACTGCTGATTCTTTCGCTACAATTGTGGGCAGCAGATGAGGTGTTGCTCAGTTTAGTCAACATTCAGCATTCCACTGGCTGCTTCCCACCAAGATACTTGGAACTTCTCCCTCTAATCAAAGCTTGTTCATTTCATGATGTTTGTGATGCGGCTTATTTGTTGACTGTGATCACGCCCCCCGCCTCTCAACTATGGCCCTTGACTTTCTTCTCCTGATTCCTCTTTAAATTTTCATCCACCTAGGCTCAGCCTCAGTCCCAGAGTCTTCCTTGAGGGATGCCAAGAACCTACATAGCGGATTTGTGCTTGCCATGAACCTACGTAGCGGATTTGTGCTTGCATTCAGACTTATGCTCGCATCCATCCTTTCTCACACCGAGAATACCACCGAACACCATCACTCAGTGTTCTCCTAGTTCATGATATTTCCTTCTTTCACAAATAAATTTCCTCTACTTTCCGATCTACTCATTTCTTTTTTTAATCTCAAGGTTCTCTATTTGTAGCTATCTGTGGAGGGGTTTTGTTAAACTCAAACTTCCAGCTTCAGTAATCTTTGCAAATGATTCCCCACCTGAACACCTGCTATACACAGTCTCACCAAGCTTGCGAAGTCAGCTCTTCTCATGTAATTTCATCCAGGGCTGAGGAGAGCTAGTGGCTGACAAAAGAAGGCAAAGCTGTGTATAATTTACCATGTCGGGACTGTCTGCTGGGAATGAAGGCTACAAGGAGGCAATAGAAATCTCTATATACTGAAGAAGCTAGCTCATGCAAAGGCTGTGGGTACACACTCATGGAAATCGGTGTGGCTCTTCCAGTGAGAGCCCTGCACAGTGGCTGTATTTCCTTTTTCCTTTCTCCGTGATGCTGGCATAGTTTTCTAAAACCATGACAGAGTTTCTAGTTCTCTTTTTATAACTTGTTTAATGCTAGAGAGGGGGAAATAGATTGGCTTTCATATTAGCCACCAGAAATTCCCCAGTCAGCTTAATGCTAAGAGAAAAAGCAAAGTAGGATGTGATGTGTGTGTGATGGTCAGATCAATGTAGTTAGCATATCCATACTCCTAACCTGTGTGCAGCAGGCAGGCAGGCTTGATAGAGGAGCAGTAAATAGGAACTTATACCTTCCCAAATAGTACCGTCAACGGCGAAATAAGCATTCAAACACATGCGCCTATGGGAACCATTCTCATTCAAACCCCACACCCCACTTCCTGGCCCTCCTAGACTTGTAATATATCACAGTGCTAAATGCTTTCAGTCCAACATTACTGTTTTTTTAAAGATATATTCTAGATATTTGTTCTGTGTCAGATAAATAGTTTTACAGTTTTTAGGTTGATTCTTCACTCTGTTGACTTGATTCCTTGGTCATGTGGAAGTTTCTTAGTTTGTTAAGACATCACATATAGTTTTTGCTTTTGAGGATCTTGCTCTGGGGTTCATAGCCAAAATCTACCATGTCTACCCAGATGTGTTGAACTGATTACCCTATGCTGTCGTCTGGCAGCAATGTGGCTATCCAGGTTGTCCAGCATCATTTATTGAGAAACTCTCCTTTCTCCAATGCATGTTTTAATGCAATGGAAATAATACAGTGTCCAAAAATAATCCCATGAATTTTACAGTCAACTGTTTTCAACAAGGACACTAAGGACTCTCTCCCTCTCTCTCTCCCTCCCTCCCTCCCTCCTTCCCTCCCTTCCTTCCTCCCTTCCTCTCTCACCTCCCCTCCCCTATCTCTCTCTGACAAAATCTTGCTCTGTAGTTGAGGTTGGCCTTGAACTGAAATCAATTCTCACAAGGGCTAAGGTAATACATGTGAACAGTTAAGAACTATTTCCTTAATGATATTGCTATTACCTTGTGACTCTCCAACCTGGTACTTTAAGAAATGAGAACCATGATGTTATCATTTGGCAAAATTCCAAGGACTATATATTTTTTTTTTAGTTAATGCATAAAATGAAATGTGCAAACCCAAGGATTTCATGTTCTACGACTTGGATTAATTTTTAATTAAGCTCTCTATCCCCAGTGAGTTGATGGTAGGAAAAAAGAATGCAAATGAGGAGAAATGTAATCTCAGTTCTCTGGGGGTTCACTCCTTTTCCTCCCATCCTTGCCATGGGTAGGACTGGACTTGCATGGGTCTGTCTGGTTGGTCTTTCTACTCCCTACTGCTCTCACCAGGGAACAAGGTGACACCCCATATTGTTTCTTTGTTTCAAGAACATTCCCACCTCTCTAAACTGGGCTCTCCTCCATCTAAGAGGAATTTTCAATGTGACTTATTTAGCCCATTGGTCTTGAACTCCTGATCCTTCTGCCTCCTCCCCCTAAGTATTGAGATTATAGGCATAAACCAGCATGCCTTGTTTACATGGTGATGAGAATGCACTCAAGACCTTAAGCAAGCTAGACAAACACTCTACCAGCTGAGCTGATCCCCAGCCTGGGAGGATGTTATTTTAGGGTGGGAGTAGGCCCACTATTTCAGTAGCTTCTATCCAGGGTACTGCACCCACACATGCAAAAGCCAGAGTGACTTGAAACCCATATCTGTTTCCTACTCTGCCGCGTCTGTCCTCAGGGAAAGCGCTGAAGAAAAGAAAGAAAAAAATGAGAAAAAGGAAGATGTTCTGTGGTTTAGTTCAGCTTTGTACCCTGCAGTCCCGTTTGAGTTCATCATCTAAATTATGAACCAGCACTGTGTACACCAATTAACTGCAAATTTAGTTTCTAAGGAATTGAATTATTGCCCAGAAGAAAAAAGAAAAGAAAAAACTTTTCGTGGAACCTCAGTGTACAGCTTTCTATAAACTATAAGCTGTGTCTGTTATACAGACTCTCAGTAATGTCTGCCAATGTTTTACAGATCTGAATGCCAAAGGAGCCATCCTCAATGCCTTTGAGATGTTCCGCCTCAGGTCCTGTGTGGATTTCAAGCCCTATGAAGGAGAGAGTTCGTACATCATCTTCCAGCAATTTTCTGGGTTAGTATGGGATATTATAGAACATGAAAAGAATGTATCCTTTAGTTTGTGAGCTGTAACACATCCATTTTGAAAGCTGAAATGATAGGAATAAAGCAAAGCCACACCTTCTGCTGGTCTCTTAGCTTCTGAGCCATTCCTGTAGCCTCAGTATTCATTCTTGTGTAAGCCGCATTTGAATTAGCATTCAAAGGCACACATGCTAACAATCTTAGGGATAATAGGTAGGTAAGACTATGTCATCATTGCCAAGGCACTTACAATCCCCTGGAACACTGAAATCTACCAGCAAAGTCCTTCATATGGGTCCAGAAATCAGAGTGTAGAGCCAAAAGATCATTTGTGGAAAATTCTAGGTTATGCTAACAGAGGAAGGAAACTACATTTATGAAAAAAGACCAAAAACAAAAGAATTTGGAAAAAAGAGGATGAGTGATTCCATGAACTCTGTTCATGTTCCCTAGTTTATCAGTGTCTGAGGCACATTTGGAGTTCTTTTTGGTGAGGGTCCTTCACAAGCAAGGCTGGTGACTTACTGCTGTGAGCAAATTCCCAAAAGGAGGCTTGCAATGTGAGAAGGAATATGGCCTATAGTGATGAGGGAAGTTTTGGACTCTCCTTGCCTATGATCCTTCAGCAGGAGGAAGGCAATCGTCCCTGTGTGGTCAGACTACGTCCAGAGCCGTGAACGGTCTGAACTCACGTTACCAGCCAGAACTTTCCCTAAATGGCAGTATTTTAATCTAAAGGCAATCTTGTTCTTTGGAGTGCCCTGTGGCTTTATGAAGGGGAAGGAGAATACCCAATTTCCTCTCCTTGATGCCTTGTTATGGCAGTTTGTCTTCAGAGAAGGGTGACCTTTAAGATGGGTTACCACTCTAACTTGGCACAAGAAAACAGAGTTTGCTTGCAGAGGAAATCCCACACTAACTTCTTTTCTTGTCCTTGAGCCATCAACACAGGGAAGTGCTTTACTTTCAGTTTTGGAAAGTTCCTCTTTAAGCTTTTTGTTTTCAATTGATCCAAGCAACGGTATACTTTAGGGATGAAGGGCCGTGCTTCCTACATGTATGATGAACTGGTCTTTAGGTACAAAGTCATGGCTGGTACAGAGGAGTGAATTTTGATGCTCTGATGGATAGTAAAGTGACTAGGGCTGACAAACTGTATTGGACATTTCCAAGCAGACAGAAAAGACTGTTTTGAGTGAACCTGTAGCCCCAGCACCTAGACACTCGAGATTCTGACTAGCCAGTTTGCTTTGGGATCCTGTCTCTGCCTTCCAAGTTCTAGGATTATAGGTGGCTCTCTCCCTCTCCTGGCCTTTAAATGGACACTGGGGATTTGAACTCTGATCCTCATTATTGCACAACAAGTGTTCTACTAAGCAATCTCCCCAGCCCCCAACTAAAAAAAAATCAAACCTAACTTTCTTCTTTTTGCCCTGAAATAGCCATTTGAAACACATGAAATTACATGGAAATAACACCTCTATGAAAATATCTTTTTCCCCTCCCTCTTAAAAGGTGCTGGTCTATGGTCGGCGATCAACAAGTGGGACAGAACCTTTCTATTGGTATGGGCTGTGACTATAAGGCCATCATTGAGCATGAAATCCTGCATGCCCTGGGATTTTACCACGAACAGTCGAGAACAGACAGGGATGATTATGTGACCATTTGGTGGGATGAAATTCTTTCAGGTGTGTATGAACCCAGAATTAGCTGTTGGATTTATGCTGCTAATGTCTCAATGGCTTTCTAAGAACATCTGTGAGAGCCTCAGGCTGACCCCGTGTGTACAGGCACTTCAGCCTCTCCAGTGGGAACAAGGGCTGTGAGGAAATAGCGGCTTGAGAATCTCTCCTTGGACTGTGCTGACATTGTCACAACTTGTCCCTAAAGGGAGGATGGGATGACTCACTGTGGGGGTCACTTGAAAGACAGAGTATATGCTTCGTATCAGTATTTTGCTAAAACTCAACGAAAAGTCTATTTTCTTGTTGTGATGAGTAAAAGGAACTGGATTTCAGAGGACATAGGTCTGTTTTCCACAAGGCTAAGGGTTTGGTGTCTGTGCTCGTGTATATGTGTTCGTGTGTGTGTGTGTGTGTGTGTGTGTGTGTGTGTGTGTGTGTGTGTGTGTGTGTGTGTGCTGGATAGTTTTGTTTTTGTTTTTTGTTTTTCCAGACAGGGTTTCCCTGTGTAGCTTTGGAGCCTGTTCTGGAACTAGCTCTTGCAGACCAGGCTGGTGTCAAACTCAAGAGATCCACCTGCTTCTGCCTCCTGACTGCTGGGATTAAAGGTGTGTGCCACCACCGCCTAGTGGTGGTTAGTTTTTATGCCAGCTTCCACAAGCTAGGGTCACTTAGGAAGAAAGAATTTTAGTTGAGAAAATGCCTCAACAGGAGGCCTATAGGCAAGTGTGTAGGGCATTTCCTTGATTGTGACAGCTGAGAGGGGAGGACCGAGCCTATTGTGAGCAGTGCCACACCTGGGCAGGCAGTTCTGGTTGGATAGGAAATCAGGCTGAGCAAGCCTGGGAAAGCAAGCCAGCAAGCATCCCTCCTCCAAGGGGTCTGCTTCAGCTCCTGCCTCTGGGTTCCTTGCGTGACTTCCTATAATGATAGATTGTGATGTGTAACTGTAAGCTGAAGTGAACCCTTTCCCTATCATAATGTTTTATCACATCAGTACAAACCCAACTAAGACAACATGTATGTTTATGTGTGTATGAGTGTATGTGTATATATAATGTATATATGTGTATGTACATGTGTGCATGTTTTATATGTGCTTTTATGTGTATATGTGCTTTTATGTGTATGCATACATATAAGTATGCATATGCATATATGTGTGTATATATATGTAAGTGTGTATGTGTGTATGCATATGTGTATATATTTGCATACACCTTTTGAATTAGTTCAGGATGTAGAAAAGCATTCTTTCAGATCATAAGTAAATAATGGCTTCACTCAATACACATCATGTTTTGAATAATTTCCTTGCTCAGGAATTTTAATTTATATTTCAGTTTCATGCATAGGTTCATACATGACAGTGTGTATGGAATAATTTGACTTTTAGGGGCTCATGAGAACTGGCCAAGCTTTAAAATTAAATTTGAACCCGGAAAAGACTCATGTTAGCTGAGCTCATTGGGGAAAAAATGGACAGTGATCCTTACAGGAGGATGGATAGAGTTCCTTAATGTATCAGCCGCCTCTTTGTGGTTTTTCAGCTCGCGTCCCTCCAGCCCATCATATTCCGATAATTCCATGAATGTGGAGTAAAGGAGAAGTAACAGGAAATAATTGTAAAAGCCCTATATGTCACCAGCATGCAACACACACACACACACACACACACACACACACACACACACACGTGCACGCACGCACGCGCGCATGCACCAACTCGTGTTGCCCTCTAAGCACTGAGGCCAAGCAGTTGTCTTAGCTGAGGGTTCCTTGAAGGTAGCTTGGGAATCCATTTCCCCGGTGATGAAATTTCAGATTAGACTTTATGGGCTTGGCTCTCAGAGATGGTTGTACTATATCTGGGTGTGCAAGGGGAAAGGGGAATGGACTTACGGGAAAAAGCACTACATAACTATGAGCCTTGGCATTCTCTTAGACTCCACCTATATTTATCTGCAGGTCTTAACTTCTTACCTTCCTATTCACATAGTTGGCTTTGCTGAAAATTTCATTAAAAATAAGGAAAAAAAAACATTCCCATTTCTAAGTCTTGAGGAAAATAATACGCAGTGACTTTTAAAGACAGTCTTAAGGCAAACAGTACCCATTGATTAGAGTGAGTGCTTGCTGCCAGGTTTAACATCTGTGCTCAGTGCTGGCTGAGCCAGGGTGTCTCAGCTCATATCTATCTCCCACCTCTATTTCCATCATATAAATCCCATATATCTAAATTACCTGCAATCACTGGATTACTATTCTCCAAGGAGACAGCAAATCCAATGAGCAACAAAGACAGTATGAGTTCCAGAGTCATTGGCATCTTTTATTGTATCTCATCTGCAGCCCAAGTAGCCTTGAGTTTAACCTGAGGCCACCGTGGTGACTATGGTGCAGTTTCTGCCCCCATTCTCTCAATCAGGATTATTTCTTCTTTTCCACTAAGGAAAACATTCAACTTCTGAGGTCTAGCAGAAGTTGGCAAGCTGTAGCCCAAAGAGACATGTAGTTGTTTTTATAATGGAAAAAACATGGCCAAATGCATTGTGCTTGTATAATTTTCCTTTCTCCAAGAAGGAAATTAAAAACCTTGCAACCCTTCTTATCTGGGTAGGAAACAGAAAATTATTGGTGACCGGCCAATTACAGGACAGTGATTCGGCTATATAGTTCAACTCTTCATGTTGCCACATATCTTATCTTCTTCCTACTAATCCAACTCAATAAGTTACCTTTGATAGGAAAATATTTTGATTGACATGATTCCTTCTTGCCTGATGCTCACCTTTCCCTTTGACCCTTGGATTTCTTTTTCCTGGTGATGGGCGTACTTGGTTATTAGGAAGATATGTCTTAAACATAATCCTGAATAGTTTCCTTAACTCAAAATTTGTCTTTCTTTTCTTTCCTTCTTGCCTTGTATTTGCTAGTTTACTTTCTTTCTAAAGGCCACACACATGTATACACTCTCATACAATTACATGAAGTACTTGCAATACATAATAACATATAATATGAAATACATATATTAATAGAACATGGACATTTTATGGTTGTTCCAACAATCTTATACATACTGCTTTACAAAATACTGTATTATGACACCTATGGATTAATACTAATAATTAGCAATATATATTCTTTTATATATTCTAGTTTTAAGATACATATATAAATGTATGCTAACTAAAGATACAATATTTCTATTTTTGATATATCTGAGTATCTAGGCACAGAAGAAAATTTGGAGAGGACAGCATGGCTGAGTGGCACTTAAGGGTTCTCTTTCCCACAGGCTATGAACACAACTTCAACACCTACGATGACACCACCATCACAGACCTCAACACACCCTACGATTATGAATCCCTGATGCACTATGCACCGTTTTCATTTAACAAGAATGAAAGCATCCCAACCATCACTGCCAAGATCCCTGAGTTTAACAACATCATTGGACAGCGCCTGGATTTCAGTGCCATTGATTTAGAGAGACTAAATCGAATGTACAATTGCAGTGAGTACCTCTGTGACTGAGGGCTGGCCAAAACGCCTTGCCCTTAGCCTCCATTACTTTGCTTGAATGCTCTGCATAGCAGCCAGACTACATAACCTTAAGCATTCTCTCTTTAGAAGAAGACATCTCGTAGGATGCTTGTGTCATGTGACAGGGTTTGTAAGGTAACAGTATTGGGCAAATAGAAGGAGTTGTTAATGTCTAGTTCCTATGGCTTCCTTTCAAAAGGCGAATAATTATGTAAAGTTGAAGATACGCAATTGGACTTGAAAATGTGTTGTGCCTTGCAAAACTCTTTCCTTGGGTACTCTAAAACTCTGAGATGGAGGCATTTTCCAATTGTGCTAAAAAGGGATACGGGGGCCTAGTGAATACAAAGCCCATTGAGCTGCCTGCCTCGTCCTTGGTCTTGAGTTCATGTTGACCTGTCTAGCAAGGAATGTTTGCAGATCTTTATCCTGGCTCTCTGAGCTACATGGTTCTGTGTCTGTGTTCTAAGAGAGAACGAGTGACCGTAAGAACAGCATTTGGGAAAACTTCAGGAACAAAAGACCTCTCTGTGATTTTGTTTTGTTTCAACAATGGTGTTGGAGTAGCTTAAGGCATTAAGTATTTGGAATTAGACACCTTACATTTTTAACCATGTGTCAAAACATCTCATATGTAGCTTCAACTCACACCCTGTTGGACCACTGTGCCTTTGAGAAGACAAACATCTGTGGAATGATCCAGGGGACCAGAGATGATGATGACTGGGCCCATGAGGACAGCAGTCAGCCTGGAAAAGTGGATCACACATTGGTGGGACAGTGCAAAGGTTGGTGATAGTAAAGTCATCACCCTGAGGAGGTGCATTTTGCCTTTAGGTTATTGTGGTAATTATCAAACCTGAAAATCTGAACGAGGACAAAGGATGTGGCTCATATCTTAATCATTAACTTCATAGAAAGTATCCAGGCTGTGCAGATGCAAGAGAGCATTTGTAGTTAGTCCCCAGCCCTGCATGCAGGCAACCTTAGTTAGACTCAGCAGGTGACACAAAATGAATGACCTGAAGATAGGAGGAGAATGTGTTGGGAAGAAGTTTCCCAGGAGTAGGTATAGGACGGCGGAGGATGCATATCATCAAAATGCATTGTATACATGTGTGAAATTGCCAAGGAACATATTTCAAAATATTTTTAAATAAAAACAAAAAACAAGGGTGTATGTTTACCACATGGAAACTGTTAAGGGAACACTTGGTTAATAGCAGGACTTTATAATGGAGAGTAGTGTTTCCAGGCCAGTACCCGCCAATGGAAATAGCCATGCTAGCCTCAGGTAGCATGTACAGCTCGCAGTAGTCTCATAAAGGGCTAAAAGGAGGCAGGTGAAATTCATTTTGATTCAAAGATACTAGTATATAAGGAATCAATATTAAAATGCCTATACGAGATACTTTAACCTTTTGTGGGAACTATCTACATTATTACGCTTAACGGTACTCCTCAGTTTGTACTGGCCTCACCTTGAATCCTTAGGGATATGTGTGATACTCGGAGTATTGGCAGCAGAAGGCCAACTAACTCATGTATTTGCTTTGCTTACTGACAATCCATAATGGCAGACAGATTTCAGTTTGAAATGCAGCTCCCCCACTGACTGTCGGGATTGATAGGAAATTGTTATTGTGTGCTGTTTTTCTTAAGACATCTTGGCATTTAGAAGGCTGGTAAGACCCCAAAATACTAAAGCTTCCCAGAGAGATGGAGGAAGAGGGGGCTTACAAAGCCTCTAGCTGGAGACTACCTGTAGCTTCCTTCTCTTACTTTCCAGTATTTTCAACTTCCCTTTCTCTGGTGGAACTTTTAAAATTCTACTCGTTTATTTGTTTGTCTATTTTTTATTTATGAGACAGAGTCTCCTGTGGCCCAGGCTAAGCGCACACTTGCTACTCAGGGGACAGTGACCTTGAACATCTGATCTTCCTGCTCCACTTCCCCAGAGCTGGGATAACGGAGTGCACCATCACAAACGATATATTTGGTACTGAGGATTGAACTGTGGTTTCAACTGAGCTACATCTCTAGCCCTTTTAAGTTTTTTGTTTTAATGACTGTTTATCATGTGCCTGTCATGGAAGTCACGTCAAGCCTCTTGGAAAGCAAGTGGGGTTATAGGCTAGACTATTATACATTCTCTTAACCCATGTCAGCCTGAGAGTTGATTAGATTTCCTTCTAGAGGATTCAGCTAAATGCCAGGCCACCAAGAAGAATGTCAGAGGTCATAAATTGTTGTATTCTTCTTCTGACCCTGGCCGAGGATGAAAGCCTTGTCACACAGCATCCAAAGGGTGATCGATCCTGAGGTTACCAATTGTCACTGTAACCTGTGATTTGCCCCCCCTGTGGGTTCATTACTAGGCTAACATTCAACTTTCAGAGAGACAAAGAGATGACTGCAGAAGAAGAGCCTTCCAGCAGAATGTTCTAGGTCCCCAGTAGGAAAGAACCATACCCCAGAAGGAATATATGGGGGAAGCTCTAGTGTTCTAACCAGACCACCTATCCTGAGTCCTGCATTCAAAGGAACTAGTGCTAGAGAGGGCTGTTGAAGCTCATGTGGACTTCAAGAGCCTGCAGGGTCCCCAGGGACAGAACCCACCTCCCATTTGAAACTCACCAATAGGGGACCATGTTCATTCAGGCAAGCTGGAGTGTGGATTCAGACCTCCTGGGCCTTATACCTGAGTTATTTGATTTTCATTTCTCACCTCTAAAACTAAAGTGGGCTTAACTTTCTTCTTCAATGTTACTCCAAAGTTTTTCTTTATATGCAGGGGAAACTCTCAGTTAGCCCCTAGTATGTCTTAAATGAACCACTCCATGGAACAGTAGAGATGATTCTTTACCACTGATAATAGACCTGATCTGTGTGGTTAGAAACAGCAGTTTCAACTCATGCTGCTATAGACATCTGAAACCCAAACCATAAACTTGAATTGTTTCTTACAACTTTGAGGAGACCAACTCTTTTGTTTGTAATGAATTTCTAATTTAAACTAGGAAGTAGGCAAGAAAAATAGAATTCATCTCACAAATTTTGATTGAAGCCCATGTAAGGCAGAAATTTGTATTTTACAAACCTGGAAAAAAGTGGAAAGTAAAGGAAATGTGCAAGTTGGGATCCTTTGTAATCTAAGTAATCTAGAGGCTAAAGACAGGAAGATCATGTGTTCAAAACCAGCCTGGGCTATGTAGAGAACCTCTCCAAAAGTGAATAAATATAAATAAAATAGAGAGATGTGTAGGTGTTAGGTAGCCAGTAACTATGCCCATTGAGAAAGGATGCTCCCATTTCCATTCCTTAGAGAAGTTCTAGCTTTGGGGCCTAGATACCAGCTATTGTTTCCTAATTCACTCAGTCTGGGTAGATGGCGCTGTGTCACGGAACTCATGGAAGTCAGAGATGGGATGTTGACTGCTCTCTCTACAGGTGCCGGCTACTTCATGCACTTCAATACCAGCTCGGGGGTGACAGGAGAGGTAGCCCTTCTGGAGTCTCGGATCCTTTACCCCAAGAGGAAGCAACAGTGCCTGCAGTTTTTTTATAAGATGACAGGAAGCCCCGCAGACAGACTCATTGTCTGGGTGAGGAGGGATGATGGTGCAGGCACCGTGCGCAAGCTGGCGAGGATACAGACCTTCCAAGGTATGGAGAGCCATCACAGGAGGCTTGTGGAAACCGGGGGCTGTGGCTTTTCCTTCTGCTTCTCTCTGCTGGCATCCTTTCCACCCTTCTCTTGCCCTTTCCTTCCATCCTTCCCCTACTTCCTTCTCCCCTTCCTCCATCTCCCTCATCCTCTTCTGTAGCTGCAGTTTCTTTCCAGCCTGGTCCCGCAGCCAATTAGCCCCAAATAAACAAGCAAAGACTTACATTCATCTATAAACTGTTGGCCGATGGCTAGGGCTTCTTACTGGCTAATTCTCTCTTAATTATTAATAAATAACTACTAATCCATGTATTTCTACATGGCCTTAGCTTTCCAGAGTACGCCTGGTGTATCCTATCTTCCCAGTCTCCACATGGTGTCTCTCCCTGAAAGCCTCTCTCTGCCCTCTCCCAAGAATTCTCCTCATCTCACTGGCAGTGAATCAGTGTTTTATTCATCAACCAATAAGAGAAACATATATACAGAAGGACATCCCCATCACTCTTCTGAAAGTCTATTATAATCTCTGGCATGTTTTTCCAGAATGCCTTAAGCACTTGGAAATTAAGAACTTAGGTGAGACTCCAGGCTACTTCTAGAAGAGGTCTAATGAATACACACATCCAAAAAAAGCATGTGATTCAGAGGCAGAGATGCAAAAGCAAAGAGATGCTAAACAATTGGCCATAACTGTTCTTGATTCTGTTTCAGTAAAGCCAACAACATCATTATTTAAAACACTGAAGTACTTTGGGGTCTCCTTCATAAAACTTCACAAGTAGGTTCCAGTTACTTCAGCATTTAAAATAATGACAGGAACCTAAGCCATTTAATGTATTGACTCCACTGGGGCCATTTACATGCTAAGTGTTGTTCTCTGCGTTTCTGGGAGTTAAGCAGAAACCTTTAGCTGCTAAGCTAGGCAGTAGGATGTGAAGGTCATCAGACATAGTTCTTTAAAACTAAATATTTCTGGGCTTGTTGTTGTTGCGTCAGTGAGTCAGAACAAGTAAGCGAGACGAGCTTTCCCTTTTCCCATTCAACAAAGAAGTCCTCAAAATGAAAGTGGGTAGTGGATATTGTTTGCCTTATATTAAACAGACTGCTAGTCTTTTTTTTTTTCAAGATAGGGTTTCTCTGTATTGCCTGTAGACCAGGCTGGCCTCGAACTCTCAGAGATCCGCCTGCCTCTGCCTCCAGAGTGCTGGGATTAAAGGCGTGCGCCACCAACGCCGACTCAGACTGCTACTCTTTAAGGGAGAAAATTTCTTGAGACATCTTTGGGAACACCTCTACCCACTCCATTATTGGCTGGCTGAGAACTCTGCAGTCATAACTTTTTTTCCTTTTTTTTTTTTGTGGCAGGGGAGGGTCATGGTTTGCTGTGGCCTGGCTGTAATTAATCAAAGCTAATATGGTGGAAATGGAAATATGTCACCAAGATGCCTTTTTTCTTTAGTAATCAAAACTTTATGGTAAAGAACTAGCACATAAAAAGCATTGTACAGTGAGATTAGCCAGACCTATATAGCATTTTAAAGATTCCCTTTAAAAGTAAAGAATATCTAAAATGAAAGTGTGTTGTGAATATAATGGACTGGTTTTTAACTATGTCCAGCTCACTCTGAAAATGTTACCCTGGAAGAGTGAAACCATCCCAAGTGGAATTTAGACTTCCCACAGGGCATCTTGTAAAGTCCCTAGAAATGATGTATAAATGGATTTTGAAATCAGTCTGCTCTAAGCTTGGCCTGTCCATGAGAATTTTCTGAAAGGTGAGTTGAACTGACTATGAGTTGGCATTTATGGGGTATTCAGCACAAGCTAGTTATGATCCATTTTGGAGTGGCTTATAACTTTGGTGAAATGTCTATTTTAACTCAGATGCTTATATAAAAATGTGTCTATCAATATGCTTATCAATGTGCAAGACATGGGTTTGTAAGACTTCTATATAAGCTTAGTTAAAAAATGTTTACATACAAATGTGAGTTAGTTACAAAATGTTTACACATAAATGTGAAAATGAGTACACACACACACACACAGAGAGAGAGAGAGACAGAGACAGAGACAGAGACAGAGACAGAAGGAGCTTATGTTTATAGTGAGGAGGCCAATCTGAACTACCACAGGTGAAGCTTGTCTCAAACAGTCAAGACATCACCATTACCCAACTAATTCAGGGAAGCCTCTCACTTAGATAAAGCTTAGGAATTTAATTTTAAAAGTCCCTGATCACACGGCACAGTCTCTAGTCTACCACTACCCTGCCCCACATTTTCAGCCTCATTATCACAACCTGTATTTAAAACAAAACTAAAATCAAAGCAGTTGCTCAGTAGCAAGAAGTGAGCTTTCATTCTCTTGTCTGAGTCCCACTTAGTTCACATCTATATTTTTTGTCCCCATTTTAGGCTTTCGGTCACCCAGTATATTTCCTGTTCATGTGTCCTCATGAAAGAGATGACAGCTACACAGATTCTCATGTCACTGATGTGGTCCACGTACATTCTCTGCCTTCTCAGTGTGTTTGGGCATGCAACCAGTTCCACCCAGAAAGACATGAGAACCAAGAGGGATGTTCTTCATTAGCTCTGGCTAGAAGATGCAGTAGAGGAAATAGGACATCCCCAGGGTCTCCTCTTGACTTCATTTCCAGCTGACTTTGGGCTTTGTACTCTGGCTTTTCAAATCAGGGTCCAATATCCTAGAGTGGTCCCTCATTCTCTTACCTCAGCTCTATTCAAACTTCCAACTTGTAGCTCAGCCTTGGCAAAAGAGCAAGTGGGTCCTGTCTGCTCTTAGATTGTGAGTCGTCACTGGCTTCTGGTGACCCTGGATTTCTTGGGTCACCTCCATACTGGTGTTTCCAAATATACAAGGAAAAATCTAGACAAACAGATTTTGGCAACATGTCACAAGCCGAACCGTATGAAATGTACCCATTAGCTGATTTTTGACTCCTAAAATACCTATTTTATGTGGTTCGGGTGAATGCATGGACATTTTAGTGCTACCAACAGCGGGCAGAGTGTTGTTGCAACCGCAAGTTGGCTCAGGGGGAAACCTGCGACTTTGGAAATACTGAAAAGCAAAACCGATCAAGATTCGATTATCAGTCGTAAAATAAAGTCTGGGGTTGGGGAGGGAAGTGGGGAAGGGGAGGGGGCTAAGAACAAGCGCAATGACGTGCGTGTGAAAACGCTGCAGCGAAGCCCCCTGCTGCAGGTGCTACGTCTAAATGCCACAGTGCATCTTTTTAAACAAGTGATTTGGCAAAGTTGCTTAATGTGTCTACAGTGATGCCTATGTTAGCAGCCGCCATGGAGAGTGAATGAGGGAATTGATGTGCCAGGCTCATTAACTGTTGACATCGACTGTCATAAACCTTTGTCCTCAGGAGATTCCGACCACAACTGGAAAATCGCCCACGTGACACTCACAGAAGAGAAGAAATTTCGCTATCTTTTCCAGGGCACCAAAGGTGACCCTGATAACTCAGGTGGTGGTATTTTTCTGGATGACATCACTCTGACAGAAACCCCCTGCCCCAAAGGGGTTTGGACCATACGGAATATCTCCCAGGTCATTGCAAACACAGTGAGAGGGGACAAGCTCCTGAGCCCTAGGTTCTACAGTTCTGAAGGCTACGGGGTGGGGGTGACCTTATATCCCAATGGTAGGATCAGCAGTGAACCTGGCTACCTGGGACTCGCTTTCCACTTGTGCAGTGGGGAGAATGATGGGATTCTGGAGTGGCCAGTGGAAAACAGACAGGCCATAATGACCATGCTGGACCAGGACACTGATGTCAGGAAGAGGATGTCCTTAAGCATGATGTTCACTACCTCCAACTACCATACATCTCCAGGTAGGTAATCTGAGCAAAATATGGATTGCCCCTCAGTCTGGGATGGCCAGCACCCGTGTAAAAGACAATAGCATTCCTCAGTTTTCCCTTGTGTAGAGAAGAAGCGTAGTGATGTGAGTGCAGACTTATAGGTTGTTTTTCTTGTGTGTGTGTGTGTGAGAGAGAGAGAGAGAGAGAGAGAGAGAGAGAGAGAGAGAGAGAGAGAGAGAGAGAGAGAGAGAGAGAGAGGAGAGTCTGTGTCTGCGGCATGTATCCATGTATGTGTGGAGGTCAGAGGACAGATAGTCTTGAGTGTTATTCTTCAGGCACCATTCACCTTTTCCAAAACATTTCTTCTTATTATTATTGTAAAGCATGTGTGTGCAGATGCCTTATAGACATTCGAGCCCAGATGCTAGCAGAGGTTAGAGGCATCAGATCCCCGGGAAATAGAGTTACAAAAGGTTGTGAGCTGCCTGATGAAGGTACTGGGAACTGAATTTAGGTCCGCTGTAAGAACAATTCTCACTCCTAACTGCTGAGCATCTCTCCAGCCCTCCAGTCCTCCATCCACATTGCTTTGACACAGGGTATATTAGTCTGGAACTAGTCAAGTACACTAGAATGACTAGGCAGAGAGCCCCAGGGATGTGCCTGCTACCATTGCCCCAGTGCTGGGATTACAAGCATGTGCTGCTATGCTTGGGGGTTTTGTTGCCACTGTTGTTTTAATGTGAGTTCTGGGGGTCCGACTTAGCTTCTCCATTGGATGGCAGACTGAATCACCTCTGCAGTCCTGTTGAAGTTTTTTCATGCCATTGTCCCTTCTCTATCTTAAGTTTTCTCTCAGTCATCTATGCAAAGCTCGTTCTGTGACCCAGCACTGGAGACTCGGGTTTCAGGAACTCAAATGGCCCCTACCCAACCAAGTTCAGTCTAACTGAGAAGACAGATGTTGTCCATCAGAAACTCAGCCATCATGAGGCTTTCTATAGTATTGATGTGTGAAGTCTGAGACTGACTGGCATCGGTGTGTCCATGAAATAAACTTAGATCAACAAAATATGGGCTGGGGTTTTTGTTTTTTTGTTTTTCAAAAGAGATGTGAGCCTCAATAAAGAATGAGCAGCAGATCTCCCTGTGTTCATATTAAGGAAGTCCCTCTGTAGGAGGCAAACAGAGCTGTGGTTCTCTGGCCTTCTCACCTCTCAGTTCTGGATTATAATCATGGGGTCAATATTAAACAAAACCCTTGACTGTGTGTGGAATGTGTGTGCATCTGTGTTTTAGCAAAGCCCATCGTGTAGAGTGGAGGCTAATGAGACTGTATGTCCCTCATCACTCTGCAGCTATAAACGACTCTGTCATCTGGGACAGGCCATCCAAGGTAGGAATCTATGATAAGGACTGTGACTGTTATAGAAGCATTGACTGGGGTTGGGGCCAGGCCATCTCCCACCAGATGCTGAAGAGAAGACGTTTTTTCAAGGACGACACCCTCATCATCTTCATAGACTTTGAAGGTACTGTGTTAGACTTCCTGGGCCAATAATTCTCAGCTCTGCATGGCCTATTGGTTTACATTGATTTAAAGTCAGTTGGGGAGGTGGGAATCTTTTTTTTTCTTTTTTTAAGAAAAAGGCAGTGTTACAATAGCCACATTTTACTTGATTGGTCAAGAATTTGTACTTTTGAATGATGCTTTGAATATGTTGTTTGACACATAGTCATGCAGAGTATATCATATGATACAGTGATACATGTATCTATGATGTGACTAGTAACCCAGGACAAGTGTTTCTAGTGTTTCAAATGCCCATAATTTCTTTGTATTAAAGACTATAATCTTTAACTGTCCCTGGGAGAAACCAAAATTTCATCCTTTTGAAGTGCTATCTTTATGATAGTTTATCAGATATGAAAGTATGTTGACTTCAGGTCAGCCTCAATCTATGTGCCCCTGGTTTGGTGATGCAAACTCAGTCAGTCAATGTGTGACAGAATCATGTTACAATAAAAGGGCTGGCATCATGAGAAAAACCACTTTTCTATGTAGTATACGGTATAGATGAGTCTCGGGGAACTTCCAGAAGTGGGTGCCCATCACAGTCAGTTAATGATCTTGGGTCCTTTCACTGCCATGGCCTGTTTCCTGAAGATCTCACCCACCTGAGCAAGACTGAAGTTCCAGTTCCAATCCAAAGTGTGAACTCCCGAGGTCTCCTTCTTCAAGCTCAGGAGCCTCCTGTCTTGGGAAAAAGCTCTGGAAGAGCTGTAATGGAGGAAGCCCTGCCAAGCAGCCTGGACCAGGGACAACCCAGCCGACAGAAGCGGTCAGTGAAGAATACTGGCCCCATGGAGGATCACAACTGGCCACAGTACTTCAGAGACCCCTGTGACCCAAACCCATGCCAGAATGATGGCGTCTGTGTGAACGTGAAGGGCATGGCCAGCTGCAGGTAGGCTCCAAGGCCAAGGGTGGCATGAGGTGAATGGGGTAGCGTATCTGAGTCAAATTTGCTGTTCAGAAACTCACAATGATGGGGCTGAGGAGGTCTGTCAGTTGGTAACCTGCTTGATGCACAACCAGAGGACTTGAGTTTGGGTCCCTAGTGTCCTCCCAGAAATCAGAGAGCACAATGGCACACTTCTGTAACCCCAGTGCTGGAAAAGTGGGGATGGGAGAATCCATGGAGTTCACTGGCCTGACAGCCTTGCTAAATCATCCATCTTCCAGTTCTGTGAGAGACCCTGTCTCATAAAAGAAGGTGAAGAGTGATGGAAGAAGGTAACCAGTGTCTATCTCTGGCAACATGCATTTGAACGCACCACACACACACACACACACACACACACACACACTACATAAAAGGATGTGACAGTGACTACATTATACAATGTATAATGTTTGCCTTGAGGACTATTGATCACACTACGGCTCACAAATGACCTACGGGCTTTAGCCTAAAGACTTTCTTCTCTTTGACCTGCTATAGAGATTGAAGGTCAAACTTAAATCTTCATGAATAGCAGATTGGTAGTTTTAGAATTCATCAATTCTGTTCTATTATTATGCTTCCAGTAACCAGAATGGGAACATGTGCTTATCATCATATTTCTGCTTTCTGGATATCATTTTGTCCTCCTCAGTAATATACGACATGATCTGAATTCTCTTTTCTGCCCTGGAGACATAGTTCTTCTTACCTTCATCTAGTGTATCAGGGAGATGAATGCACAAAGGGTAATTTGTCCCAAATTATCCAGATAAACAACGCTGGAGCTGGGACTTGCATATCCGAATGCCTGTCTGTGCAGTTTGCTGTGTAAGATAGTCGTGTTTCTAATGTTTGCACAAAAACCAAAGAATATGCCATAAACAAGTGTGTGTAGGGAGAGAAACATCTCCTGCAGTTGGCAGGATGCAAGCAGATGCAGGGGACATGCAACATGCTGCATGCTATCCCCAACGGGCTTGTTTCCGCTGTTTTTCTTCTGAGCTTTTACTTGGAAATAATTTCAGGCTTGTGGATACACTGCATAAACACTGTAGATTTCCCTGTGTTCTTAAATTGTTTTCCTGTCATATTAGCATCTCACACAATCATGTTTCAACTAGCAAAGGCAAAACATGAACAATAGCACAACTCCATGGAGCAGACAACAGACTTCATCCAGATTGCAACAGGTTTCCCTGAAGGCCCCTTTTTATTCCAGGACCCCACAATGCATTCCGTCCCATGTCTCCTTAGTTTCCTTCAACTTGGAACAATCCTTGTCTTTCATCCCTTTGACAACTTTGAAGAGTGACTCCATTACTCTGTAACATTTTCCTTAATTGTTTTGACTCTAGATCTTTTTTCATGATTAGATTGAGCCTATGCTTTAGATACCAGGGGCCAAGAGCACTTTGCTCTTGTTATGTTCAGTGCTCCTGGGGACACATCAGAAAGTGCTGGCTCATTCCAGATAGGGCACCAACAACAGATCAAAGACTAGGCCTGCCCCTCTGCCTGTCCTCAGATGCCGCATCCCCGCAGGTATGCCGACTAGCCTTGCTTGCCCCAGCAGCTGGCATGCAGGCATCAAATTATTCCTTCCCACGGCCCTATATCTGGGGGTTTGGGGGATAAGCTTGCTAAACGTAACTCAAGCTAGTGGCATTGGGTCAGAAGAAAGATATGCCTGATTGCTATTGTTAATTTTTAAGAAGCAAATTCCCAAGCTAGAGATGAAGCCAAAAAAAAAAAAAAAAAAAAAAAGCCTGGTGTTGTGGCTTATTTTCGTAATTCCTGCTGCTTGAGAGGCCAGTGCAGGAAGATCATGGGTTTGAGGCCAGCAGGAGCTATGCAGTAAATGCCAGGCTACTCTGAGGTGTCACAATGCTACCTTGTCTCAACACTCAATTCCAGGGATAAGAAAAGGACACCCCAGCCTACTCCACTGAGCTGCCACTGAGATTCTTGGAACAAAGGCGGGGTTTGTCATTTTGGAAGCTGTGGAACCCTTCCCCTAACGATTGTGATGCTAAGTGACATTTTAAAAAGCAAACAGTCCCCATGTTTACCTACTATGTCCCTACTTTGGGTTAACAACCTTAACTGGTACAGGACCTGTTTTTCAGCTTCAGGTGGGAAACACCAAGCACGTGACTCTGAGAGTTATTTGTCCTTCCACATCTCAAGTAATGACATGGAGAATGGCTGGGTTACAAGCCCGGCCTGTGGTTAAATGAACAGATGTGTATGAAGCCTGTGGTTGGGCTGGCAGTGGTCTTCGACTGTTTGCTACTGCTATTGCTGTTATTCGTGGGTCCTGTTGCTGGTGAGCGCCTGAGGTCCAGGTAGTTTCCACTCTCTGTGTCCTGCTCCACAGGTGCGTCTCCGGGCATGCCTTTTTCTACACGGGAGAGCGCTGTCAGGCCATGCAAGTACATGGCAGCGTGCTGGGCCTGATCATTGGCGGCATCACCGGCCTGATCTTCTTGACCTTTGTCACATTTAGCAACACTTACCAGAAGCTGATGCAGTGAGCAGGTCCCTGTGGATGTCCACCAGACTGCAGAAGGGCCTCGCCCATCCCGGCTTCCTTCCTGTGCTCAGCGTACTTTGGGATAATTTTTATCAAGCGTGCTTGAAAGGGTTCCCAAAACCAAAGCTGCCAGCCTAGTATGTGGCTCTTACCACTTCCATCCCCACAGAGCTCTTGTTAGCCTTCTGTGAATTCCTGGTGAATCCTTATGTCCTGAGCCAGCAGCCATCACATTTAATTATAAACCTTTGCTTACTTGACCCTCTCCCCTTGCATCACGCTGGACCCTCTTCCTTTGGATCGCAAGCTCCAGTCAGGTAGGGACCCGTTATCATCAGCCACCACGTTGGCCCCATTGCTAGAAGCACACTTGGCAGGTGTGTTGTGGGTGCTCCATAAGTATTAAATGAATGCAGCAACAAGCCAGTGAATAACTGTGGTGTAATAGTCTTTTATTTCTATTTCAGAGCATACAACGTACGATTAAATCTATGTGCAGCTATTTTAAAACCAAACAGTTTTTACCAGACAGTGGTCTTATTGCTCATTTAGTATCCCATGAAATGATTTCAAAGATGCCTCTGGTAGGCTGAGTTTCCATGGCATGTGCTTTCTTTTTGCTCTGGTTTTAATGGAAAGACTTAATAAATCCGATAAAGATGGAATATGCGTGCTCTATGTCTCCATTGTGAGTGTGTGCATGGTGTGTGTGTGTGTGTGTGCATGGTGTGTGTATGTGTGTGTGTGTAGATGCCCAAAATTTCTTTTTGAGAGGTTAAAATTATAAAGTGTATTTTGAGACTGGATTTGTATCTGAGCTTGTAGAATGTTTGTCTAGCAATCCGGAAGCCCAGGGTTGCTCCCCCAGAACCGCACGACTTGGCAGCCCCTATCTGTGATCCACCATTCAGGAGGTGGAAGCAGGAAGATCAGGAGTTCAAGGTCATCCTCAGACGCAAGTTCCAACCAGGGCTGCATGAGACCCTGTATAACGGTGGTGATGGTGATGAGCGGCGCACTTTCTATGGTATTCATGCATACCTGTGCTATATTATTGTATTATGTTAGCAGACCAAAGGCATCAGGTAGAACTTAAAGACAGACACGTTTTTAGCCATTTGTCTAGCTGTCACCTCCAGCTGGTGAAACGAGGCTGCCACAGGAGAGTTGCAGGATGAACCTAACGAAAAGGGAAGCTTTGATTCCCCTCCTCAGCCAGCAGAGAGTTGGCTCTTGACATTTAACTACAAGAGAGTCCCAGCTACCCTAGTAGCCCAGGATTTAGGTGACCAGACTTCTTCGTCACGGGCTTCATTGCATCTCCATGGAGTTAGTATGTACTCAGAAGAGTCCCTTGTCAAGACAGGCGACTAGCATGCATCGTGTCACAAAAGGACTCGGGACAGGCACTCTCTGACTGGAGATATAGAAGCATGCCTGGGAACATGCCCGGCCGGAGCAGCCGGCACCATGGCATAGCCCCTCCCCAGAGTTTCTAGTTTGGTAGGCCTTCGGTGAGTTGTATTTCTAACAGGCTGCCAGGTGATGCCCATGCTGCTGGCCTCCTCCACGTCCCTTAAGATACACGTTCCGGCAGTGGTGACACAGCAGCAGAGGCAGGTGGATGTCCAAGTTCGAAGCCAGCCTGGCCTCCAGAGTGAGTTCGAGGACAGCCAGCGATACACAGAGAATCTCAAAAACAAACAAACAAATAAGAAATGCTGTTGTTCTAGTGAATAGAAGGCAGTCCGCTGGTCAGGCATCCTGGATGTAGGCTTGGATCAACCAGCCAGTCAGCTGTGTGTGTGTGTGTGTGTGTGTGTGTGTGTGTTATTAAGAAGTCACTCAAGCTTGCTGGGCCTTGGTGGTGCATGCCCCTTTAGTCCCAGCACTCAGGAGGCAGAGGCAGGTGGATCTCTGTGAGTTCGAGGCCAGCCTGGTCTACAGAGTGAGTTCCAGGACAGGCTCCAAAACAATACAGAGAAACCCTGTCTCGAAAAACCAAAACCAAAACCAAAACCAAAACAATCACTCAAGCTGTTCTTGGGTCTAACTAGTCACTGATTCCATCTTGCTACTCAATCTCATCATCTCAAGAATAGCGCAGTAACTAGAAAAATCCATTCATGGTTCAGAAACAGTAGTCTGGCTGGATCAGCTGATGGAATCCTCTTCTGAGTGAGGGAGACCAGGGACAAATAGGGTCGTAGTTAAGTTGGTTACTCTGTTCTGGCAATTCAGCCTCTCCAGTGCCAAGAGCATGCGTAGTACTCATCACACCTGTAATACCCCTACCCATGTCATTTGTTCTAAGTTACTTTCTCCCCCCTTCCTCTCTTTTTCTTTCTTTCTTCAAACTAGAGCTTTCTATGTAGCTCAGGCTAGCCTCAAACTCATGGTGATCCTCCTGTCTCAGCTTCTCAAGTGCTTGGATCACAGGTGTGCACCACCATGCTTGCCTTCATATTTCTTAGACTGTTGCTGTTGTTTTAAGATTTATACACATTTCACGTGCTTTAGCCTATTGTGATTACGTTTTGAAATTGATTGAGAATGTCATACATGCATATAGTATGTCTTGATCAAACCCAGCCCTCAACTTGCCACTCTCCACAGATTCCACTTAATGCTTCCAGTGCGCACATGGGTGTGGAACTGCCCACTGAAGGGTGGGGAAGTCTATCAGGGGCACAGCTCTGAAGAAAACTGACCCCCCTACCTCCCTGCAGTGGCAGTCAGTTGCCAACGGCTCCTCAGTTAGGTGTGGGACATTATGAGACCCTCCCATCCATACTGAATTTACCTGACTTGGCTTTTTTAGACCATTGATAAAGATCTGCAGACAATAACCAACAAGTATCAGTGACTGTTCTAGGAGCACCCTGGGTACCCATCAGTCTCCTCTGGGGCATGGACTTCAGTCGCGCTGCATCCTGCAGAGCGTTGCCTTTGGCCCATTTACAAGTAAATCATAGCCTAACCCCTTTGTGTATGAGCCTGCCCCTTTCTGTTGGATTACACTGTCTTCCCTATGACTTGACAGAATCCCAGAGACACCAAGTCCAGTGCCTGCACCGGAGTGAACTGGGAGCTGGCCACAGAGAACAGGTACAGCAGAGAGGCCACAGGACACTTAAGGACAGGCTCTGTCACTCTCAATGGGTTTCAGAAAAGTTTAAGGAGACAAACACTTGCGAAGATGCTATAAAATCAAGCTAATCTATATCTGACACTACCTAGAGTTCTTTTTTGCTTGTTTTTCTGTATTCTGGATACTGGTTTGGTGTGTGTGTGTGTGTGTGTGTGTGTGTGTGTGTGTGTGTGTGTGTAACTAGTCATCTATATTTTGACATACACAAATATAGCTAAACCACCTGTTCTGGTTATCTTCAATGCTTTCTGAATATGTTTCTCCAAAAAATCTCTGGGAAAATTGAATTTTAAAAAAATTAATATATCATAGGGCTGGAGAGATGGATCAGGGCTTAAGAGTGATTGTTGTGACTGCAGAAAATTGGAGTTAGATTCATAATACCTGAGAATCTCACAACTGTCTGGAACTCCAGTTCCAGGGGACCTGACAACAGCTGTCTTCCGGCCTCACAGGGCACCAGCACGCACTTGCACATACTCACACACAGACACTAATATTAAGTCTTTTTTAAAGACGTATCATGTTTATTCTCTGGTGAGTACTATTTGCCCAACAGTGGAAAACACTAGTGAGCTTGGCTGAGAGACAGTGAATCAGATGCTGGTGACCGACCTCTAATAAACACTTACGTGCAGGAAAGTGGCAGAAAAGATTTGACAGCAGAAGATAGCCCAACAGGGTACATGCCTGCATATGTGTGTGCATGAGTACTCTTGTGAGAGATTTGACAGGAAAGGGAAGCAGTCTGTGTGTGGGAGGTGGGGACATGCGTGTGCACACATGCACATGAGAGCACGTGTATGTGTTTGTAGGAGTTGAAGCTCAAAGTAAGCTTCAAGTCTCCAGACAGACTCTGTCCTTCTCAGCCTTTCTCAGTGTTGCCCAGGGTCAGTCCTGGATCCCAGAGTGGACTGATACATGGACTCATTTGGGTCACAGCTTTCCTCGGGACCTAGACAAATTTAGGAGAATTGGACCCACGTGTGACCCACCAGCTCCATGGAAAGTAGTAATGCCTTAAGATTTTTCTCAGGAGAGAAGTAAAAGGAGAGGTTAGCCAGGTGTGGTTAGCCATGTGACAGCTCTCAGGGCTTAGGAGACAGATGGCAGGAGACTCAGGATTTCAAAGAGTTTGAGGCCATCATAAGCCAGGTTTGACCCTGTCTCCAAAATCAAAAGGCAAACAAACAATAGACAAAGCGAAGTCTAAAGACATCAGAAGAGAGTGAAGAGAGAGCTAAAGGCAGAGGCAGGTTTTCAGTCACAGGCAAAATGGCCACCAGCAGGTTTCTCAGGAATAGAAAGCCTGTCCACCAGGCCACCTGGAGCAGCTTCCATGCCCTCCTCCCCTCACAGGAGGTGGGGTGGGTGTCCAAGCTTGCCTAGCAGAATAGAAGCGTTAATGCTGCCTGTTAGCTTCTCAGGGTCTTTAGACTCACACATCCTTAGTTACTTCCTTTATCCTAAGGACTGATTAAGGCTGATTAGAGGGGAAGCTGTCCTGTAGGCAGTGAGGAGGTGACTGGGGGAGGGGGGGAACAGAGAAAGGGGAAGTCTCTGAATTTCCGAAAATGACATGGAGCTAGGATGTGGTAGGTTGGGCAGTTTACTTAGGAACTTTTTCTGCGTGTGAAGTAAAGTCATTTCAACCCCTTTTTCAGTCTCCACTACTGGCAGAAAACATAATTTTACCAGACACAATGGTATCTGCAGGGCCAACATGCGACTGAGGCTAAACCAGCCACGACACCCTGAACTGCATCTGTGTTAGCCTCAGAGGTTTCTTTCCCAAGTTTGTCTTGGAATGAAATAAACACGGACAGGCAGAGCCACCAAAGGAAACCTGGGCACTCAGAATGTTGCCTTAGTCCCGGAACTATGTCTGAGTCTGTCATCCCTAGTGACGGGAGCTCACAAGTGCCCGTTGCTTGAACTCCTTCGTTTGTGTTTCTGTTGCTATCTGTCCCTCTGCTGATGTGGCATAGCTGGGTCATCAGGAAAGACAGAAAGTCACAGAACTGTGAGAATTTAACGAGTTCAGTGGAGTGTGTGGTCTCAGAAGCTGACCTGAGGGAGGGAAGTTTGCCAGACTCTCAGCTTGATCGTTGAATTTGTCTTCCATTCTGGCTTGAATGCACGGGCTAGATTGAAACTCAAACCTTACTTAAATTTTGATTTACGATATCATGTACTTGCAGTAGAAAGGGGTTCAGGAGCCCCTATACCTAACTTGGTGACCTCAACAGGAGAGCATGCCAGTTTCCTTTGTAGTATGACTCTTTTTTTGTAGGTCAACCATACCTCAGTAGATGGCCACACACCCACCAGTATATGGGCATGCAAACTGAAGTCAGAGTGCTATTAAAAACAAAGACCAAGAAAACATGAAGTTGGGGCCAGGTATAGGTGAATCTGGGAGGAGTTATAGGGAGAGGCTGTGGATACAACCAAATCTTCCTCAAATATGATCAAAATACACTATATAAAATTCCCAATAAAATACTTTTAAAAGAAAAAAAAGATACTATGGATCTTGGAAATTGTTCTACTTCTTTCTTGTGTGTGTGATGTCTGCCTGTGTGCACCATCGTGTGTGTATGTGTGTGTGCACATGGAAGCCAGAGGTGCATGTTGGACATCTTCTTCAATCTGTCTCCATCTCTCAGGTCCTTGTTCTGGCTTGGGAAGCTCTTACCTGACTGAACCATCTTCCCAGCCCCTGGAATTCTTCTCAAAGACTCCTAACCATAAATTAAATATGAAAGCAGAGAGACTGTTAATTTTTCTGAATAGAGATTCTATGTAAACCTCAGAATAGCTCTAGGGAAGGACTCAAAGTGCCAATGACTTTATTCAGTCATGTCTGGGTTCTAAGTTTGTGACCTGTTAGCTCTATAAGAATCCCTCAGCAATCAGTAGAGATTGCACCGTTATCACCTCCTTTTACTTTGTGGAAACTGAACCACAGGGTGCTTTTTCCCAAGTTTATGTGGGACATGCGCCATAGGCCATGCAAGTCACGGACTGACTTCCACACAACGTCGGGACAGGCTTTTAATCAAGCAGCCTCATCAGCCACGTCACCTGTCTTCTCATGCAAGTGAAGCAAGAATCAGATGACTCAGACCCCCACTACTTCAGTCTTCAGCTTACAGGAGAAGCATGGAGTAGCCAACTCTGTTTGGACAGTGTCTCAAATTTCCATGATCAATATTTTAATTCAGCCTCCAAAACTCACACTTCATTTCTGGGAAATCACCTTTCCCTTCCCTTTGGTAGTCAATGACCTGAGAATGCTTGCTAGACCTGTGCCAAGAATAAAAAACAACACCTTCAACACCAGACTGTACAGCCATATTTGAATGACAACTAGTAATTAAAAGGGCAACGGGTGGCCAAGCTGCTGTGTTTGGGGTGTCCACTTGGGGGTTAATCTGAGGGCTACCATTGGAACTGCAATTCTTTGTCATTTTCTTGGACTGATGAAGGAAGCTGAGTTTGCCCAAAACATTGGTCACCTGCTCCTGTGTGAAATAATTAAATGAGGTTAAAGTTGAGTTAGATTGAACTTGGGGCTGTAGAGATGGCTCAGCAGTTAAGAGCACTGGCTGCTCTTCCAGAGAACCCCAGTTCAACTGTCGACACCCACATGTAGCATGCTAACAATTACCTGTAGCTCCAATTGCAGAGAGTCCATGTCCTTTTCTGGCCTCCACGGACACCAGGCTTAATTATGGTATATAGACATACATGCAGGCAAAACACTGGTAAGACTTAATCGTCTACCTTTCCTGTCTGTCATTCTCTCTCTCTCTCTCTCTCTCTCTCTCTCTCTCTCTCTCTCTCTCTCTCTCTCTCTCTCACTCACACACACACACACACATTTTGGAGTCTAACAACCCATCCTCTTATGCATGCCTCCTCGTAACAAAGCAGAGGCAATAGGTTGGAATATAGTGAAGTTCCCATGGTCCCTGCTAGACACTGCACTTAATACGTGACTCTAGTGATCCATGGTTGTGTGAGCTTTAGGCAAGTTGCTAACCCCTCTGTTTTTAATTTTTTTTAAATCTGGAAAATGAAGAAAAAAAGAATATTCACTTATGTCTTGGTTCTACTTGTACTGCTGTGATAAAGACCAGACCAAAAAGCAAGTTGGGGATAATGGGTTTATTTGACTTATATGTCCTCATCACAGTCGGTCACTCTGGGAAGCCAAGGCATGAACTTAGAGGCAGAAACTGAAGCAGAGACCTTGCAGCGATGCTGCTTACTGGCTCATGATCAACTCCTTTTCTTATACCTCCTAGTGTAGGTAGATAGCTCACATACCAACAGCACTGACCTCTCCCACTTGGGCGTGGTCACAGGAATGTGGGGAGAGGCAGAGATAAAGGTCAAGGAAGGAGGGGTCACACTCTCTCTTGGGGCTGTGGTTGAGGTCGGAGACCAGCAGAGCGCTGACCTCAGTTCTTGGCTTCTTATGTAAGTGATTTCTCCCTCTCTAATGAAGTATCACACGACTTCCCTTCATGGTATACTTGATGTGGCTGATTATCCATCATCACCCTAGGACCACCGGGGTGGCACTGCCCACAATGGACTGAACCCTCCCTCATCATTGCTAACACTGAAAATGCCCCATAGACCTGCCAACAGACCAATCCAGAGGAAGCGTTTTCTTAATTGGGGTTCCCTTTTCTCAGATGGCCCCAGCTTGTAGCAAGATGACAAACACTAACCGTCACAATAGACCCCTTGTAAAACTGGCACACAAGAGCACCATGATCAAAGTGTTACCTTTCCCCTGTTGTTTATCCACAAGAGTGCATATTAACCTTATGGTGTCATTTTTCAAAGTCCCCCAGTCTAAAAATTTCAACACTTTAAAAGAGTCCAATTTCCGTTTAAAAATCTAATGTCTTAGCCAGGAGCGGTGGTGCACACCTTTAATTACAGCACATGGGAGGCTGAGACAGATCCTAGAGTTTGAGGCTAGCCTGGTCTACAGAGTCAGTTCTAGCACAGCTAGAGCTACATAGAAAAATTGTTTTGAAAACAATCCCTTCCAAAAAAAAAGAAAGAAAGAAAGAAAAAGAAAATCAGAACAAAACTCCAAATAAACAAATAAAATCTAATGTCTCAGCTGGGCGTTGGTGGCGCACACCTTTAATCCCAGCACTCGGGAGGCAGAGGCAGGCAAATCTCTGAGAGTTCGAGGCCAGCCTGGTCTACAGAGAGAGTTCCAGGACAGCCTCCAAAACAATACAGAGAAACCCTGTCTTGAAAAACAAAAACAAAAACAAAAAAACTAGAAATAAAACTCTAATGTCTCTTTGAAAGTCTGAAGTCTCACAACTGTGGGCTCCTGTAAAACTGGAAAATAGTGAAATATGTTTATTCCAAGAGGGAAGAACCAGGGCACAATTACAATGAAAATCAAAGCAGTATAAGTCAAATCCTTTAGCTCAGTCTACAGCATCTGGGACTCATGATCTTCTGGGCTCCATTTCCCCATCTCTGCCATCTAAACACATAGTTTGTCTCATGGACTCGGGGCAGCATCACTCAACAGCTGCTGCTGTCCTTGGCGATCATCCCAGTCTTGGCTCCTCCCACACTGGGGTCTTCCCTGAAGCTGAGGCGGCACCTTTACCCCTGGCCTCCTTTCAGGAACAGCAACGCCCCCGCATCGTGTCTCAGCCTCACCCTGATCTCCAGTCGTGGGGTTTGCATCCCAAATAAGGCTGCACCTTTACTGGCGGCTTCTCCTGAACTCTGTTTAGGGTCTCTAACCCTGTCCCAGCTGCTCTCTCTGACACCTTTAATCTTGCCGTTTTCATTCTACCCAAACCCATACATGTTAACAATTTTATTGTGTTTGGACCCCTCTGGACTACAGCTCTGTGTGTTGACCCTAAGGAAATACTCCGAGAAGATTTTTTTTTCCAAAGTGATGTCCATCTCTCCACCAGCTGGTCTCTCAGCCCCAGCTGTCCAGGGTCAATGGTCTCAGTAAAGCAATGGTCACTTCAATGGTCCTGGTCTTGAGAGTCATGGCTCACTGTTCAGTCACAGCTGACCAGAGACCGCAGTTGTTTTTGTTGTTGTTGTTTTGGTTTTGTTTTTTGAGACAGGGTTTCTCTGTGACTTTAGAGACTGTCCTGGAACTAGCTCTTGTAGACCAGGCTGGTCTCAAACTCACAGAGATCCGCCTGCCTCTGCCTCCCAAGTGCTGGGATTGGGAGGCATGAGCCATCATCGCCCGGCGAAACCACAGTTTTTTAAAGTCAAAAATACCATACAAATGGCCCTGTCTTAGGATTTCTATTGCTGTGATAAAACACCATAACCATAAACAACTTGGAGAGGAGAAGATTAAATTAATTTCATTTATAACTCCGCCTTCCCACAGAACAACCACAAAGCTTCGAATACTTTACACCACTTCATCCCAAAACCCCAAATACACCCACAATCCTAACGACACACGTCCACAGTCCCCTGAACCACATGGTCAGGTTGATTGCAACAATAACTCAGTTTTGGATTTTTAGAGGATTTAAACAAGGTTGCATACATAAGGGTACATAGTAGGGGATCAATAGATGTCATTGAATACAGTAGTAGATTTGGCAACCAATTCCTGTGTTCCTCTCCTAGAGGGTCGTGTATATTAAGCTTTGCCTCTCACTGAGATTTTGCTACCTGGTGAAGAAATGCCCAACGTAAACAGGAAAGGTGTGAGATATATGTGGGGGTTGGGGGGCCAACATCTCAAGGCATATGATATCCCCTCAGACACTGCATAGCTATCTCTGTCGTTATGTAAAGCCTGTTCAGTTTGTTCCTCTGCTCCAAGTGCCAGCCTTCTCAACAGCTGACCCTGTTTACTTCTTTTCTTCTTGGCTCCTGCCTTGGCAACGTGTGCCCAGAGCCCAGATGAGAACCTTACCATGAGACTCCAGCTGCTAGCTGGGTTAAAGACAACTCTGGACAGCTGAAGACTCAGCATGGACTGAAAATTGGAACTCTGTCCCAGCTAAGAAAATTCAAACAAGTAATATGTGTTCATTGTACACAGTGGTAAGTTCCATAATGACATTTTAAGATACTTTTAAAGTATGCATGTATGTGTATGTGCATATGGGTGCAGGTACCCACAGAGGCCAGAAGAGGGCATTGTGTCCCTGAGATGCTGTTGCAGGTGACTGTGAGTGGGCTGCTTGAAATGGACACTGGGTACTGGACTTGAGTCCTCTGGAAGAACAGTATGCACTTGCAGACAGACGTTTCTGTCCTGCCCAGTCCTGCAGCCCCAAATAAACACGCAGAGGCTTATATTAACTATAAACTGTTTGGCCTATTCTATTGCTCAGGCTTATTACTAACAAACTCTTACAATTTAAATTAACCCATAATTCTTACCTGTGTTTAGCCATGTTGCTTGGTACCTTTTCTCAGTTAAGACCTTCTCATCTTGCTTCTTCTGCATCTGGTTAGCAACTCACTCTCTGCATTCCCTCTTCCCAGAATTCTCCTAGTCTGGTAGCCCTACCTAAACTTCCTGCCTGGCCACTGGCCAATCAGCATTTTATTAAACCAATACCAGTAACACATCTTACAGTGTAAAAGAGCATTGTCACACAACCTGCACTCTTAACTGCTGAACCATGATCTAGTCCCAATGATGGCATTCAGTCAAGCTAATCATGCACTTTGACCACATTCACCCCTTACCCTGTTCTTCCTCCCACCCACTCTGCCCGGAAGCTTCTCCCTTCCTTTCGCCAAACAGCCTCCATTCTCTCTCTCTCTCTCTCTCTCTCTCTCTCTCTCTCTCTCTCTCTCTCTCTCTCTCTCTCTCTCTCTCTCTCTCTCTCTGTGTGTGTGTGTGTGTGTGAAATCTAGGAGATGTTCGTCTTGTCCTGGGTCAGGCTTAGCTTTCATAACACAGCCATCCCTACTTTCACATGTTTCTGCCCCAAACGACACAAATCACACTCTTCCTGGGGGCTGAATGCAACTCTTCAACAAGAGAGTTTGGCAATGGAAAAGGGAGAATTCAAATCAATCGTTGTACAGTCTCACTCATGGAGAAAGCTTGTTCTCATGAAACATGGGAGGCTTCCGTTCTGCTCCCTTAAACACCTTCCAGAAACCTGTTTGGAAAGGCAGGGGGATGGCAGTATGCCTGCATGGTTCAGGTAAGGGGGTGGGGCAGAGTGGGCCATCTCTTCGGGGCCGCCTTTAGCTTTGGTTGGTTACACAAATTAGCTTTTGTTAATGAAGGAGGAAATAAAAGGCAGCAGGGAGATATTCCTCATCATATATATATATGATGAGGAATATATATATATATTCCTCCCACCTGCAAATTCCCTATGCACTGTGTGTGTGTGTGTTTCCTGACTCGTCCCTGCCAAGATCATAATGTCGCGGTGGAAGGAAGTGGGAGGGAGATTCCTTCATTCCGCAGCCTGGGATTCCATCCTGTTAAGGTGACCCAAGTTACAACACTTCGGGTTGTCCACCTGGGACCCCCCTCGGCCTCCACCCTGCTGCTCTGAGAACCACTAAGGAGGCACATCCTCTAAGGTCCACCAGGTGGCGGTCAAGCTTCAGGAGACGCAAACAGGATGCGCTGGAGCCGACACAATTGAGGCCAGCTGTCACTCATTAGCCCAGCTGGAGATGCCCCCGAGGACAGTGATTCAGACAGCTGTGAAACAGCTCCCGGGGCATGGGAAAAACACTCACGGTTCCAGAAAATAAAGCTGCAAATGGATGTAACCATTTCCTCAGTTAATCAAAATCAAACACTTCTTTCCACAGCTACGGGGACAGGAGGCGGGTGCTGATTGGCAGGATGGGGACAGAACATGGCACTCATCAAAACCGCTCCCAAAGAGGCCAAGCATGAAGACATTCTTGGAGTCTGTTGTCCGGTGCTGTCGGAAGTGGGCTGTGACAGCAATCTCTGCTGGCCTTGCCCAACCGGTTCCTGCTGCCTTTCATGCTGAGATTCCTGGGGGTGGTTATGTTTATTCTGTAATGGCTGCCAGCATACTTCACTTGGCTCTGAGTTAAAGAATAAAAGCCCTGGGACGGGAACAGGTTCCCGAAGCTCCTGCCCAGTCCCATTTGTGACCGAGGGGACCTGTCTTGGACACTCTTCCTTCTCAGTTTACCAAGGGTTGCGATAGGAGTCAATAAAATCACTGGCTTCCTCAAATCCCTCCCGCAGCCTTTCTGGAAGGGTGGACTGTGTCACTTCTGTTTTTAGCTTTGCCGTTGGTTCTGTAAACAGGATTTTGGCTATGAGGAAAGAGTCTCACGACTGGGTCCCTTCGTGGTCACCGCGATACCTGCAGTGGCCTTTGGAAATAAATAGGTGTTTGCTCTGAGTGGACTTCAGCCATCGGGGCCATCTGCCCTCTTCTTGTGGCCTTTGCCCACTCCAGAAGCACAGGGAGCAGGACCCTTACCAACTTCCTCTCCTTCTAGAATGTGCTAGAAGGTTAGGGTTAGGACATGAGGGATCTAGTTTTAGCCAACTGAATCACATATGTTGGAACAGACAAGAATAGATTTGTTACATGGATATTTAGGTTCTGATGGCTTTGCTTCGAGGACCCTGGTTTGTTTATTTATTTATTTGTTTGTTTGTTTATATTTATTGGCTCAGGACCCTGTTTTTAAACTCCTGGCATGGCATTGGCCACCACAATGCTCCTGGGAATGTGGAAGGTGTGACAAAAGCTGCCGGCCCCACCTGAGCTCAGCTGTGAGCCTCTCCATATCTGGAAATAGAAGGTCTCACTGGGTGTTTGGGGAGTGGGATTGGGTTCCAGCTGATATGAGGAAACCTGACAGACAAATGGAAAACTTACACGAAGACAGTTCGGTAAATCATTAGCTATTTTATTATCGGGAAGGAAAGCATCACTGACATGTTAGTAGGACATGGTTTAAACTCTGAGTTAAAATTCGAGATACCCATGGCATCTGATTGCAATAGAAATGCCATTTCTGTTGTCTTTAAAAATAATCAAGAAATAGATGTCTGCTCTAAGCTCCTCCCTTGTGGACGCTGAAGGAACCAGGCTTCTATTGGCCTGGGTCACTGGTTTTCTCTTTGGGGTGCAAGCGTCCCTTATCATGGCACCTCTACGTGCCACAGATAAAACGCTTAATCTCTGCATAAACAGCTCATGTAATTTTCTTCTGTCTTCCTAACTGGCTGCGACTTTCTGCTCCACTCACCTGGGATTAACTCCTCCGTGTCTCCCTCCTCCCTGACTGGCTGTTGTATTCTTTCTTATCTCCGTGTACATTTTCTCCTGACACAGACCTCTCTGGGGGGCTCTGCACAAATCACAAAAGCCTCTGGCTTCCCATGCATTTCTTCACTTCCTCCTTTCTTGACCTACACCCTGGGAGATGCTGGATGACGCTTAGAGTAGTCCCTGAGAACATCGCTGTGTATTGATCCTGTGGTCTTGGATCCTCCAACTTCACAACCCCCAAAACATTAGCATAGATCTTGCAAGAAACTGCCTTGATGGAAAGCCCATTAAGGGAAGAAAGTTGGAGCCCTTGGAATTTACTTTACACAATAAAAGGCATGGAGAATGCTGCCAGCAGGGTGCACTCTCTTAGCAAAGTGAACAGGCTTCTGTTGGCATCTGAGTCACTGAACACTCTCTGCCAGTCAGTGCCCCTTGCTGCTGCAGAACTGGGTGCAGGCTCTGGCTTTCACACAGTGAACAGATCCGTGTGCTTCCATCTGTTACAGTTTTGTGTACTACATTATTTTATAGTAAAGGTCAATGTGGACTTGTGAGCAGAAAACCCACTAAGTGCTCCTCCGAATTTTGTCACATAGATTTTCTGGGGGATATGTATGTGTAAGTACCCTCAAAGTCAAGAGGAGGCCAACAGACTCCCCTCAGCTGGAGCTACAGGTGGTGATGAGCCGTCCAACATGGGTGCTAGGAACAGAACTTGGGATTCCTCTGTAGGAGTTGCGTACATTCTGAACCACCCAGCCATATCTCCAGCCGCCTTTTCTGGAAACCAATGCTGTGCCTTGAAAGACTGAGGGCCTCTGTGTGTGTTAATGTTGGTGCGGATGTGCACATGTCTGTCCCGAGATCAATGGCCCCCTGCTGAATCTTGCATTTACAAACTAGCAAACTTCCTTTAGGGAATTTTAAAGAATGAGTGATTCATTTGGGGCAGAGATGTGGCAGTTCTCAGGAAAACAGCTGTCCATGTCTGCCTGTGGATTTGGGTGTACACGTGTGTTCATAGGAGCCTATGTGTGTATATGTGCATGTGCATGCCTGTGCACACATGTTCCTGCATGCCTCTGTCGGTTTATGGGGGTCTGTGTATGAATTTGTGTGTGCATTAGAGTTTGTGGTCATGCGCACCGGCGACAGGGGAACGTGTCCCTGTGAATGAAGGCAGGCAGAGGGCCAGATCCACATCCTATGGAATTCAGCTGCAAGTTCCTGCTATTATGCCGTTATGGAGGTTCCCTTCACAAGGTCAAGCCCAATGGCTCCCAAGGGGCACCAACGAAGTGGGCCAAAGTTCAGTGTTCCTTGGACCTTGGCGTTCTTGAGAAGCCCGGCCCCTGCCTCCCCTGGAGCTGTGCCTCCCTGATGCCAAGGCTGCCCTGCCATACGGTACAATGCTCCTGCCTCAGAGCTCCTTAACCTAAGTCAGGGAGCTGAATCAGCCCCAGTCATTCCTTCTCCAACCCAAGGATGCCTCATCTTAGCCTCATCTGTTCTCTCTCTCTCTGCTGAACTCTGCCCTGCTTTGGAGACTCCCGGAGAACTCATCCACATTTGCGTGCTAAGATTCATTTTCCGTAAGGACTTTAAGTAACAGACACTAAGTGGGGACTTGGGTAGAAATGGAGCACAGTGGATGGGACCTTCCTCTACGAAGGACGGCAACGTGGAACTGAAGCTTAGAACTAAAAGGAAGAGATTTTAAAGTGCTTGAAAATATTTAAGATAAAACTTTCAGGTCAATGAGTGACCGTTAGAGTTCAGACTCCTCTCCCCCGTCTTCCCAATGAAGGGCGTTCAGAAGCCTTAAAACCCAACAGGGCCCATCCACCCCCGAAGAGCCTGCTGTTTGTTATTGAATGAGAAATGTCCTCGATAGGCTCCTGTATTTGAACCCTTGTCCCGCTCCCCACCCCACTGCTGGTGCTGTTTGGGAAGGTTATGGAACCTTTAGGAGGCAGAGCCTGTTTAGAGGAAGTGTGTCACTGGGGGGAGGGCTGTGAGTGTTCATAACCTTGTCCCACTCCCTGTTCTTTATTCCCAGACTACTGAGGCAGGGAGATGGGCTGGCGTCATGCACCACAGCTGTGCTTTCCCCGCCACAACGGACTGCATTCTGAAGTACAAGCCCAAACAAACCGTGACTCCCTTAAGTTGCTTCCGACTCAGCATCCTCCTACAGCAATGAGAAATGAACTCAGACGCTGTCCTTACCGCCACTGTCCCTTTGAGATTACTCTTGGATATGAGCTGCGTGATTGCTCTTGATACTGAAGTGGTGAGCTCTAACATGGCTGTAGTTTTAATAAATATCTGCATTTTTGAGAGACACATGTATAAAAACCACACAGGTATAAATTTATGAACAATCTGATCCTTGGGAGGAGCTCTGCCATTTGCCTCTCAAAGCCAAGTGTGGCTGGGAGCACAGAAGAGTCTAGAGTATACTTTTTCTCCAGAAGCCTTCCAAGTGGGCTGTAATGAACACAGATCAGACCATAGACATTCTGAATGTATATTGGCCTGGGAACTGACAAGACCGGGAACAGGTAGCAACAGCAAGCTATACAGCACATCCAGGGCCATCATCTCCACTGTCACGAGGATGTCACAGCGGCAATAGTAAAGAATGTACATGCTACACAATCATTAAAATCTATTCTATAACGCACAGAAAGTACCTGGTTAAAGCTGATACATGTAAGACAGATGTGGAGTCTGCATTCAGTGCAATATACCAAACTTGTCAATAACTGGGTATACTATATACATACACATGCATTGCTTTCGAAACGTTGAACAAAACTAACATGCAGTGCCTCTCTGACAAACCATGAGAGATGAATCCTTACTTGAGTCTGACAGCGTTGCTGTCACGTTTCCTCTGTGTGCTTATCCTGCTTTGCTCAGGCCCTGACATGCAAAGGTTCATACGCATGTCCTTGTCATGAGGACATGTGTCTCCTTGGGTACGTAGCTTGCAAATATTACCATCCAGCCAGAGGCATCCTCATGGCATGGTTCCCTTCCTGCTTCTCCTCTGTCTTGGATTCTATCCTTTTGCTGGGAAGTATCAGCAATGTGCTAAGCTCGCCCCCTGTGACTTCATTTCATTGTCCATTTTTGAGCCATACATTTTCATTCTCTGCACTGTGATATCTGAGTGATCATATTAGATCTTGATGTAGGAACCTCAAAATGTGCTCATTAATGTTTTCTACATTATTCTCCCTTCTTTCTTTCCTACCTTCCTCCTTCCTTCCTCCCACCCTTTCTTTTTTCCTTGAATTCATTGAACTCCTGAGTACTAACTTCTTATACTTATCTTTGTGTCAATGGCAGGGGCGTTGGGGTGATGAAAAACTCTCTTCAAAATTCTATTTTACAATACATATAGAAAAGTTGGGTCTTAAGGGAGTTTCTTTTAAATACTATACATATTTGGCATTACAAGAGGGATGGGGAGGACAAAAATAAACATGGAAATTGCTTTTAGTCTGTCTTTACAGAAGAAAGCATCCTCGCTACTGAGTGTCTTCAGCATCTGCTCCCAGCAAGCAGTCTGCAGAGAGAACACTTTACCCATAGATGTGGATGGGTCCCTTTTTCTCGGCACATGCCCTGTTTCTGAGAGGTCCTGCGGATTTGGCTTTGTCTGGTCCTAGTTGAGCAGCGAGTAAGCACTAGATGAATTTTCCACGGATGAACTGGTTGTTTCTGGGGTGGAAACGTTATATGTTCCTGCAAAAAAAAAGTCAAAGCAGCGTTTCAGCCTTCAAGACAAGCTTTCATGCACTTTGGGGTGCAAAATCTTCTAAAGAACCAAGATGAGCTCTGGTCCAGCAGCCACGCCTGGGAACCAACCCAGGCCTGCCCTCCTCCCTAACCCAGCGAGCCAGAGAACAAACGACAGAAGTGCTGTCCTCAAGCATGCGTGGCAGCCACCAAGCATTAACTACTCCACAACACACCAGCAGCCAGATTTCCACACAGGACAGGAAGACATCACCGTGGGCAGCCTCTCCCTAAGCGCCCACATGCATGGACCTGGGGACTTCTGCACGAGGAAAACTTCCTGGTCCCCTCGTTTATCTTGACTTGGGGAAGTTTGTAGGAGGAGCTAACCATTGAGCTGAAGGTCCATAGAGGGAAGACAAGGAGAGAGAAGGATGGCTAAAGGGAGAGAGAGGCAGGGTGGGAAGGAGCGACAGATACCAATACCAGCAGAGCGGGAGGACAGCTGGTGGAGCCGCTCAGCTCTAGGTGGGCAGGCACTGCGCAGGTGTGGGGGGGGGGATACAGAGCACACGCCGGGAGAGGGAAGGGCCGAAGTGACTACCCTACCATCAGGATGATGAACTGGCACTGCTAACGGGCTTTCCATCATTGCTTGGGGGGACCTTTGGGGTTGCTGACAACATAAACCAAAGTTACAGTGATTAGCCCTCCCCCGCCCCCGCCCCGAAAAAAAAAACGTATCCAGAGCTGATGGCCCATGCAAGAGTATCCAACAGCAGTGACTCGGAATCTCAGGCCCTGACACCCCAGGAACAAAGTCCACCTCCCAAGTTAGACCTGGATCGTTCACAAATAGAGCGTATTCTGCTGGCCTCATATTTTGCAAAGCTCGGATTCAGTAGATTAGTTAAACAATTTCTGTTCACTTCGTCGGAGATGCTCAATATGCAGGAAGTCCAGTAGTTCTAGTGTTCCAGAGACTTGGTAATTTCATGCAAGGTCAAGTTAGTGACATGCAAAGTGACAAGTGACAATTGTGTGGTCTCTGGAGTGATTCCCCAATTCGCCACTATATCCAGTGGGGATTTGGTTTCCATCGATTTCTCGGAGCATGTAGGTTCAGATATATTAGACAGCAAATGTGTGACAGTCATGGTCCGGAAGTCGACACCGTCTGTGTTTGCATTTGTGAGCTCTATCTGGCTTTGAAGAGATGAACATGGGGCTGGGAGGTGGCTCAGTGGTAGAGTGCCTGTTTAGCACACTCGAGAACCTGGGTTTGATCCCCAACACCGAGAAAAACAAAAAATGGAAAGGGGAGGAGTTTGGGTGGCCATTTCTTTGTTGGAGGGGCAGTGTGGCAGGAATGATCTGTGAGGGACAGTGTAACAGGACTGCTCCATGGGGGTGGTGTGCTGGGACTGTCCTATGGGGCAGAAGTGTGATGGGACTGTCCTGCTAGGGCCATGTGATGGGACTGTGCTGTGGGAGGCAGGGTTGGGACCTGATTCACATTCTGATAAGCTGAGACCGGTTCTGAATTCATTAACACCATTTTCTATTTCTCAGGCAGAACTTATGATTATCCAATAGAATAGCTTGGAAGATGCCTCACGTATGTATACCCAGTTTGTAAATGTCAATGTATACACAGTCTGTAAATGTCTATGTATAAAAATTGCTCTATAAGTGGGAGGAACATTACTGAGGTGAATCCTATAACCAAAATTTCCACATTTATTCTTTGACTAACACAGAAAATTGATGTCTCTACTATTAGTATGGTAAAAAGAAATCTGTGTTGGACAATCCAAGAACTTATACTGTTTATATTTGATAGACGGATCTTTGAGGCCTGTCAAGAGTCTAAATATCTCTTCATGAGTCTATATTAGTTGCCCGTCTAGAGTAGCTGCCCTTCTTCAGAAAGCTCCTGGGTGCTTGTGACCATATAAGCAAATTCCTGGACTCAATCTGTGACCTGAACACAGATATTTAGGCCCCTTCATGGAGTGGGGGATAGAAGTAGGGGGGATAGTTCAAGGCCAGTTTGATCTGGTCCACCCGGGTGTATCTAGTAGTCACTACATACCTGTTTTACCAAAAAGATTATTAAATCTTCTGGATATTGGAGAGCTCATGGAAAACACGGGTGTGGATGAACCTAGGGATGTTGACTAGAAGAGAGAGGGGAAAAGACAGTCACAAAGCAAGTCTGGGAGAACATGGCTATTTGGACTGTGGGTTGGGGGCCCTTGGCTACCTTCTAGTGGTCTCTTTCCTACGTTTCTTATCCTATCCCTTGGGCCGAGTGATGGGCTCTGAACTGAATAAGTAGTTTGCAAATATGTATGAGTTATGTTCTCTCTTCCTCTTCCCCTTCCCACCTCTACTCTCCCCCCTCTCCCTCCCTTCCTTCCTTTCCCCTTCTCTCCTTCTCTTTGCCCCTTCCTTTCTTCTTTCTTCTTTTTTCCCTTCCTTCCTGCTTCCTTGCATACATCCTTTTCTCCCCTCCCCTTCCCTCTCTCTGTTTTGCTTTTCTTTGCTAAGGAACCAGTTTAGCTCTTTTTACACACTAATCACAAGCTAAGTTGTATCCTTGCTTAAATGCATGTCTTACTGTTTTGTAGACTTTTTTTTTTTTTTACTTTTCCTTTAACCTTACCGTTAGTGTTTTTCTAGTATACCTAGGCATTTAAAATTTGGCATATGTATGAAATATAAAAGAGCCAATCATATTCAAGGACAATAGTTATACTCTAAAAGAATTAAAGAGTAAATTTATTTTATTATTTCTTACATTGTATTTTTTTCTAATTTCTTGAATTCTACCCAGAAGCTTCTCACTGAGAATTTGATTTTCATCTAAAGGTCTCTATAATGTTGCTGTGGTTTTTGGTTTTGAGACAGGGTCTCCCTATCTCCCTAGTAACACCTAGCTGCCCTGGTGTTACTTGCTAAGTAGCCAAGGCTAGTCTCCAACTCAATGGAGATCCTACTGAGTGCTGAGAGTACAAATACCCACCACTGCTCTCACTTAGATGTCACCTTCAGATTATGTACCATAGAAAACTGTGTAGTCACATCTTAAAGAGATGTTCATGGCACGTTGAACCAGAAAATTGTGGCGAGAAGCAATAATCATTAGATAATCTATGCTGGAATTAGTCACAAGCAGAGGCGTTTGTTTATATTTTTATCCAACTGATCACAATCCCAAGGTAAGAGTTAGTCTATTTCCTTGTATTGCATTAATGGAGTCCATGAGGGTATGCAACAGGAAGTCTCTTCAGAACCAGGCTTACCTTTGAGTGCTGAGAAGACCATCTTGACAATGAAAACTTATGCAGCAAAGCTTCCTGCACCTACATTGTTTGAAAGAAACCAGTGTCAATTCAATAAACTTTGTTCTGGGCATGTTAGACACTGCCAGAAACATGAAATTGTCATTATTCCTACCTTCTGATCCCAGAGGCAGCCAAAGAGTAAAATGAAGAGCCCCTGTGGAAAGGAACAAGGACTGCATTTTAATGGTACACCATCACCCAGTTCCACAGAAAAAACTACAAAGCAGGTGTTGACTCTGTGTCACCTCTTTCCACATTTGAGTACATGTGATAAGTTCAGGACATGATGACATTAAGTGATACAACAGTTACTCAGCGAGGGGCCTGAAATGGTTGCTGCCAGGGGAATAACCTATTTTCCTCCATCCATGAATGGGATTATGCTAATACATTTTTCTCATCTACATTATTCCTCATTTACCCCTCTAGGTTGTGAAGATAATCATGGGATGAGATATTTCTTCCCATGGAAGCATATCTTGAAAACCAATAGCTAAAAACCTTGGAGCTCATAACACATGATGGTAGGAGTTGGGCTTCATATAGTTTTGTCACAAGCATCCAGGAGCAAGATGCTACCTTATCATTATATTTCTCTTACAGCTCAAAAAACAAACTGGCCTCCACTGTAAGTGACTACATACTACAGGAGAGCAAAGAAATGTCTTCACCTGAACACTACCAAAAAGACCGGCACATACAGGGCATTCATTCTTCAACATATCTTTCCGGAGGAACTATGTGGTATCCAGCATTCATTTCCTGTAACTGGATTTTGAGAACCTTCCTCGGACCAAAGTCCTTATTAGACACTAGAGAGGGGGATTCAGTGACCAACAGGAACCCTGATCTCACAAAGCCAGAGCTTGCTGATGTTCGGCAGAGACTAAATGGAGCCAGGACCCGACTTAGTGACAGTGCCATTCTTACTTAAGAGATAAGACTAGGGCAAGATTATCTTGAGTAAACAGAATCAGTTAGTTTAGAATGGTGACTTTCCTCCTAATTGTACTATGGGGGCGTTTGGAACCAAGTTATAACACAGGTGATAAAAGGTTCAAGGTTCCATGGAGGCAGAGGACTGTGTCCCTTTGTCTCACTGAGTGCTTGTAATTAATGCTTTCCGAAGCTTAGGTCTCCTGTGCATTCAAATCCTTCCCCGTTCCTCCTCATGTTTGTGTTTCTATCATTAGCTCATCCCACGAGAACAGACATTTCCTGGGATCCCGGTGCTTGGATGGACGGCTTACCTGGAAGGCGTTGAGGAGGGTGAATATGATGTGGAACACAGCATTACTCCCCTGGATCACTGTGGCAAGACCGAAACCCCAAGTGAGCCCCAGGAGCGGCGTGAGGACCCCGATGCTCTTGCTGATCTGGAACAGGCTGCTCTTCTCCTGCTTGCCTGGCTTGTCCCCGATGGAAGGCCTCAGGATCTTGGTGATGACCACGACTGTGATGCTCACGTTCACCACCACAATGATCAAGGCTGGGATGGCGAAAGCCAGCAGGGCTCTGGTGTCCTCCCAGTTGAGCCAACATGCGTTCTTCCTCATGTAGACTTCCTGCGGCTGGGTAACCCCCACCGTGATGGATGAGATAATGAGAGGGCAGCCATAGCCTAGGGAAAAGGCAATGGCTTTCTGGGTGGACTTGCCTGCGTCATGCAGGATGAAAATCAGACGGTAGAAGAGCATGAGGCCCAGGGTTAGCATCCAGAAGAAGACACTGAGGTAGAAGAAGTGAATGAAGAAGGTGGCCGCCACGCAGGCTGTTTCGTTGAGTGGGTAGTGACCATCATGGATAGCACTAGCCACAATGAACCAGATGTCAGCGATCAGAAGGCAGAGAGCAATGTTGACTATGCAGATGTGGCGCATATAGGAAGTTCGATTCTTGGTCACTGATTTCCACACCATCGCTTCCACAACGATACAGGCCGCTAAGCTGAAGATGGAAAAACCCAACCCGATGTAAGAAATGATATCCAGCAGTACTTTTAGGAGAGATCCTGGATCTGGGGAGTCTGGGGACATGAGGATGGAGAATGACGTCAGGTGGTTACATTTGCAGAACACCCTGTCCTTGTTGTCCCTACCATCATCCTCCACAGTACACCCACTGCCATCCCAGCCCCCTGTGTAGTTGTCAAGGCTGAAGTTCCAGAAGACACACTGTGGCTTGCCACCCAAATGATGGTTGTTCTTAAAAGTCATGGAAATCCTAAATGGCTTGATGATGCTGTGGCTGACGGTGGTTGTCATCACTAAACTGTTGGAAGACGTCTTTTTCTGTGCATCCTTCCCAAGGATGGCTTTCAGAGTTGGGAAAGCCACAGTGACAACAGATGAATCTGGCTGCAAGTTTGCCAGCTGACACTCATCAATGGCAACGTCGCCCCACAGGTCAGAGTCTGCGAAAACAAACTTCTGTTGGTAGACTTGGGGGTGGCCACGTTTTATTACCATGCTCTTCATCTGAACATTGGGGTGGAAGAGGAACGGAGGGGTGTTGTCTCCCAGCTGAAGGGCTTTGGTAAACCTTTCCACTGAATGCAGGAACTGAGAGCTCTGGTTGCTCTGTTGCTGTAGTAACTCCTCCCAGGAGTTCAAGGCGGACTTGTCTAAGATAACATTAATGGTAGCAAGCACATCCTGTAGGTGACATGGGGGGGAGGAGCATCAAACCACTTTTTCAATATAAAAGAGACAAAAGAGCATTTCTCTGGGTACTGGTTGGTGTGTATAAGTATGGCAGGGGCAGGGGAGCAGAGAATCTGAGGTACCACAAGCAGAGATCTGTCCCCTGCTTTCTCACAACAGAACACATCAGAGGTGGGGACCATAAGGCCATGGGACTGCAATGAACATTTAGTAACAATGACCATGTTACTAAGGCTGCCTGGGCAGGATCTTATTTCTTGGTTTGTTTGCTTGTTTTTTGTATGTGTATGCGTATTCATGGGTATACATACTTTTGTGTGCATGAAGGTACTGAAGCCAGTGGTTAGCTGCGATTGAATGGTATACGCCAGGGATCCTCCTGCTGCTTCCCCAGCACTGGGGATCAAGCCCTATGCTCAGCTTTTCTACATGGGTTCTGGAGTCTGAACTCAGAGTCTCACGCTTGCTTGGTAAACACTTTACAAACATCTCCGCAGGTTCTTGGTTGACTTGATTTTAAATCGATCACAAGCCCATAAAGGCTTTTGGTGGGTGGCATGTCTCCAGCACAAGAAAGCCTCTGAAGATGTGCTCTAGCCTTGAACATCATATAAGCCATGGGAGTATTTGCAAGGACAGCCTTGTTTTCTGATAAACAATTTCTTTCTCTTTTTCTTAAGGTTGGGCCCAATGCTTTTCAATCATTCCCTCAAAAAATTGAAAATAATTTTCTCTGTATTTTTGCCTTGTCTGACCTGTAGAAGAATAACCCTGTGGACCAGGCTGAGTGGCCTCTAACAGGATATATCCTGGTACCCAAGCCTTGGGAATGTGACCTTATGCGGACAGATAGCCTTTACAAGTTTAATTGCTTCAAGAATCTGTTCTAGTCAGCTTTAACTGTTAATTTGACACAGCCTAGAGCCACAGGCATTGCCAGAGGAGATGTCTCAGTAGGTGAATTACCTAGAACAGAATGGCAGATGGGCATGTCTTTGAGAAATTGTCTTGGTTGGGCCCAGTCCACTGTGGGCGACGCCATTCCCTAGGCACGTGGTCTTGAGCTGTATAAGAAAGCAAGCTAAGCAAGGACCTGTGAGCCACCAAGCAGCATTCCTCTACGGTTCCTGCCTCAAGTTCCTGCCCTCACTCTCTCATATGAGCCGAAATAAACCCTTTCCTCCTCCAAGTTGCCTCTGGTTGGGGTGTTTATGACAGCAACAAAATGAACCTGGGAAATTATTTATTGTGTACTGTCGGAGTGACTCCCAACTCCAGTAACAACTTTACAGAATACAAAAGAAAAAACGGGCTTGGATAGAGGTCAGGGTGATGCTGCAGGATTGAAAGCATGCCTGGAGAAGAGAAGAAAGGTTCTTCCGGCACCATAGCATGGTTTTGCAGCCACCTTGATTCACCTCTAGAATAACGAGAAGATACATTTCTGCCCAAGCTACCCAACCCATGGTTGTTTGCTGTACTGTCTGTCCCCACCCATAAACTTAAAGCTTTGCACTTGGTCAGTTTGCTCCATGAGTGGCCTCTTGGATCTGGCCACTAGGAGGCAGGCGATGATGGGAAGACAGGAATGAGAGAAGTTGGCCTGAATCATCCATGTTGTCCCCTTGCCCTGTGCCCTTCCTCCCAAGGCTGCCTCTGGTAAAAACCACACTGGACTTCCAAATCCACAGCTTCTGGGGAGAGTGCTCTCCTCCAAGACTTCATCTCTCACTGCACTCCAGCTGTGTGATTTCCACAATTTGTATCTATAGTGTGGTGATGGCTTATGAAGGCCCTGGTCTCTGAGTGTCCTGCCACCCCTCATGCATTTTATGCTGACTTAACCTCTGAATGCCTCCCTTCATGGAAGCCTCTCCATCTGAACCCTTAGGAGTCTTCTTTTCTCCCCAAACAGCAAATACCTCACAGCTTACATGCAGTGTGAGACCTTTGAGAACCTTGTCTTGGTTTCCTTTTTGTTGCTGTGACAATTGTTGCTATGACCAAGTACCCAGACAAAAACAACTGAGGGGCCTACAATTCCAGAGTACAGCCCATCATGACAGAGAGAAGTGACAGTGGCAAGGACTTCAGAGAGCTGAACACATTATATCCACAGTCAAGAGCAGAGAGCGATGGATTCATGCATGCAAGAGCTCGGCTCACACCCTCTACTCCTACATAACCCAGGATCCCCAGCCTAGGGAATGGTGCCACCCACAGTTAAGATTGGTCTTCCTATGTTAATTAATTTGATAAAGACAGCCTCTCATACACCTTCTCTGTGGCTGCCCTTAACCCAGTCAATCTTTCACAGGTGTGCCAAAAGCCATGACTCCTAGACGCCAAATACACAACATCATACCCACCTTGCACATATTTTGGAAGCATTTTAATTCCTAGAAAGCTAGTAAGAATCCATTCTATTTAAACAAAGAAAGGAAACCAGAGATCATTTGAGGAAACTGAGAACCTTGTGATGTAGAAGCCATAGTTTGCTATTCTCATGTCCAAATCAGTGCCCTGGAAAATAAGTCTATGTGGGAAGGAGGAATGTTTCCTGAGCACAAGTCCAGAGGTGTGAGAAAGGCAGACCCCAAACTCCCAGAAGGCTTAAGTACACTTACCCTCATCATTTCTGAGTTCACTTGGGTTGGAACTGTTGAGAGCAAATCAAGGATGTTGATGATGGCTCCCAGGCTCCCTGGAGAGGAGCGGATATCCTGTTCCTCTTTCCCAGCACTAACAGAGAGGTCCCTCAGGTATGTAGGGAGCTTCTGGTCCTGGGAGGGGCTCTTGATCAAAGCCTAGTTAAAAAAATGCCAGAACAAATGAAGATTTTTTTTGATCCTGGTGATCTGGAAGCTGTGGTCTCCTATTTTCTTAATGCCTATAATCAATAGTGTGTAGAATTGTAAGTTAAAGCCTTCACTCTTTCAACGATCTGTGCATGACCCTCAGGATGGGAAGGGCTTAAGACCTCATGTATACAGAAAGCAAAGAGCTAAACATATGCCAACCTGACATCTAACTAGAAACAGAGGAGTGATATATGTGATTGCTACAGTTCAAGTAAAAGAAACTTGTCACTTATCCATATGGAAACACATCTGCCGTTCTTTTTTCCCGGATATTTCTGATTGTGAATGTGATTGCCCCTCCTATCTCATTGTTCTGTTTCTGTTATCTCAATATGATTGCTAAAAGTGTCCTCTTTTACTTTCATAGTCTTGGAAGGTACCCTGAAAGGCGCCAAGGAGGTAAAGCAAACTGTAGTCCAGTGCAGCTGCAAAACATATGAACCTCGAAAGAGACCAACATGGTAAGATATTCCTAATGTTGCAATAGTGGCACTCACATCTTGACAGTAACCAACCACTGTATAATTGGAAGTAGGGTTCATTCGACAGGAAGGAAATCATGCCTGCCACTAGAAACCTAGCCAACTCCCTGGGGCTAGGGAGGTCACGGATCTTCCAGGAGAACCGTATATTGCCACTTCACTAAGCCACGTAATTCCTAACTCATTTTAAATTCTTACCCATATACCCACAGATAAGCATAGCTTCCCACTCTCACCAACAAAACTTTTCTTTGCAATAGACAGAAACCATTACAGAAGCCCATGACTGGTCAAATGCAGAGAATGACTGATGGTGGGGCATCCAGCCCAATAGACACATCTACAACACAACTCCTATGCTTAGAACTCAGGAAAAGGAGATAGAAAGATTGTAAGAGCCAGGGGACTTGGAAATCAGCTGTAAGAATGTGACTCCTAGAAATGGCAAAGGAAACTTCACCTATGATATCTAAGTAATATGGCTGCCTCAACAAGACCTGCGCAAGTATAACAATAGCAGACACGCTAACATGGAAAGGGGAAATTTCATGGGGTCCCAACCCTGGACAAAGAACTACAGGCAACTAAGGGACACTGAGAGCATAGGAAGTAGTCTCCTCAGGGATGAGTGTCCTAATTGGTTATCCAGTACCAATTGGTCAGCCCTGAAATCATATACATACATATAAACAACAGTGAATGGATTGAGAAGGTTGTGTGTATGTGTGTGCATGCATAAATATATAAAGAAAAAAGGAAAACATGAGGTATGGGAAGAATTGGAGTAAGGAAAGGGAATAGGGCAGACTTTTGTGATTATATTTTAATAATAAAAATACTTTTATATATTTTATATATTTATATTTTATAAAAATAAGAGTTGTCCCTTTTTATTCTCAGAGTATCTCCACTCAGATGGTAGATTACACCATCTATCTGTACACATATGTCTTCTAACTAGCTACATTTTTAACTCTTTAAAAAGAGTGAATTGAAAAAACAATCTGTCTTCTACAGGAAGCCTCTGATGAGTGTCGCTTCTGTGAGCACCCAGATACTTGTGTTTAAAATACTGTATTCTGGGACATCTCTAACAATGTCATCTTGTAGTTCACTTGCAATATTTCCCTAATTAAAACATTTGTTATTGAATCTTACTTCCTATCTCTTTAGGAAAACATTATAGCGATTTGCTGTCATAGCTATTGGAAGGAGAACACTAAGAAAGTATAAGGCACTACCCTTTGTCAGTCTTGGACATGCAGGGCTGAGCAGTTGTTGCTTTTATATTCAAATGTAAATATTTTTAAAGCATTTCTAGGCTTTGTCATTTGAGTGGTTAATCTTGATTGTCAATTCACTGGTATTTAGAATCACGATGGAAATAAAGTTCTAGGCATATCTAAGAGGGAGTTCTAGATTGGGGTACCTGAAGTGGGAAGACCCACCATAAACGTGCATGGTACCATTCCCTGGGTCCTGCACTGAATGTAAAGGGGAAAGCACTGGGCACCATCAGCATCACCTCCCTCAGCTTCCTGACTGTGGGTGCCATGTGACCAGCCACCCTGGGATCCGGCTTCCATGCCTTCCCTGCCATGATGGATTTCACCCTCCAGTGGTGAGCTAGAAGGAAATCCTCCTTCCTTAAGTTGTGTTTGCCACATATTTCATTGCAGTAACTAGAAAAGTAGCCAATCCAACATGTATTGGCTGGGCATTTTGGAGTGGTGCTGCGAATTCTACTAAGCCATAAAGATACCCCTCCCCAAGGGCTTGGAGTCCAGGGTTCCAGGTTCACCTTGGCCAACTGGAGCAAGCCGTTGATTGGGGCTGAGATGCAGGTCCTTTTCTCCTCCTTCCACTGGGAGCCTACACATTTATAAGTGACAGTTCCACCGATGATCTGGCCAGGGCTTCTGGAAACACTTGAGAACTGGCACAGCTTCTGAATGACTTTCCCAGGCTCCCCGATACCTATTACAGGATCCCGGCATGTGATATTTTCCCCTGTGTCAGAAAGATGGAAATAAAAGGGACAGTCAGGAATCTCTTTCAGCCATCAAGAAGAAGGAAGTTATGTCAACAGTGGGTAAATAGATGCAGCTGGAGATGATCAGATTAAGCACATTAAGCCATTTGTGGTTCCCCTAGAAATGAAATAATCTAGGGGAACAAAGAGGACTATTGGGGAAGGGGAGAAGGAGAGGATAAGAGTTAGGAGGGTAAACTCAGCATACACTGCACACTTGCATGAAGCTGTCCTTGTGTTATACAGTGCTACGTTCAACGAAAACTTACAGTGATGTTCATGAAACAGAAAAATCAAGACCATTGGTTAGGGACTGTATGCCACTTTGAAAAAGAAGGTGACATCTTTACTTTGAAAACTTGAAATCCAAATCGCTCTGAGTATTTCTAAGCACAGCAGGGAGCCACGGGTGGGTAGTTACCTGCTCAGAAACCCTTCCCGTGAGTAAGAGCATCTCCCTTTAGTTTTGTTTGACTGTGGCCTTGTGCATGCGAGGGAAAATGCTGTCTCAGCTGCTGAGATCACTCTACTGTTGACCTGCCTGCCCTGACCCCGTCAAGATTATTAAAAATATGGACAAGAAATTTCAAAAGAGACAATTTACAGGAAGAGAAGGAAGAAGGAACCAGGATCAGGTTGTGCAGACTTTGGTGCTAGAGTTCACACTGCCTTTGCTCTTGGTGGCCCGGTGAGAACTAAACTCCTTAATTTTGTTCCTGGTTTTCCAAAGCCCCTAATTGCTTTCAACGCACAGCAGCCTCCTATAGTGGGCAATTGCTTTTCTCTGTGCTTGGTGCCCACCTCTAATCCGGAGGACTCTTATTTTGGTTGTAGAGGAAATTTAAATCATGTAAAACAACAAGAACTTAATGTATGCTCATTCAAAGATTACCCTGTCTGCCAAGGGTCTTAAGGTCATAATGCCCTCCTACTTTGATGGGCTGGTCCTAGTTACCAACATGGGCAAGAATGTCCACTGAGCATTCAGTAAATCAAACAAACTAGGTGAAGGAATCAGGGAGCCTTTGTCTATCAGTGATATGGGAAGTTCTGTGATTATGTCAATAAAGCACTGTTGGGCCAATAGGAATATAGATAGGTGGGACTAGGAGTCCAGGAGGACCCTGGGAAGGAGAAACACAGAGAGTCAAGATGTTACGCCATGGCGTAGGAAGCCCGGAAACCTCTCTGGTAAGAGAAATACTTAGATTAACAATTATGGGGTAATTACTTAAGTTAGAGCTAGCCAGTAAGAAACAAGCAAGGCCAACAGCTTCATAATTAATATAGCCTCCTATGTGTTTATTTGGGACTGATGCGGCTCTAGAACCAGGCTGGCAGGAAGGCTTCTCTCAAGGAAAAGGCTTCTCTTTACATATCAGGAATGCTGTTACTGGTCAGGGATGCTGTTACCAGGGAAGCACCTCTATCCCTTTGCTTCTCTGGTGACTGGGGCAATTTCTTCTACAGGAACTTACATAGAATCGGTCACACAGATCACGACCTTTCACCTTGAGACTATGCCAGGTCACACTGGCTCAGGGGTGACAGAGGATGGGGAAGGCAGGCACCCGTTCTTCCCGCGGGTTCTTTTCAAATGGCTCTATGTCAGGAAAAGAGGGCTAGTGAGGACACATGCCCTTGACGTTGTGTCTAGGAATCCCAGCAAGACACAGATAGTGCCCACTCCAGTCTGCCTGGCAAAACAAGATCCCTCTCCACTGTCAGCAGCAGAGTTAAACCAAGCAGGCTTCCCGGCCACCCACAGTAGTTCTATCTGTATACCTGTCACCCTGGCTGTGACAGCATCTTCCATCACCTCTACAGCTCACTCCTAGGCTGGAGACCAGAGAGCACGGCCTCTATTTCTTCTAGTGTTCCCTATGGTTCACCCAAGGCCTGCCACAGTGAATGTATTTAACAGATAATCACTGAAAAGTCCAATGAAGGAGCCAATGACGGAGGAGGCTCTGTTTGCGATTACGTGGTTTTAAAGTAATTTTAGCACACTTACCTGGAACAAGGGTAAGCTTCATGGATGGGCTCCGGACTGAAGTGTTGGCCGCATTGGTAAAGTGGCAAAACACACTGATATTTTTGGGACACCGAGGAAGGAAGTTTGGTGGCAGGCTGTATTTGTAGCATGCTTGCTTGCCATTGACTTCTCTTTCTAAAGAATAGCCAAGACATGAAGGTTGTCAAGATGTATCCGATATGAACGAACCTCCCCCAAATTCTTCTAGGAACCTGTGCCATTTATTTTTAGTGTAGTTTTAGTGTGATAATAACCTCTGGCTCTCAGAGTAGGTAAATTGATATTTGAATGTGTGCTAACCAAATGTCACCAAACCATTCATAGCATCAGGTCTGAGCCCACATCCTGCTCGGCATTGATTGTACCCTGTCTCACAATTACTTATAACCACCTCTTTATTCTATCTTTGAAGATTTATTTAAATTTTTAAAAATTATGTGTAGCCATGGGTGTCTGTGTATGTGCTGGTTAGTGCAGTTATGTGTGGAGGCCAGCAGAGAGCACCAGATACCATGGAGCTATAGTTGCTGGTGGTTGTGAGCCCGCTAAGGTGGGTGCTGTGAGCTGAACTCAAACTTGAATCCTCTGCAAGAACGGTACATGCTCTTAACAACTAAGCCCTCTCTGTGGCCTGTAGGTCATTGCTGTTTGAATATTGCCTACAATAAACTACCCAGGGTCAGACTCCCGAAGCTTGGACCAATACCAGCTCCTTAGTTGTGCTGAGCCAAACTGCCTTCTTGCCTGCAGTGAATGATTGCTCTGCTGGCCCTGGTGGTTGCAGAGACCCCCACATTCAGCCACCAAGCCATCTCTCCATCTCCATGCCTATTTTTTGTTTTTGTTTTGCTTTTCTTCTTGCCTATTCCGCTCTTATGCTGAGCAAATCCCCACAGATAACCATCGAAAGAATTAATAAGCTCGTGTGAATTTGAGATTTGGAGTTGTGGTACATGTTACAAGACAGGATTGGAACTTTAGTTTCGACCAGTGAAGAACTTGAAGCTAACAACTACTCAATTTAGGGTTCTTGAATCCCACACGGTGTAAGAACAACATCCAGAGTGGGGTGAGAGCAGGAAGTTATAATACTTAGGGGCAACTTGCTTTCATCTGGAGAGGAAGCCAGACTTTTAACCACAATTGATGGATTTTTGTTTTGTTACCCCAATCTTCTACTTGAACACGTCACCCTTTGAGGATTCTGTCATTGTGGGATGTGGTGGGGTGGCTTTTTGTGTGTTTGCTTGTTTGAAACAGGCTTCCCCTGTGCAGTCCTGGCTGTCCTGGAACTCACTCTGTAAACCAGACTGGCCTCAAACTTAAAGAGATCCACCTGCCTCTGCCTCCCAAGTGCTGGGATTAAGGGCATGCACCAACATGCCCAGCTTTTATGTTTTTTTAAAGATTTATTTATTTTATGTATACCAGTGTTCTATCTGCATGCTTGCCTTTAGGCCTCTTTTCATTTTTTTTTTTAAATTTTGAGACAGAGTCAGCTTTGAATTCCCCGTGTTGCTTAGGCATGAATCCATCGGTATTGGTTTCCTAGCAACAGGGATTACACTCCTGTACAGCAAGTGTGGCTGTGCCTCCAGTGGCTCTTTTAAGGGTAAAACCTCACCCCTCTGAGCCAATGTGACCCAAGCCTGTGGTGGTCTGCCTCTTACCAGCAGGGAAGGATGAGGAATCGACATGGAAAGTGACCGAGTACTCTTGCCCTCGCTCCTCTTCCACACAGCACTTGAATTGATGGGGACTGGTACACAGGCCACTGGCTTCCAGAGGGTCCATCATGATATCTGACTCCAGAGGCAGTGGGTGAACGGTGACATCTTTTGTGGCAACACTGTATGAATTCTTGTATCTAAATATGCAGTGGTAGGTTCCTGAGGGGAAGGAGCAAACGTGACACAGAGTGAGGTCATCGCTCTTAAGAGGTGTCTTTGGCGACAAGAAGAGCCTTAGCTTGGGTAAGGACACTGGAAGAGCTTGACTGACTTCCCTCCTGGGTACCTCAGATGTCTGAAGAACTAACCGGTAACTCTCTGTCTCTCAAGTGTGCATTCACTCCACCCAGTCAAATTAAGTGTTTTTTTCCCCAAGGTTAAGAGTGAAATTGGGCATCAAACTTCCTGCTCCCATCTTCTCCCACAACCAAGGAAAGAATGGGGATTTGGTGGTGTGCAGAAAAGAGGAAGTTTGTAAAGATCTGGGACATGATGGAGAGCCATCTGTCTAAATGAGTAGTCTCTTAGGCTCCAGGACAGCATGGCACCAGAGGACAGGCCACCATTTAAGCAGCTGTCCTGGACATTAAAGTACTTAGCATAGTGACTACTGTATCACAAAAGACCCATGGATGTCAGCTGTTAGCACACAGTTCTCCCGATTCCATAGGCTTTCCAATGCTCGTGTCTCCTGGCAACATGGATGACATAGAGATTAAGCAGGACATACGTATACTTCCCTGTTTAAAACTAGACATTTAAACACTTCCTAGAGTTTTCATAGCACAGCTGGGTAGTGTAGTGCCAAGCATCTAGTAAAGTTGTTTTATTATTATTTGTGTGTGTATACGTGTGTATGTGTGCATGGGAACGCATGTGTGTGCACGTATGAATGCATATGTGTACACATACTCATGTAATGGAAATCAAAGAATAACCTACAGTGTTGTGCCTCCTAGGAACCTTCCAGTTTTTGTTTGAGATAGGGTCTCTCATTGGCCTAGAAGTTTGCCACCTAAACTAGACTGGCTGGATAGCAAGCCTCCAGGGATCTGTCTGTCATGATGCCTCCCCCTCCAAACCACCACCACCACCATTGCTGAGGTTGCAAGCTGTCACTACTATGCTGGGATTTTTATGTGGCTCATAGGGAATGGAACTCAGGCCCTCATATGTGCAAGGTAAGCGCTTTACTGACTGAGCCATCCCTCAGGTCCTAGTAAAGTTCTTTTGAAACAAATCCTATTGTCATGATGGCAGGAGTGCAGGCTGTGTACTTAGACACGAACTCCAGTCTAGGCTGCATAACGTAAAGTGTACCACCATGATTACTATTGCCTTTGAGCATCATTTTTCCACACCCACAAGATGGGATGATACTATCTACCCCCAAAGGACTGCCATATCACCCACAAATGACGATTGATATAGTCATCATAGGTACATCCCAAGACAGAGCCTTCAGAGGCAGCCGCTGTCATTTCATATTTCCAGGGGTCTAGTCAGCCTGCTGCCACCACCGGGTCTGTCCTGTCACTCACCGTTCCACTCCCTGGTGGAAGCCTTCACCGTCAGCACCGACTCGGCTCCATCCTGATACCTCCTCATGGTATAAAACCTTGGATGGATTTTAATGCCAGCTGAAGTGTTCCAGTACACCTCATCATAGTTACTCACATCGCTGAGGCATGCTATTGAAAAGCTTTGTCCCTCAGAAACAGAAATTGGGTCCGGGGTTATTGTTAGGTTGGCTGAAAGAGTGCAAACAAAACAGACAAGACAAAACCGACAACAAATCCAATGTTTAGTTTTTCGGATGACATCAACACAGGAGTGAAATTTAAGACAGAGACAGCAACACGGACCGTCCTGACTCTACACGTGTCAACGCGGGATTGGTACCTTGCTGCTCCTGGGCTTTACTTGTTTCTAGGCTGTTCCTGGTGGTGCTCTGAACTGTACTCACTTCCATCACGTGCCTTACGGACTCGGGCACTTCCCCTTTGTAGCTGGAATTATCTCCTGATGATTAGCAGGGTAAAAGGTTGCAAACTTAGGGGTGTTGACTTAACCCAGGCTCCCCCCCAACCTCCTCTGTGACCCCCTCAAGGGAAAAATAGAGGACTAGGTTCTCACAACAATTCAAATCGACTCTTAAACACTTTCCCCCAAAGCACTGCATTGTATCTAGGAAGGTACCTATGCTCACCAACGTCACACCACTGTAACACAGCTTCACTTCTTTCTCTGTCTGTCCCCATAAAAGAGGCAGCCTTCGCCCCCTGTTGTCACAACCTTAGCATTTACTGATGGCCTGGTGTACAGTTAGTGCTTCATGAACAAAAGAGTGAATTCTTGATCTACCTTTTCAGTAGACAGATCACAAAGTTCACTATCCAAATAATTGTGCTTATATTATCTCAGGCAGAACAGGATGTATGGACACCTTAATATTATTTATATAGCTATTTTGTTTTAACCACACACAACACTATATAACATAATTGATTACATGTTTATGGCTGTTTGGGGGAATTCTCTCACAGATTTGTAAATTTTGTTTCTTGACAATATTGAGTTCATTGTGAATATAGATGCTAATATGAAAATCCCACTGTTGTTCTATCTTTCCTTTTCTCTGGGAGTATGTCTTTCCCATCACTGACATCTCAAAATGACATTTGCTTCTGTCATCCATGGAGGTGAACAGCCTCACTCCACAGGCCTGCCTCTCCAGTCAATATGAATCCTATTCTTAATGATGATCCAAAGAAGCCAGCACTTTCCACAGTGTCTGAATCAGGGTTCCCATGCTGAGGTACATCTCCAAAGTGTACACATGACACGGTGTACCCTCCGCTCTGCCCTCCCTAAGTGGGAGGATCTGGAATCAACTCTCTGAAGGCTAGCCATGCCTGAGCAGAAAACAAAGCCTCATCGACCCAGAAATCAGGTTCTCTTGTCCTCAGAAGAGGTCAGATGGCCAAACCAGTGACTCTCAGCAAGGATTAACCATGCCTCTACATGCCCCAGGTTCCCAGGTAAGAGGTAAGCCTTGATGAATAATCAGGAGAGGAACCAGATGCCCGCCCTAGAGGCACTCCTGGATACTCTGGGATCTTTGTGGTTTTTGTAGTGAAAGCTGCCATGTCCATGCACTCTTGTTCTGACTCAGAGCGATGCTGTGGACAGAGGAGCACACGAGCCTGTTCTTGATGAATAAACACCAAGTCCCAGGAGCAGAACACTTTAGGGAGACAAATAGGTATTGTCTTCATCCTGCATTTCATGATACTTCTCAAAAAGGCTGTAAATGGCTCATTTTCATAGGCTAGGTGAAAAGAAATTTTTGTAGCTATGGTGACTCTTTAATGCTAGTTGACTAATGATGCCTTTATTATTTTGACTGGCATATGATCAGTACTAAGGTTTGGATGAGAAATGTGTTTGACCACTTAATTCCCAGCTGGTGATATTCTTTGTGAAGGTTAGAAAACCTTTTAAGACATGGCTCTTGCTGAAGGAAGTACATCACTGTGGGCAGGCTTTAAGGTTTTACAACCTGGTTACACTTCCTGTTATCTCTCTGATTCCTGTATGTGGATGACCCAAGAAAGGACACTTTGAGAAGGCTCACTAAGAATTGAGAGACTGAAACAAAGCTTTTGGTCAACCACAGGACAATGTCAATTGACAAGACTGTCCTAACTCTCTGCAGTGTTATCTCTACAATGGGTAGACTGGAAGAGGAATCGAGGAGTAGTGGGAAAGTGAGTGAGGCTGTTGGAATTTAAGGAGGAGAAACTGAATTGTGGAAGGAAAGGGGTTAGCTGTCACATGAACTCAATGCCAACAGAACTAACCCGGCCATGACAATCCTCCCCCAGTCCATCTGCTTCCTTTTTCAGGACAACTTGATTAATTTCTCACAATTCTCTCTCACCAACCCTTCCCAATTTAAAAATAGATTCCATCAGCCGTCATATGGTATAGAGGGACATCTGACCACCATCCCACTCCCAGGAAAAGCCCAGCTTTATTCTGCCCACTGGTGATCCCAGTTGATTGGCGAGCGTCATACATGTATCTACACAATCCATGGCAAGAGTTCTTACCTACAGAGATGAATGTCACGGCTATGTTCTTACTGCCTCTGGCTCCGTAGGGACTGACGAACTCACATGTGTAGGTGACTGTTGTTCCAGAAGACCCACTGGGACACTGGGTTCCATCTGCCTTGAGGGTGTAAGTGCTGCAGCTAGACTCCAGGTCTGTTTCAGGCATCCCTGCAATGATATAAACAAATCTGTCAGCATCATGGTTGTCTGACTCTGAATTGCTAAAAGGTTCTTAGTGGAAACTTCACTTTCATACTTTTTTTTCAGCTCCCCAAATCATTGTTTCTGTTCCCAGATCCAGCCCACCCTCCAAGCCATCTTTGTTTCTTGTCTAGTGTTTGCAATAACCCTGTGTTTCCTACCCCAGTCTCCATTTTCTCCCTGCCTCCTTCACCTGCTACTGCAGCCCTCGAACATTCTTCAAACATTTGCATGATCCCAGAGTGAAAGATACAGAATTAGTTGATGGATTAGTGTCAACATAGATGCAGTCTTTCAACTCTGGCTGATCACAGTGCTGTGCTGGCTGGTTTTACGTCAACTGGACACAAGCCAGGGTCATCAGAGAGGAGGAAGCCTCACTTAAGAAAATGACTCCATGAGATCCCGTGTGAGCATTTTCTTAATTAGTGATCCATGTGGGAGGGCCAGCCCATTGTGGGTGGGGTCATCCCTGGGCTGGTGGTTCTGGGTTCTGTCTGTAAGAAAGCAGGCTGAGCAAGCCATGAGGAGGAAGCCATTAAGCAGCACCCTTCCGTGGCCTCTGCATCAGCTCCTGCCTCCAGGTTCCTGCCCTGCTTGAGTTCCTGTCCTCACTGCTTTGGTTGGTGAACTGTCATATGGAGCTGTGAGTGTGACATAAACACTTTCCTCCCCAAGTGAGTTTTATCTCACCAATAGTTACCCAAAGACAGATGCCTTTATTATTTTTATTGACATATGACCAGTGTTACAGTTTGAGTGTTCCTCATAGGCTCATGTGTTTCAACACTTAGTTCCCAGTTGGTGATCTTCTTTGTGAAGGTTACAAAACCTTTAAGACATAGAACTTGCAGAAGGAAGTGCATCACTGTGGGTGGGTTTTTCCAGCCTGGCCACACTTCTATTCTCTCTGAGTCCTGTGTGGGGATGAAATCTGAGCATTCCCGACTGGGGGACTGTGTCTGCTCTGGAGCTGTAAGCCAAAAATAAGCCATGGCTTCTCTAACTTGGTGTTTTTCCCTCGGGTTATTTTATCATGGCGATAGAAAAGTAGCTCCCACAACCAACTTCCCTCCCCAAGTGTCTGTTGTAGCCATTCCACCGACTTCCACTGTCTTTCACTGTGAGAAAATCACTTCTAGCTGTCTAAAGAGTCCTCTCTCTGTTCATCCTTTCCTGAACCGAGCTCTCAGAAGAAAGATGCATCTGCACTTAGGATTCTGCAAGGCTGACAGACTGTAGAGAGCTAAAATGCTACCCTCAGGTAGGGGTCTGATCATGTGGCAATCCCTCTATCCTCCCCACCCCCACCCTACCCCTAACCCCCTGCTTCTGGTGATGCTTCTGGCTTCCCACCCCCACTTCTTCATTACATCTTTGACCCTGGCCTTTGCCATCCTCTACTTTATCAAAAGTCTTCCATTAAGACCAGCAGGGACCTCCTCTTCCCTCCACGCTGGGCTTCTCTTCAGAGTGTCTGCACCACACCCTCCCCTCTGCCAGTCACCTTCTTTCTGCTATGGATGCTTGAGCCTTCTGGTCTTTCATTTATTTATTTATTTGTTTTTTTTTTATTGGTTGTCTCCATCTTTGGGGCCTCCTTTCTAAGCCCCTCCCCTGAGCATCCTTCTTAAACGCATATGGTTGCTCCCCGTGTTGTTCTCGGCCCCACACCCCTCCACCCCACCCTGCCCTTGCTCATCTTTTCTTTATGCTTTAAGGAGCTTTGGCTCCTGTTATAAACTGGGGTTGGATGACTTCCCACACTACTCTAAGAGGAATGTCCCGGCTGGAAACTTTTGAGGCAAATTCCCAAGTGTTGATTTGACATCTCCGGGACCTCAGACTCAACACGTGCAATTTATTTATTTTTCCCCAGACAAAACTCACACATCCAGTGTTTCCTCTGACTGATATTGGCAGAAACACAACTTTAAAAGCTTAAAGGCCACTTTAATTACCTGCACTTCCTCACATTGTACTTTCACGCCCTTGTAAAAATGATCTTTGAGCTTAGACTCCTGACACAAGGCAGTCTCCATCAAAGCAAGGTCACTCTCCCAGGTCCCACTGTTTGGTGTCTGAACTTTGCAACTGGTAACACCTAGGCCTCTATTCTCAATTAGTTCACTCTTCTACTTACTCATGTTGTCTATAAGTTTCATTTCCTTTTTGTAGTTGACCTGTTTTGGCTTTTTGAGACGGAGGCTCACTATATATTCTAACCTTGCTTTGAATTTGCTGTGTAGTCCAGGTTGGCCTTTGACTTGTGATTCTCCTGCCTCAGCCTCCTGAGCTTCAAGTACAAGTATGATAGGGGAAGTCCTTCTGTGTATATGTTGTCTTATTGGCTAATTAAACAAAGCACTGTTGGCCAATAGGGACTAGGAGTTGAGGAGAATTCTAGGAAACAGCAACACAGTCAATCATGATGTAGGACACGGGAGAAGTAAGAGGTCCAGACCCTTTCTTCAGTAAGAGAAGACCATTTGGAAATACTCAGATTAGCAGTTATGGGTTAATAATTAAGTCAGAGCTAGCCAATAAGAAACCAAGCAAACAGCCAAAAGCTTTATAATTAATATAGCATTCTGTGTGTTATTTGGGGGCTGAGACAGCTCTGGACCCAGGTGGCTGGTGGGAAGATTACACATTACACAAATAGACACCATAACACCCCGGGAATGTTTATTTTCCTAAAGCTCTGCTCACCTATCGTACTTTTACCTTTAAATTCTTACAGTGTGTAGAGTGAAGTCAGATGTTCTTAACACAGCATGTGACTCTGTGGACTAGGAGTTAGACAGATCCCCAGTAGGCAGACAGATAGGGAGAGGACAAATAGACAACAGAGATGACAAGCTTCCCTATTCTTCCCCACCCTTCTGACCTGGCATCTCAAAACAAAGGCTTTTTCCTCCCACTAGTGTCCCCCACCCTGCAGGGGACCAGCCCAGCAAGTTAAAGATTGGACCAGGATAAAGTCACTCTAGGATTGGGAGCCTACCTGCCTTTCTGTCTTTGTCTCAATGGAGTGTCTCTAAATCGAAGAAGAAAACCCCCTCAAAGACCCTTAAAACCCCAGCAAGTAGGGGCGTGGTTTTAGGCTCCCAGACCCTCCCCTGCTTTGTGGAAGGCCTTTGTCTTGCTCTCTCTGGAGATGAGTCTCACTGAGTGTTTCTTCCTGCCTCACCAAAGCCCTAGTCAGTGCTGAGATGTCTCCTGTTGCTACCCTTTGTCCTTGAGACTTTTTTTGCTCCTTTAAATTCTTTCATTGGCAGATGAAACAAGCCTGATTCAGACCCCTAGACAGTAGCAGCATTTATCACACAATATGCTCTAAGCCGTCTCTCTCCTCTGAATCTGCTTCTTCATCCTCTGAAAACCCAAACCACATCCTGGCACTCAACACAACATGCAGCCTCGGACCTGGACACCAGTGATCACAGTTATACTTTCCCCTCCTCTTCCTGTCGAATGTAATTCATCCTTAAAAGTCTCCCAACGGGAAAGCCAATAAACCATGCAGAGTGAAATGTGCATAGAAACAGGCAGAATAACAGGAATGTTCTGAGGACAGGTCCCATAAAGCATGCAGGTTAAAGGGGGTTACTTCAGATGGGTGTCTAAGAAGGCTTTCAACAGAGAGGAGGTTATTCTAAATCTTAAAAGACAGCTGGGCCGGGCGGTGGTGGTGCACACCTTTAATCCCAGCACTCGGGAGGCAGAGGCAGTCGGATCTCTGTGAGTTCGAGGCCGGGCTGGTCCAACAGCCTCCAAAACAATACAGAGAAACCCTGTATCGTAAATACCAAAAAAAAAAAAAAAAAAAAAAGACAGCTGGGACTTTAGTAGGACCCAGGGCTGTGTTGTGGATGTGAGGCACTGTTGTGGGTGTATAAACCGGCAATCCTCACTGTAGAGCTTAGCACCCATCAAGCAGCTTTGGAGGCCAGGGCTGGGGTCAGGATGGGATGGTAACAAGCTATGCAGGAAGCCCATTGTTCTGATGCTTGGTCAACATTGCAGGACTTAGGAAAGTCTGCAAAGAGGTCACCAGAGACAGAGGTCCCAGAGCATCTCACCACAGACTTCCTGGTTCCTCTGCCAGAGGGCGAGGTCTGTCACCTCCCAGGGTTGAAAGCCCCTCCAGCAGAGCCATGGGGATTGTGCAAGGCCTCTGGTCCATCTGGCAGCTCCTTCAGGATGCCTGTGCCACCTTTTCCTTATAAACCAGGGAAGTGACTACATGGCCCCTACCGACATGGTTCAGAGTTTTCCAGATGCCTTTCTCAGTCACTGAAGGCCCAATCAGATGCCTCAGGTGAGATGTGTTTCATTAAGGAAAGTGTGGGTGGAAGCTGACCTTCTCACACTAAGACAGTAATAACAACGCAGCATAGTCTTCAGGGCAAGACTTCATAAGGAATGCACTTGGCACACTCACAAAGGTTATAGAGCTGCATTGTAAAGACTTTTTCCTTTAAATGTTAGCACATAATATTACTGTTTCTTAAAAGGAGAGGTGGTGTGGCCTCATACGGCTTCTACATGGCAAATGGTCCTATATATAGGTATATAAACTGCCGGCAGCTTGGGGCAAAGCTGGCTCACCGGATGGAGCTTAGCACTGTGGCTGGTCTTGTGAATGAGATCAGGGGAGAGTCCTAGGTTTTACATTGTGATAGCCTCGGAAAAGTAATTTAATCTAGAGACTAATTTCCTTCTTTTCTCATTTGAAGTAAAACTACTAGCTTGGAACGCGTGATCGAGTTTAGATGTGATCCCTAGCAATCATGTTTTTTTTAACGAATTAACATTTTTGGAAAACATAAAAAGTCACTATTTCTGCTTTAATGCTATAAAGACTTGCTTATGTTGTGTGTCTGAGCACTTTGCCTGCATGTGCATCTGTGCAGCACGTGTGCTCGTGGTGTCCAAGGAGGTCGGAACAGCGTATCAGATCCCTAAGAGCTGAAGCTAGAGACTGGTGCCAGCTCCAAACTTAGGTTCTCTGCCAGAGCAACAAATGCTTTTGATAGCTCAGCCATGTCTGTGGACACTATTTCTGCTTTTCTTTACTAATCTCATTCATTAGTATACACTTGAGGGTGGGGAACTTCAGTTTAGATCTGAGGGCAAACCAAAGCAAGCTTGGGAAGATGGACCAGTGAGCAAAACACGTCTATATATTCATGAGGACTGAAGTCAGATCCCAAAAGCCATATAAATGCTGCAGCCTGCCTATGATCCCAGCACGCAGAAAGGAGAGATGGGAGATGCCTGGACCAATCAGGCTAGTTATACTAGCAAAATTTCTGAGCTCTGGGTTCAAGAAAGGGAAAGCAAAATCAAGGAGGTACTTGAGTGTTAGCCTCTGCCCTTTATACATGTGTGGCCCTATACTGTATGACCCAACATGTTAAACACACAGGCACAAACACCACATACATATACATGCAAAAAAATGAAGAGTAGGAATTGGCATGAAAGAGAAGTAAGTCTGCAGAGAAAGGCTAGCCGGGATCAGAGAGATGGAAAAAGCTGAAGCAAGTGCATTAGGGAATGAATCCATGAGAAGTTCCGGCCAGGGCTCAGTGAAGACTTCGTGACCTCAGCTTTAGCATGTTTACTGAGGATGGAAAAGAAAGGGAGGATGGCCCATGCTATGGACCTAAGTCACTAGGGTCACTCCCTCTCAGGTCTTTATCTGATAGGATCTTGCCCACGACACAAGCATGATGCTCACATGCAAGTACTCTTGGAGGTTTGTTGCAGAGTGTCCAGGTTGGTGAGAGCATCAACCTAGTTTCTTTTCCCCCATAGCCCAGAATAAACATCACTCCTCCGCTGCCCACAAGATTCTCTCATTTCTTGGCTGAGAGATAGCAAAGAGCCCTCTTTGCAAAAGGTCTTGATCCCCATTCTTACCTAGAATTTTTATTTTTCCCTCCTGCTTCCATTCAATTTTGCTCCAGTTTGCAATATTCTCACTGCAGCAATTCAGCGATATCGGGTTGCTGTCACACACCACCTTCCTTTCTTCCTTGGCCAAAATCCGAATGGGAGTGACATCTAGTTTTCTGGAGTCACCATATTCAAAGATATCCAGTGTCAGCTTGCAACGATATTCACCTGTAAAGAATACACAAAATGATGAATTATTGACCCTCCTATGAATGTCCCTTAATAAAATGAGCGTCTCATGTATAGTGGCATCTGAGATTGGATTCAAGGACCCCCTAAAGAAACTTTAAGAAACTGTTAAGCCAATCAGACATTTGTAATGGCAGAAAGTAAAAAGCAGAGAAAGGTCTCCATTGCAGCATTCTCGGGGACAAATGTGGGGTTGTAAGACACAGGAAAACAAAACAGTAAGTCATGGGAATTGGAGGACCATAAATAATTCTAGTATGTTAGGTAATGCTGTGATAAAACCAGAATGCAAAGATGTCACAGGGTTCATGTATCTACAAACCTCTTCATTGTCTGGAAAAACAGAGTTGGTTCTAATGATATTCTGTTTCAAGTGGAGTTATTTACTACTAGACAGTGTCAGGCTCATTGTTAGTCTCTGAAGATCTAGAATTGTGGTTTCTTAGAGTAGGCAGACCAGTGGGAGGAAGGCCAAAGAGAGGGATTTCTATAGGGAACAAGAACATTTTGGGAGGCTGGATTCACCACCTTGATTTTGGTGATGCCTGTTCAAGTATATGTGTCAAAACGTAGTAAACTGTATGTTTAAAATATGTGCAGTGGCCAGGAGGTGGTGGCGCACACCTTTAATCCCAGCACTCGGGAGGCAGAGGCAGGCGGATCGCTGTGAGTTCGAGGCTGGGCTAGACTGACAGCCTCCAAAACAATACAGAGAAACCCTGTCTCGTAAAACCAAAAAAAAAAAAATGTGCAGTGTGATATATACCAATTTTATCTCAGCAAACTAAATTTTTATAGGTTAATTAAAATAAAACATCACAAAATTATACTGTATACTATGGAAAATTCAAAAATAAATCAGTGCATTTTAATATCATTAAAAGTAGTACCCTGGGTCATTGGGGAGATGGCTCGGTAGTCTGCTGAGCAAGCATGAGGATCTGAGTTCAGATCCCCATAGCCCACATAAAAAGATGGAAATGGTAGGAGGCATCTGTAACCCTAGAGGTAGGGAGGAAGAGATGGTGGATCCCAGATCCCACTGACTGACAGACTGTTGAATGCTAGATTCAGTGAGAGACCTGGGGAGTCGTGAAGAAAGACACTGACATGTGACTTCCTCATGGGTATGTGTGTGTGTCTCCCTTTTCCTCGGGGCCTTTTGGCCACCAGTCCACAAGGACAAGGGGCAGAAGTGATGACACAGAGCTTTGTACCGCCTGTGAGCATGATGGAGGCAACCCTCTGGGAGATGACTTCAGTGAATCAGATCGACTTTATTCCAACGTGTAGGGAACATATAGGATTTGGAACAGCAGTTGGGGGATCACCTAATTTCCATTAAACAACACGCTCCTAGTATATCTTAGTTACTCTCTTTGGAAGCACGGTCCTATTGTAATCCTCCTAGCACAATGTCTAATTACCATATAGGCTGCAGGGGGACAGCTTCTGCAGGGAACTGTGTCCAGGGTCACACTAGAGATAGGTCAGGTATCTGAGACTTAGAGACATTCTCCAAATAAGGTCAGGTAGAGAACAGGTCAGGGGAGGGGTGGGGGATGGGGGATCATCCATGTTGTTGAGCTTAGAAAACTGCCAGGCCAAGGTAGACTGCAACCTCTGACCAGCAGGATCTTCCAGCAGATATGTATACACTTGCACAACATTTGCATACACACACACACACACACACACACACACACACACACACACACACACTAGAATGCCATGGGGTGAATTTCCCATTTTGGAATATGAGCCATCGGGCTTCTTGTGGACAGCCCACCCCCATCCCCTGCTCCGTGTTCTCTGAGCACGCCATTCACATCCTCCCACGAGACTCAGGTCAGAAACACACCTGCATCTTGCTTCGTGAAGTTATAAATGGTGAGGCGGGAGACCAAGCTCATGTTGTTGAGGACGGAGGTGTGGATGGAGAATCTGCCACCACTCTGGATCTCCAAGCGTTTTTCTCCATGGTACCAAGAAGCGTTGGAGGACACGATCTCACTTTCACACTCCAGAATCACGCTGTCTCCTTCAAAGATGACTTCTGGGGTAACGGTGAACTTCGTTTCATCTAGGAATTAAAAGAAAAAGTGTGAGGGTTATACAGCAATGAATGCAAACCACGGAACCGACTCTCCAGACTTGGCCTCTCCAGGGCTCTTGGGGGGCTCTTCTCGGCATCTTCCTATCACAATCCTGCCCATAGGCTCCACCTACCACTCTTTGAGTGACAGTGCTCCCATTGCCTGCTGATTCTCCAGAGCCCATGTCTGGACCCCACTGGGAGAGAGTGGAGATTCTCCACCACTATTTTAAATGATCTGGAAGAGCAGCTTGGAAGCCTCCCCATGCATCAGAACCATCCAGGGTTAAGGTGTTGGTGAAGTACAGATGGGTCTCTGCAGGGCTAGTGTGATGCAGATGAGCTGAGACCCACCCTCTAGAACAACAATGGACCCTATGTAGTGTCAGCACCTGCCATTGTCATTCCCCCAGCAACCACCGTGGTAGCCTTACATTTATGGATCTTTTGAATATATGAACATGGAAAATGTGCAGGGTCTCTGTTACAAAGCCCTGTTCCCTTCTTCCTGACTCTCCAGCTGTTGGATGTTAGTCAACGAGGGGCAGGTGTCACCCAGTGCTCCAGGCCTCCATAATAAGAAATATCAACAAGATTTCCCAAGGCTTCATCCTCTCCCTCAATATTTTTAATATACAAAGTATTATATTTAAATATGTCATTCTTTTGTTTGGTCTGTTTTAAGACAGTGTTTCTCTATGGAGCCCTGACTGTCCTGGAACTCGCTCTGTAGACCAAGCTAGCTTCGAACTCATAGAGATCCTCCTGCCTCTGCCTACTGAGTGCTGGGATTAAAGGTGTGAGCCATCATGTCTGGCCCATTATGGCATTTTGAAAAATTTTTTTTTGTTGAGTCTCCTCTTCCCACCTTCCCTCTCACTTGCCACTTCCACCCCTCCGCCCCTGGGGGGTTCCTTTCTGCTTTCTTGTCACACACGAAAAGTTCAATTTTTGTTATTCTGAGTCTGGTTCACCTGGCTTTGTATTTTCCAAATTCACCTATTTCCCTAGAATTTTTTATAATTTTATTTTTCTTGACAGCCTCGGAAAATTCCATTGCACATACACACTGAGTTTCCATCACCTGTTTGTTTGTTGGCAGGCTGATTCTGTTTCCTTGGTGTTGTGACTACCGCAGCAGCACACACAGATACGCAAATACCTCAGTGTTGGGTTTCCTAGGTCTCATTAGCAGCGTCACCATGCCTACCCCAAATGAACATGTGTGATGATGAAGTTAAGTTGCACTTACTGCTCGGCGTTCCTTGGAAGGAGTTGTAGTCCATTCTGTAAGTTTGGTTGAGGCTCTGCGTGACTTGCTTGTGGGCCTTGTGAATTGATCCAGGCAGTGGTGCCGATTTTAACTGGACCTCATAGTTCACAACCACACTGCCTTTGCTGCACGGAGACCACCCATTTCAGTAAAGCAGTAATTGATCTAGGAGAGTCTAGATCCTTGTGGCTTATTGCATGGAAAAGCAAAATAGCAGAAACCGACTGGGTACTATTATCTTCAAGGAATTGCTGAAATAAGCCTGTCTTCAAATGTTAATGGACAGCCCAAGGCAAGACTCACCCAGGAATATAGATGAGAAAAGTGATCAGATGGGGAACAGTGAGCCAGAACCCACAAAGTTTCCAGGCTCCAGGGGAGCCCTTCAAGGCACACCAGAAAACCCTGCAATCCTGTCTACCCAGCAGAATCTTCTAGTAATGTCTTTAACACTACTGTCTGATATGATTCCACTTTAACATTTCCAACTCTCAGAACTACAGATGTATTTCTGTTTGCAAAATTCCTGCATGCATGAGATGAACACACGTTTGTGTTTCCTTATTGCTAAAGAGGTTCATCTGAAAGGGCAGGGGCACATCATGGTGTTCCTTTTTCCAGTTCACCACTGTGTTCTGGTAAAGCTCTCACCTCTACCAGGCTGCTCCCGAGGAGCACCCCACATGATAGCCCAAGGATGTTTTGTCTCCTTTCCTGGTATATTGGTTTCTGCCCTCATAGAAAAATGAGCAAATTACATCATTCTTACGTGAACTGTGTCACAGTCACCGATCTGAATCCTGGTAAAGTTTTGTAACCCTCTCGGAACTGGAAAATAAAACAAGAGCAGGACCGTGTATCAGAGATGGCTGCACGGTACCAAGGGTTTACATGTACTCTTTATTAACCTGGGTATGGCTTTATTTTATGCATTTTGTGAATAGTGGCATTGGCAGGGCTTTGAGGGAGTTTGAATTTCTAACCACCTGTGTCTGTCATTAGAGAAGCAGACAAAAGATGAAGCACACAAAAGGATTGCTGGGGGAAATACAGGAGAAAGTGTCGAGAGGCTATGGGGGAAGGTAAGGAGAGAGAGAGAGAGAGAGAGAGAGAGAGAGAGAGAGAGAGAGAGAGAGAGAGAGAGAGAGAGAGAGAGATCAAACTCTTAAGTGGAAGAGAAAAGGGAGGAAGGTAGTCTGAAAGGGTCCCACACAAAGCCTGACCATGTCTTCACAAAGATCTTCCAAGGACATTTGCATGTCTTTCTAGGAGTCCCCATGCTTGCCAGGCCCACAGTGCTTGTGTGCATTCTGAGTTAAGGAACAGAAACAAGCTCCTAAGTGTCAGAGGCAGCACTGGGGGCTACTTACTTAACCATAGCCAGAGAGTTGGGGGTCAGGAACACCCTCCTGGCCGCCATCACAATTGTTCCCCACTCTAACGCCACTGTGATTTTGGTGAAACCAGTTTCAGTTTTGAAGATGTGTCCATATTGTCTTCTGAATATCAACTCCACAATAGGTCCTGGCTGATCCAGGTATCGTAGTTAGCTTTAAGTGTCACTTGCTACCACCTGGAATCACCTGAGAAGACAGTCTCTGTTGGTGGAATGCGTAGGTCATGTTGGCTTATGGACATATCTGTGAGGGATTGTCTTGATTGTTAACTAGTGTAGGAAGACCCAGCCCACTGTGGGCGGTGTCATTCCACAGGCAGAGGGTCTAGAGCTACATGAGACAGGAGCAAGCCTGATGAAAGCTAGCAGCAAGAAACAGGTAGCATGAGTGTATGTATTCATTCCTCTTTTGACTGTGGTTATGATATGACTAGCTGCTTGAGTCCCTGCCTTTACTTCCCCAAAATGACAGAGTGTGGCCTGCAATTTTAAGACAGATAAGCTCTTCACCTAAATTGCTTCACCTAAATTGTGTCAGAGTGCTTTATCTTAGCAACAGAAATGAAACTAGGACACCCAGAAGTCTCCATGTGTAGTAGGTCTAGTAGCTGGGTGAGTAGACCTCAATGGCTATTATGTAATCCAACCTTTCCTTAAAAGTACAGAATTCAGTGACTGGTCTGCTATGTAGAACTATCATATGCCAGAGATGAAAATCAGTTGTCCCAGGGAACTGTAGAATAAATATTCCGTCAAAGCACCATGAAAAAGTCACCATTTTTGTGGCATACTGGAATAGACAGAAACTTCTTCTGTCCTGAGGCAGGAGCCTGGCTGTACCAGGAATTATGGGAAGTAATTTTCTCAGCCCATGTATAATAGTATTCACCACACCAGTTAGGAAGCAGTGTTTGAAATGAATTAGCTCAAACAAACCATTTACCTTTAAATGGCTTAATCTAATCTCAAGCACCATACAGTTGCATCTGGGAGACAGTTAACACTTGAAGAGACTTCTCTGCTTTTACCTCAGTAACTATAAACCATCCCTAGAGTGATTGCCTAGTGACCTCTAGGGTAGAGAAGTTTGAAACTCTCTGAGCTCAGCCTTGAGCTGGACTGCCCAGTGATGTTAGGATTCTTATCTTATGTAGGATCTGCCTATTTGGGTGGCGGGGTTGGGGGTGCAGTACCATCTGCTAGGCAGAGTGTTCTGAGCTATACAAGACAGGAGAATGCAGGAGCAGATGGGAAGTGGGGGGAAAGTGGGGGGAGCCAGAGGAGAGGAGGGAGGGGGAACAGGGATTGGAATATAAAAATAAATTAATTAAAAAAGAAAGAGAAAGAGAAAGAAAAAAGAAGGGAGGGAAGGAAGGAAGGAAGGAAGGAAGGAAGGAAGGAAGGAAGGAAGGAAGGAAAAGACAGGAAAATGCTAGAACGCCTCTTCTGGATCAGGCTGCCAAGCCTATGAGTTGATTTTTAATGAAGTGATGCCACTAAATGTTATAGGAAACGTTTTTACTTAGGGAAGAGGTTCTACTTATTGGCCAAGGTGATACCCTTGTTCTCGGAATGCTATTTGATTTAAGTACTTCTCAATTCTCTTTCTCAGATGGGTTTGCATGACTTCAAATCCTTCCACCTAGATTGTAAACACCCTGTCCTCTGGAATGGGCCTGACTTGTTCTGCCTAAGCAGTGCCTTGGGCAAGAAACAGCCCCAAACCTACCGCTCTTTCCAGGTCAGTCTTGTAGGACCTATAGAGGGCGGAGGACGAGTTCTTGAGGTCTTCTTGAAATCCTATGTTCAGTCTGACTTTGATTTTTAAGGTGATATATGCTGGAAAAACACAGGGCAAAATGTCACTGTTTGAGTACAGACAATACAGAAAGACATTACTTGAGGTAAAGTCGAATACCCATTCAACTGATCTTCAAAGAACAATTGCATACCGTCTGGGAGCTGGCAGAAAGGTCCCTGGGGAGGAAGTCCTTTCAAACAACTGCAGGAGCGGCCTGACAGGGCACCATCATGCTCTTGACAAGTGAGACTGTGGAGACACCTTTCCCGAGGCCACACATAGCCTTTCTCACAGGAGCACAGAAGGTCATTTCCAGCAGGCTTGCAGACTGCCATCAACCAAAAGAGAGGAGAGACAGGATGGTCACCGCCCTTATATTTGCTGATTGCAAGCGTCTATACTTGCAGCATGGGTCTTTCCTAGCTCAGTTCCACATTGACCTTCTGGAAAGTTCAACAGAATGGCATGAGATTCAAAAAGGCGTAGGTGAGGTCATCTGAAAGGTGACTATTGAGTGGCTGCAGACGGTTGAATCCTTCTTTGGATAGACATGTTTTATATTACACTGCCACTAGCTGTCTATGATGAGCGGATCCCTTGGTGTAGTACAGTGGTTCTCAATCTGTGGGTCACAACCCCTTAGGAAAACCTCTAGCTCCCCCCAAAAAATTACAATTCATAATAGCAACAAAAAGTGTGGTTTGGGGTTACCACAACATGAGGAACCGTATTAAAGGTCGCAGTGTTAGGAAGGTTGAGAATCATTGTTACAGAGTAAGGAGCAGCCAGCTTCCAAGACGACTGTTGAGCATCTCCGCCTCTAGGAATCCACAGCCTTTTGAGGTGTCCTCTTACAGAACATGGTAAAAGTGATGGTATCATTTAGCATATCCTCTCTCTCTCTCTCTCTCTCTCTCTCTCTCTCTCTCTCTCTCTCTGCCTCTCTCTCTTCTCCTTCCCTCCCTCTCTTTCCCTTTGGGGGAGTTGGCTGCGTGGCACAAAGACCTGTCAGGAAGAGACTGACATGGTAAAGAATTAACATCTCTAAACAGTAACTGCTTGGGAACTGTAGTCTGCCAAGAACCACCTGGTGAACTAGAAAGTGGGTTTTCCAGTCCAGTAGGGCCTTCAGGTCAGAGCTCTTAAACTAGAACCACCCTCCCCAGCTCCTACTCTAGGATTCAAGACCCCCAGGAACTTCAAGATAGTACATGGTCCTATAGTGCTAAGAGTAATCTGTTACATCGATATAAATCACAAATGCAGAATGCAAATAAATGCACTTTACATTTCAAGTCAAAAGAACAGCTTAAATGGACTCTGAACTCACTGGAGACATTAAAAAAGGAAGGAAACAGAGACCTGTGAATCAGTTTCTAAAGTTAGACCAAAGAGATGTCTTTAGAAGATGCTCTGCAGATGGGTGACCATGGGATGCTACTCAAAAGAAAGTCATCAAACAGTTTCCAAGCTACAATGATGCTTTCCAATTAACAGAACTTTCATAGGACAAAGGGCAGCCTCATCTACAGGACACCAAGTCTTTGGGGATGGTGCCCTGAGACAAAGGGGAAATGGTGAATTTTAGCAGAGAGTTCTCAAACACGAAGTCCAATAATGATCTGGGAGAATTTTGCCTAATGTCTTGCTTCTGGTTCAGTTATGTGCCTGGTTCCTATTTCCTGACCTATGACACCCCAAAGAAAAGAAGTTTTCCCTTATAACATACTGAGCTCCTCCCTGCTGCACCCACAGAGGGAAAGGATCCAGTAATTTGTCAGGAAGGGTCTGTCCATATCTTGGGGATCATTTTATCACAAAAACCAATGAAATCTCTAGTCATCATTTAAAAATAAGGTGACAACTGGCTGGGAAATTTTACTGCTAGCAAGTTCATTCTGGGAGGTGTGGGGTCATAAAATCACACAGTCCTTACACTTGGCTCCGGTGTTTAATTTGATATAAAAGACAGCAGTCTGCCTTTCTCCCTATATGCTCAGTCATCCATTCTCGAGCAATGCGAGTTTCACTCACCTGTTGTCACCGCTATGCTCACGATGTCAGTGGCTGGAACAGTGCTGTTTCCTTGAATTGGAAAACTGAGGCTGTTCAAGTGAGTTTTGACAGACTCCAGGAAGGAGATGTTTTCAAAACTGATCTCAATATCCACGGTGTATTCTTCCTCCACGGGACCACCCACTGCAGCTGAAACAAAAGTGCATGAAGACTAGAGCGTTTGCGGAGGCAGGAGAGAGATCCTGGTGGATGCCACAGCATTGAAAGCCAGTGGTACAGTAATGTAGACACGGGCACTGCAGCCCATAAGGATTACTAATGGGTCCTTTTAGAAAAAAAAATCTATCTACTCTACTCTCTCCCAACTACTACCCTCAACCTTGATGTCCAAGGGCCAAAGGCCATGTGTGTCTGGGGAAGGACTAGTAGTAGTGACCTAGAAGGAAGACACTCACACCTGTGTAGTCAGTTAGAGTTCTGATCTCTACGCACGGGAATGAGTTGCTGTCTTTATGACATTGTGCAGTTTGCATACACTCTAAGAGCTGCACAGGCACGCATACTTGAAAACCTTGTAGAACATTCATTCCCTCCCCTGTGGCTAACTTTCTTTGGCGTTAGCTTATACACAGATACATAGTGTGCTCTTTATTGTTGCTTCACACCCCAAGTGTTCCCAACTTGAATGGTGGTCAACGAAAGTTTGGCGACTTGAAAAGAGAAATGAGAAAGATTTCCCAGTTCCTCACTGCCTTTCCAAATTGTCTCCAGGCAGTTCAATGCCAGCTCTTCGAATAAATCTGCTCCAATCACACAGACACACACACACACACACACACACACACACACACACACACACACACGCCAGCAGGCTATAGATATAATATTTAATCTTTGGATGGTTCTTTTCCAGTTTCCCATATCACATCATGTCCTGACCACCAGGTGCGAGCTCCTGGGACAGAAACTGATCCCTTCCCTTCTGGTGACCTCACCCGTCTCTCCTGGAGCTCATCATGTAACAAACATGTGCCCAGAAATCACTTGTTACTAAGCCATCCCCTATGTCAAGTCATACATTCACTTCCCTGCCACTGGGCTAATCACTGCTCTCATCCTGGCTGGAAAATGCTACTGGAATACACAATTAGGGCCAAAGGTATGTGCTTAGTTACTACCTCATGAAAAAGTTTGAAGGATAACATTGCTTTTTCATACACAGGTATAGAGAATATTTTTAAATAGATTTTAAAAAAGCATTCCTGTAAAATTTAAGTGGGATCAGATACCACGATCTGTATTTTAATATGTAGTTAGAATTCTGTGTCTTCTTTCTAAAGACAATTGTTTTCCTATGAAATTATAAAGTGTGTTTTAACCATCCCAAGGACCATTGCTGGGAAACACTGAGAAAGTTTAGAACAGAAAAGTCTGGTAGTTAAATACTATTGCTGGAAGCTAGAATGAATATTTATTTAGAGGTGTGAAGTACATTAGTCTTAGAATATACACTTGCTGAAAATTATTTCTTTTTTTAAAGGCATCCTTCTGTTTGTGGCAATGAACTCAAGTTTTTGTTGTTGTTGTTGTTTTTGTTTTTTTCAAGGCAGGGTTTCTCTGTATGGCTTTGGAGGCTGTCCTGGAATTCACTCTGGAGACCAGGGTGGCCTTGAACTCACAGAGATCCACCTGCCTCTGCCACCAGAGTGCTGGGATTAAAGGCGTGCACCACCAACGTCTGGCTCAAGTTATTTTTTTAAGGAACATCTGTGAAGGTATTTTAGGTATGTAAATTTCCTCCTTACACAAGTAGAATATTTCTAATAGGGCAGCTGCACAATATTTACATCTGCCTTCCAAAACATTCTTTTTCCTGAGAAGTCATGTGACCATGTTTATTCCCTCCGGTAAATTCACTGGCTCAGGGTACTCCCATGAGTGCAAACAGGATTTCCTGGATGGTGGCTGCTCTGGATGGGTGGGGTCTACAACAATCCTATATCATTTACTTTGTTGTTAGTATGGCTACATCCCAACATGACACCAATACCCACCTGACGGTCCTCCCTGGCCCAAAGCCCTCCTTCCTGTGCCCCTTTCAGACAAAACGACAGAACAAGTGTGTGCCTGGAAAGCAACGGCTATCCATGAATATCAGCACTCCTGGGTAAAGCCAAGGTAGTTCTGTTTAGATTTTCACAAAACTGAACGGAAATCATGAAGTCCTGTCAGTAAAGGACCTCTTGGGTTAGCGAGAGTCAGCCTTGGGGATTCACACTGCTGTTAGCACTAGCCATTATTAAAGTTCTCTTCCCTCATCCACCTGTCACACTCTCCAACACCTCAGGGAGCCTCAGCGTCACCCCCAGGTGACATATGCATTACCCTTCCCTAGAGGCTGGTGAGGATCAGGAATCCACAGTTCCGCCTCCTCCTCCCTCTCCTTTTCAAGGGATCTTGCCATAAGCACAGGCTGACCTGGAATTTACTGTGTAGCTTATGCTAGCACCTAATTCATGCTCCTTTCACCTCTACCCTGGCCTCCTAAGTGTTAGGATTTCCAGTGTGTGCCACTATGCCTGGGTTTTTAAAAATATTTTTTAATTTTTTTATTTAGGTTAGAAACAATCTTGTTGTACATGTCAATCCCAGCTCCCTCTCCCTCCCCTCCTCCCCACCAGGTCCCCCAGTCCCCCACCCAATCTCCACTCTGATCCCCATGGAAGGTGAGGCCCTCCATGGTGGATCTCCTGTAACTGTCATTCCATCCAGGGCAGGGCCTAGGCCCTCCCCCAAGAGTCCCGGCTGAGAGAGCCTCCTATATTGTGGCATGGGTACTCAAAGTCTATTTGTACACCGTATGCCTGGGTTTTTGAAAGCAGTCAATTGTCTGAAGAAGCCTCAGACACTCACTGCAATTAGGAGTCACAGGCTCGTCCTTGGGTGTCACCCACTCCTGACCTTGATGGAGAGATATGAATATCTAGGGTCACATGAAGCAAACTATATTTTCTACATAGATTTAGGCCTGGATGTCTGCTCTATTAAAACCTTCTTACAGTGATTTTGATGTTCAGGTGGCTAGAAATCTGACATTCTAAACCAAAGGACAAAATGAAGAAAGTGACCTTGGGGAACTGACTTAACAAGGCAGACTTGCTTTGGGGCTGTTTTGCCTTTTATATTCGGTCGTCTGCAGCTGCTCCTGATGGCAAACAGACTCTCTCTTGTTGTGTTTGTGAGATTTACTTTTATCTACTTAAATGTGAGTATGCTAGGGAAACGCAGCACCCTTGGAGACAGAAAGTGAGCATCAGATCCTGCAGGGCAGGAGTTACAGGTGGTTGTGAGCTGCCCAAGGTGGGTGCTGGGAACGGAACTCAGGCCCTCTGGAAGAGCAACAAGCACTACTAACAAGCCATCTCTCTGGGCTCCCTGTTTACCCTAAGTTACCTCAATAGAGCTGACACAGGCTTCTAGATATTGCCTTTTAAAGCTCCAGGCCTGGAGCAGAGACTTGAATGAGGTTAAATAGGCACCAGAAAGCCGTTGAGAGAACATTGCTCCGGGAAGAGCAAATAATCATGGATCCTCTGAGTGAGCTGCAGCCCTCTTGGCTCACTAGAGCAGCATAAGATGTCTCCTGCTTGGGCCATTCTTTTATTTTTAATTTTTTTGTGAATCTTGGGATGGTATCAAGGTTCCAGGAACCCCAGCAAGCAAGGCAACTACCCAGCAGCTCAGGCATTAGTATGGTACCCTCTTGTTTCCCTTAGGTATTGGAAAGCCCTGAGACAGGGATGCCAAACTCTAGGGACTGGAGATGACTCAGGGGTCAGGTGCACTGGCTGCTCCTGCAAAGAACCTGGATTTGGAGCCCAGCACCCACAGAGTCGCTCACAGCCATCGGTAACTACAATTCTGAGCATCTTATGTTCTCGTCTGACCTCTGCAGGTACCAGTGTCCATGTGGAATGTACATAATGAAGGAAAAACACCTATACACATAAAAATAAAACAAATAAATGCAAAAACAATTTAAAAATAAAAAGGAAATAGCAAACTATGCCTTCATATCCCCTTATGAACCTGAAGACCTCAGTGCATGGGAAACTGACATTCTTTGTCTTGCTCTTGACTACAAGGGACTCGGGAGGGTCAGATCACAGCTCCCCTCCTTCCGTGTGTGTATTTTTGGTGACCCTCATCCTCTCTGCCACCTGAACCAGCTGCTAGCAGCTCACTATGTTTTCTTTGTCTCCATGTCCTTCACCACTGTGTTGTTTGTCTGGATTTTTCTGCCTCACACTGCCCTGAGTGGAGGGCAGGACATTCCAGGTGTCACTGGTGTCAGACGATGCCCGTCCGCAAGCTCAGGAGACACTAACAAACCAGGATTTCCCTTCTCCTTTCCCACAAGTCACTGCCAGACTCCTAGCACTTATCTGAAAAAGACATTTCTGGAAAGTTGGCCACCAACTGCCACGGGCAGAGCTGGGTCTTAATCGCAGCTGTTTAAGCAAACAATACTATTTTTGCCTAGCAACTGATGGGAACTAAGGGTTCTCAGCCTCAGAGCCTAAGTAGATGCATGAATGAATCTTCCACCAGCAAAAGGACAGCTGCGGACTTCATCCAGGAGAAGGGAGCTTGTGTGTGTGTGTGTGTGGGGGGCAGTGATTCTTCATTGATGAACATCACACACACATACACACACACACACACAATGCATATAATGATGTACATTTGTAGTAAAAAAATTCACCTTAATTTGATCATATCTCACCTTCAAATGGTCAAATAAAACTCAGATTAAAAGCAAAACAAAAAACAAGAAAACCGACATGAGAAAACTATTGACATTGACGTCTAAAACTGAACCAAGTCCTAAATCACCCTACACATCAGCCAAAGAGAACGCAGCCCTTCCTCTCTATCACCAATCTGTCCCTCAGACTACACACCACATCATCCCAGAGCACAGCTCTGAATCCCCAGGCTCTTGTTACAGACTTAGAAATGCACAGTCTGACTTGGACCCGCATCACAAACGGCCCATGCACCCAACCTGTCAGGTCTGTAAGGTCAGGATTCCCTCTTCACGGGCAGCCAGAGCTCTGCTCGCTCCAGTAATGGTTTTGTTCTGGATGGAAGGTGTGGTGAAGCTAGCATGCCCAGTGGCTCCATGCAGCCCACTTCCTCCCTCCCTGCCCTTCTGGTTCCCACAGTCAGTCCTGAGGCCAACAACAAAGTGGCAGACATTCTCCAGTGCCAGGCCTCCAGGTCCTCTTCCCAACATGGCTTAGAACTCCAAGTCAAGAACTTTATGTTCGGCGTTCCTGCTACTTCTAAACAGTAAGAATGTTTCCTTGAAGACCCCCATGAAAATTCCCTGTGGATGGTTAATTGTGATCATCAATCTGACTTTGATTTAAAAGCCCTCCAGGAGACTCTGGGTGTGTCCTTGAGAGCATTTGCAGAGGTCAACTGAAAGGAAGGGCCCACCTGGAATGTGGGGACCTCCATCCCATGAGCTGGGGTTCCAGACTGAACAGATGACAAGGTAAGGTGAGCACCAGGTAAGGTGTCCGTCTCTCTCTGCTTCCTGACTGAAGGTGTGATGTGGTCAGCAGTGTTAGCGTTCACCTCTAGTCCTTGTCCACCGTGATGGGCAGCACCTTGAGCTACAAACCAAGAGCCTCCCTCTTTCTTTCTAAAAATATCTGTTATTTATTCCTTAACAATTTCATATATGTATACAAAATATCTTGATCCTATCTGCCTCCAACTTCCTCTCCCTCTTCCCACTCCTCCCAGAAACCTTCCAACAGTCTCTCTCCCTCTCCGTCTCTCTCCCTCTCCGTCTCCGTCTCCGTCTCCGTCTCCCTCTCTCTCTCTCTCTCTCTCTCTCTCTCTCTCTCTCTCTCTCTCTCTCTCTCTCTCTCTCTCTCTCTCTCTCTCTCTCCCCCACTGAGTACAATTACTGGAATGCTAACTCGGTGATGTTGGCTTGTTCTTGGGTGCATCTTATTCCTTCCTTTCTTAAGTAGCCTTTGTCAGATGTTTTGACACACTAACCAGACAAGACCATATTTGGGGTTTATCTTCAAGTCTCTAAAATCCTTTCCCACTCAGGCCTCTCTCTCCAGCTGTCCCAGCACATAGTCCCTTAGGTCCGGGTTTTCCTCTCTCCTGGCCATCGTACACCTCTTCTCCATGGCACACTGGTGTCTGAACCTCTTTCCTTCCATTTCTTAACTGGACTTGGGCAAGCCTGCCCTCCGCTTTGTTCCTATCTTACTCGTGGCCAGGGCCCATGTGGGGGCTGCTCAGCTTCCTGGATGGTTTCTCAGCACACTGACTTCTTTATCTGATTAATTCAGCAAAGACCACCTGGACCATCATCACTTTCAGCTGTTGCACCGTTCACTTCTTGGTACCAACCTCCAGCTGTCCTGGACCCTGATGTAAAAGTGACATACACCCTTCCCCCCCGCAGCTACCCCTTGCCCTCTCAGGGAGCTCCACACATATTCTTGCTTCTGGTCTTGGGTTCTGTGCAGGCTGTTCACCTACTACATGAAAGAGTTTTCCTAAAATACCAGCTAGTGTGCCGTGGCATCATATTCCTGCCTCCAGGTCATTCTCTGGGACTGGCGCCAAGCGAATGCTCTCTCAGTGTTGGGGACATATCAGGTCCCTTCAAATGGAGGATTCTATATGGGTATGCTCATTTACGTATATGTGTGTATGTGAGCATGTTCGTGTGTGCACGTGCACACACGTGTGCGCGTATGTATGTGTACATGTGGGAGCCAGAGGTCAGCCTTGGGTGTCCTTCCTTGGGATTCTGTTCACTTTCGTTTTGAAGACAGTGTCTAATGTTGGGGGACCTGGGATTTACCTGATTGGCTAGGCTGGCAGACTGATGGAACCCATGAATCCTCCTGTCCCTGACTCCCCAGTGCTGGGCTTACAAGTGGGCCCTATTCAACCTGGCTTTCTGTATGGATGATGGAGATCAAATTCAGGCTTGGATGCTTGTGTGGCAACACTTTACCAACTGAGCCATCTCATTAGCTTAAAAGTTTTCCAACCATCTTAAAGCCCCTGAAATACAACAACCCTGATACCTATATCTATATCTATATATCTGTATATCCCAAGTTTTAAACATGTGGTGCAGTGATTCAGATGGAAACTCCATTTAAGTTTATTTCTTCTAGAATCTTCATACCTCCTGCTATCATGCCCTCAAAAAGGGAGGCATCCATTTACCAGGATGGGTGTGCCATTTTGACAATCTGACTCCCAGCCGAACTCCTCACCCGATGAACACAGCAGGCCAAACTCAGGCATCCTCTGGGGATGCCTTCCTGTAAAGCTTCCCTTGCCTGCTACCTTGCCTTTGCTGGAGACTCACATTTTTATTGCAACTTCCAATCCTACCATCAAGAGCCCAGCACGGAGACTCCCTGCGGCTATTTCTTACTTTAGTGGCTTTGTAAAAGTGCCAAGGCAAATCCATCATCTGCGGTGGTCCGGCTGACTCTTTGACACTTCGCCTTGACTCTAGGGGCCCGAGAACACAGGGCACCACGGATAATAAACGGAAAATAGTCTTCGTGGTGACTTATCATTGTCACCATTGTTTTAGTGAAAGCATGCCTGGAAAAATTTTGGAATGTTCGAATCCTTAGATGTGCCAGCATTTCCTGCCCCAGAACTACCCCTTTATGCTGTTACCAGGAGTGATGGACAGCCAGGCTCAGAAGAGCAAGGAGACCAGCTGCTCTCGGGAGCTGGTTACTGGAGCCCTGGAAGAACTTGGAGCTGGGCCTCATCCACCCATGGCTCCATTTTGACCCATGAAACCTTCAACAGTACAAATGGACACACGTCTGGCTCAGGGTCTGCCACAGGGGGAGTTCACAGGGTTGATGGGATGAGGGAGGCATTGCACCTGTTTATGAAGGCAGCAGCTACAGGCTGGCTTCAGGGCAAGAAGCAGAAGGGACATTGGAGCCCATGAGGACAGCGAAGTGAAGGATAAAACTGGAAGAGAAACAAAGAAGAGAGTGAGAGGGAGATGGATGAGGGGAAGAGAAAGTCAGACAATGGAAGGGGAAAGGGCTTGGAATAAAGCAAGAATGGATCTCTGGAAGGAGGCAGGGACAGCGGCAGGCTTGGGACAGACTCTTGATGCTGGAGGGCAGCTGAGGAGGGTGACAGGAGCCTGTGTGGAGCGATGGTGGTGACGGGAAGAAAGGGGTGGCAAGGTGCCTCTGTGGCCACTTAACACCATTTGATGAAGTTGAAAACGGGGTCCATTAGTTACTTCAGCAAACACAGAGCCCTGTTCCTGTGAGTCACTGGGAGACTGAACCACGGAGAAGACAATGTTTAAAACAGCTGCCCCATTGCCAGGCGATGGTGGCTCACACCTCTAATCCCAGCACTCGGGAGGCAGAGGGAGGCGGATCTCTGTGAGTTCGAGGCCAGCCTCGTCTACAAAGAGAGTTCCAGGACAGACTCCAAAGCAATACAGAGAAACCCTGTCTCAGAAAACCAAAAAAAGAAAAAGAAAAAAAAGTTGCTCCATGGCCTGGTTTGGAGGCCTGTAGTCCCAGCCACTTAGAAGGCAGAGGCAGGAAGACCCCAGGTTCAAGGCCAACATGGGCAACTTAGCAAGAATCTATCTATAAACAAACAAACAAATGTTTGTGTGATGGTTTGAATGAAAATGCCCCCCATAGGCTCAGAGGAAATGGCACTATTAGGAAGTGTGACTTTGTTGGAGGAAGTGTGTCATTGGGGATGGATGTTGAGGTTTCAGAAGCTCAAGCCAGGTCCGGCGTCTCTGTCTGCTACAGAACTCTCAGATATTCTACAGCACCATGTCTGATTACATGCCACTGTGCTTCCCACCATGATGACAGTGCCTTAAACCTCTAAACTGTAAGCCCCCACTAATTATTTTCCTTTGTAAGACTTGCCATGGTCGTGGCCTCTCTTACAGCAATAGAACTTTGACTAGGACAACTGGAGAAATTACTCAGTTGGTAAAGTGCTTCCTTCAGTGTAAGCATTAGGACCAAGGTTCCATGCCCAGGACCCACATTTACAAACCTGGACGTGGTAATATCACATACTTAAAGTCTTAGTGCTTTGGAGGGGAAAACAAGTAGATCTCTGGGGCTCTCGCTGGCCAGCCAGATGAGTGGTTCCCGACCAGTAAGAAACACTGTCTCAACAAGGTGGATGGCTCCTGATAGATGGCCCCCTAACTTACACATACACATGCACATGGATGCATATGTGCATTAAACAAACAAACACACAAATAACAAAAGGATGAAGATAGGGCATTTGCCTTGTGACATAAAGCCCATGCCCTGTGTGATAGACTGGGGGGGGGGTGTCATCAATTGTAGAGTTACAGCAAATGCCATTTGATTGGATTCTAAAAGACTCCAAGCAAGAAGTGCACACATACCTGCTCGTTTCTGCCTCACTGGCTCTTCCCCTGCTAGTTCATGGTCATGGAGAATCTGGAAGAGCAAATTTGAAACATGTCAGTCAATACTGGGGGACTCTCCCCTTGGCCTCCCATTCACAGGTTGCTCAGCATCACACCTGAACACAGATGCAGATGTGGGGAAACACCACAGGAGTTTGGAAGAGCTCACTGCTTCTGAGTCTCTTGACACCTCTGGTCTGCGAGCCCTGTTTAGAAACACCAATCTCCTCTAACCCATGCTCTGTACCTGAGACTTGAACCCTGAGTTGGGCGTCTGTAACATGAGTCGATCTCCCTAAGTTTTCCTAACATTCATCTTGGATGGCCAGTGTTTCTCCTGCTGTTTAAGCTGCTGAACCATTGCCGGCTTAGACATGATAGTTCCCTACTCTGGGCCTTTTCCTCCAAGATTCTAGATGGCTTCTGCGGTCAGACTATCTGCACATATGCCTATGCCTCCTAGTGGCTATAGGGAGGTAACTGACACTCAATGGACCTCTGGGAATAAGGGCAGTATCGATATCATAGGACTGTTACAAGGCTTGAGTGAACTCAAAAGTGGCATAGGGTAAGTTCCAAGCCAATTTTAGTTATGATGATGTACAATAGTTAAAAGCAAAGACTTGGACAAGGGAGACAGCAGGTGTAACGGCTGCTCTTGGTTATCGACTTGAAACACTTGAGAGTGGGAACTTGAAAGAGGACTTTCCTTCATCAATTGAGGCCTGTGGGCACGATGACTGCTGATTGATGTAGGAGGTCTGAGCCCACTGTGGGGAGCACCACCCCTAGGCAGTCAGCTGAGTGAGCAAGCCAGAGGGAGCAAGGCAGGAAGTGGTGTTCCTCTCCGCTTCAGTTTCTGCTTTCAGTTCCTGCCTTGGCTTCTCTGGATGTTGGGCTGTAAGCTATGAGATGAAATAGATCCTTTCCTTCAAGTGGCTTTTGGAAACAAACCCGAACAATGCATAAAATCACTTGCTGTGCAAGCATGAGTACCTGAGTTCAAATGCTCAGAACCCAAGTAAGAAGTTGGGCATGACCTCACTCACACACAACCCCAGCAGAGTTGGGAGCAGAGAGAGCAGGAGAGCTGGGGTTTGCTGGCTCCCAGCCTAGCTTTTTACCGAGAAGTTCAGCAAGAGCTTCTGTCTCAAGGGAATGAGACTGAGAGTGACTGTGCAGGATACCAAACATCCTTCTCTGTCCTCCACACACGCAGGTCCACACATCCGCCCAGTCACGCACATGCTCCCTCCGCCCCAGAGACAAGGACTCTACCGATGCTACGCTCTGATCTCAGCTCCACCATTGAACAGCAGTGTAACCTCAAACAAGTTATTGCATCTCTATGGCTCTCTCCTATCAGGAGCATGGGGATAAATATAGGTTGTTGGAAAGGTCGAACGATTACTATACGTATAGAACAGAAAACTTTGGTTGTACATCTGATTCCAGACAGTGCTGGAATCAGATGCCACGCTGCTGTGGGACACTCGTCACCTGTCTGCACAGTGCTACCTGGTTCTTCTCAAGTCCATCCTTTCCAACACCCATCTGTGGTGAACAGTCCATTTTGCTGATGGGATCAGTCCCCACTCAGCAGCAGTATCCAAGCCTTTCCCTTGCCTTGACCTAACATTGGCTTTTTTTCTTTCTCATTGCTTCCTGCCTGCAGGGAGGAGACTCCTGGGATATCCCACAAAGCAAGCTCCCCCTAAGGCTCAGTGAACAAGCTTCATTTCTTAGAAGATTTCCCAGATGGACTCTACACACGGGGATGTGTCATTTCCTATGATCTCCACACATCTCTGATGGCCACACAATGCTAAGCAGTATCCTCATCCACTCGATTGTCTGCGGTGATTTTCCAGTCCACTTGCTGTCGCTCAACTCAACAAAACTCCTAAGATTTATCACTCACTCCACACCAGGACAACCAACGGTGCTATAACTTTCCACATTTCACTGATAAGGAAACGGAGGTGCAGGAGGTCAAACACGTGCCTAAGGTCACTGGGTTCAGGACTCAGAATGTGAACTTGGCTAGCCTGACTCCAAAGTCAGCCCTGGCCCGGGTGGGCTTAGGAGACACACGGGGAAACACTGCTGCTCTCAGGGAGTCAGGCTTCCCTTGTCTGATGCGTGTCTCCGTGCCCCCCTGCCTCTTCCTCCTCTTCCTCACCTCCTTTTCTTTATTTTGTATTTTTAGTCTTTTCAAGACAGTGTGTCTCTGTGTAACAGCCCCAGCTGCCCTGGAACTCTCTCTGTAGACCAGGCTGGCCCGAAACCTAGCGATCTGCCCGCCTCTGCCTCCGAGTGCTGGGATTAAAGGTTTGCACCACCTTGCCCTGTTCCCTTTCTCCAGTTTCCACGGCTGGTCTCCCTCTCCTTTCTAAGCTATAATTTTTTGGAAATTATCGGCTGTTTTGTGTGTTCGCCTCCTCCAAGTCCTTACTTAAGAAACGCTGGCTGAGGAGAACATTATATGTGAAAGAGGTGGGGGGTGAAGGGAACATGTACCTGAGACTCGAGAATGTTCTTGAACAAACAGAGACGTGATGGGTGGTGACTGGAATGTCAGCAGCCCGGCTGCTGCTTCCTCTGCAGTGAGGTTGCTGCAGAGGAATGCGAACACGCAGGAACTGAGGTCACACGGGCGATGTATAGGGTGGGTACACGGGAACTGAAGTCATACGGGCGATGTATAGGGTGGTTCCTGGCAGCGTCCCCTGCTGCTGGCTTGGCCCCATTCCCGGACAGAAGGAAGGGCCTACTCTGCAGTCCTGTTTCCATTCTCCCTGGGGGCTGGGGAGAGGCTAGCCACCCATCTAAGTCCTGAGATGTGTCTGAGGGGCTCAGACAAGCCAAGAGGAGGCATTCTCAAGAGGCTGTGTTTGAGTAGCTCTCCTGGGTGATGTCCTCAGGCTTCCTGTTTACTGGTGGGACCCCAAAATTGCTGCTGGCTGAGGTGTGTTAAAATGTCAAGTACATTTCACTTCGAATGCAGAGTATCTCAAGTCCTTGTGAGGACAGAATTTTGCCCTCCTTCCCACAGACCGACTGGGCACAGCTATAGGTTTGGGGCCTTCACCGTGTGTGAAGGTGCCTTTGAGGAGTCACAACTCTCTCAACTCTTTATAGTAACCATCTGGCACTTTCTGGACACATCTTCGTAAGGTACTGCTGCACATCTTGTCCCTGCCCACTCGGCTGTATGGTACCACACGGAACTGGGATGCTAGGTGCTAGGACCTTGATTTGAACAGGCAAGGGCTAGAGTCACATTGTGAGCTGACTCCCACTGCCCCCTCCTACTATTAGCTGGAAAAGCCATCTGCTCCTCCTAAGTTCCCTTCCTGCCTTCTAAACGGGTAACCTGTGCAGAAGCGTATGAAGCACCTGGCAAGGCCTAAGGCAGTAGTGTGTGCTCATGTGTTTGTCCTTCTGCCCAGGGCTCCCTGGGGCCATCATTACCAACCTGAGTCTTTGGGAGGTTCTAGTTCAGGTAACTGAGACTCTAACCCTTGCTTTTTCCACTAAAATTTGTTTTCTGGCTAGAACAGCTAAGGAGGGAAAATTGGTCCAGCCAGCGGATCACACAGCTCTGGGGTGTTTTCGGGTAAGACAAAACAGTGCCCACTTGGATCTGTCTACACACTCTGCAAAGTTCTCCAGATGAGGTTGTGAGCCACAGTTCCCTGCACTGGGGATTTCCTGATGGCAGAGCCTCAGCCGGAAGAAACAGGCCACCAATTCCAGGAAGAGCCCCACCTTTCATACAAGATGACTTTCTAAATAATTTTGGTGGCAGATGGGGGTGGCCTGGTGTTGGAGACGGGAGTCAGTCAGGAATGAGATGCAGTGTGTGGTGTGTGTGTGTGTGTGCGCGCATATCTGTTTACATGTCTGTGTGTGCATGTCTGTGTGTGTCCCCATGTACATGTGGATGCCAGACTAGATGTCTTCCTCACTTACTCTACACCTTAGTTTCTGACATAGGATTTCTCTTTTTTCACCTGAGGCTCACCAACTTGTCTAGGCCAGCTGGCGGTGAGCGACAGGGAGCCTCCTGCCTCCAGCCTCCCCCTGTGTGCCATGATGAGCATACACTACTACATGTGGCTTTTTCACATGGATGCTGGGGTCAAACTTGGGTCCTCATTCTTGCCCAGTAAGAATGGCTCAAAAACTGAGCCCCCCCCACCAGCTTGAAAGGTAGGGATGAAAATCTAAATAGACAGAAGGCAACAAGATGTTCACCAGAGAGTCCAGGTGCCCCACATGTCAGTCCCCATGCCCAGAGCCTGCCACTCACTCCTTTTGCTGGCCTAGAATGCCAGTCTAACCCTTTGCCTCCAAGTGGGGAACTTGGAACTACCTTACCAAGATTGCTCACAGAAGGCCAGCAGTACACATGGACTCTAGGGACCAATTTCAAAGACCGTGGCAAAGACGATTCTTACAACAAGCCAGGGAAGGGATGCTGTTTATTCTTATTTTACACAGAGGGCATAGGTTCAAAGCTACGAGGAAAATGCTGGACTTCAATCCACGTGTGACGCCAGGTTAGACATGCACAGATTGTCACTGTGAACAGGATAACTGCAGTTGCTTCTAGAAGAGAGGCTGGGCTAATCTCAATGAGGAAATCACCTCAGGCTCATGCATGAGACACCACATCTTCTGAGTAACCAGTCCCTCCTCCATCTACTGAGCAGACTGGCTCACTCTCCCGCCTAGGTTGCACCCCACAAAGGCTGGCTCATATCCTAATTAGGTTGCATCCCACAAACTGGGGTTTGGTAGAAGAGACATTTGTGCGTCCCTAAAGTCATGAGAGAAAAAAAAACCCTAAAAGGACAAAAAAGACATAGATGAAAACAAAAGACCCTAAACGGGGAAAGGAAGCAAGCACATAAAATCATTGATACGGTGACGCTTCAATGTCAACATCTTGGATCAGAGATCACCTAGGAGACTGAGGTACACTTCTGGGTGTGTCCGCAGAGGCATTTCAGAGAGGACAGACCCACCATGGTGTGGCTGCCATTGCCCCTATGCTAGGGATCAGGGGGGCAGCAGCAGGGATGGGGCAGAAAGGGGAAAGAAGAAACGCAGTCCGACACCAGCCTTTACTTGGTGTCACAGTTAATGTGATGCACATTCTGTGGTCCACTGTGCCATCCTCCCCCAACTAAAGTCTCTAGAACTATGAGCCAACATGGAATCTTTCATCTTCGTCTTGTTTACATCAGACATTTGTTACAGAGTCAAAGAAAGCCGGTAAACACGGTGATGAAACAAAACGCCGAAAGCAAAACCAAATCCCATTAAATGTGCATAAATTATACTCCCTGAATCAAATTCCAGTCTCCTCAGATTAAGTTTAATAGAAGAAAGTAAAAGCCTCAAAGACAAGCTTTTATTTACCTGGGAGCTATTAAAACTTCAGCCATAGTGATACAAAGACGAAAACACAACAATCGGATGCCCGCTATAAATAAAAACCAATTTCATTCTCATAACAACCATAGGAAGTGGGCACTACTATTAGCATGAGTCTGTAAGTGAAAAGAAGAAGCGAATTGCCTGTCTTATCTCCCAGCCAGCAATGGGCCTTGCCTCTAAGCATAAGGAGAAGTGGGATACCAAGCCCACACGGAGCAATATACCCATCCCTCCCTTTACTTAGCGGAACGCCTCCCAACTTTCCAAAGACAAAGGACCAGCATTATTCCCTGGGGAAGAATCTTAGACACTACCCATGGTGCTTTAGCAAAGCTGGTCTTTGTGGTGCACACATGGATTAAAGGCTTTTGAACCATGCCGCAGGCTGATGCTCAGGTGAAAGTCCTTTGAGAGCACATTTTCTGCATGGCTTTCCAAATCTGCTTTATCACTGCCAGCTTCAGTGTGGAAGCCTCAGTCTAGCAGGTGACATGATGTTGCGACCTACAGAGTCTGTCATCAAGAACCATGCAATTGAGCTATGCTGTTTTTAAATCTGGCTGTTTTAAGTAAATTTACAACTTGGGGTTGATTTGTATTTATAGATTTCCTTGACTGCACAAAGCCCACCCTGGGGAGTAGAGACGGCAGTCTAGTGAAGGAGAGCAACCTCTTGACACTACAGCTGGTTTCAGACTGCAGGAAGTTGTAGCCCAGGAAATATACCAAAGACTACCTACATTCCTAGGCAGCACTGCCTCAGAATCCCCTCCTACGCCATGTTTCAGAAGAACTGCTTTCTGATTTTGACCTTACCAGGAAATCAAAGAACTGCGATGGGGAAATTACTACAGATGTGGCTTTACTCACCAAAGGGTGAACAGTCGTGCTCCGTGTCGCTTCTGAAGAACACGTCACAATAAGCACCAAGCAGAACGCAAGTGTCCTTAGCGCTTTCATTTCTTCTGATTCGAGTTGTTTTGCCTGAAATGGAGATATGAGGCTTCAGAGACACGGCAACTGAGTTATGAAACAAGGAAAAAATGGCCAACCGCCGTCTGGAAAGCCACATCACACAGGACCTTTTCAATGGAGGGGAAGGGCACAGATGATCAAACCAAGAAACAAGCTTTGTCTCAGCAGGGATATAAACACAGCAGGGAGGCCGAGGAGGGGAAGGTGTTTGGGGGTGTTGATGCTAGTAAGTAAAAACAAAGGTAGCAGGTTCGGGGTTCAGTCCCTGCACACGTGAAGGAGCGTGGGATGAACAAAAGAGAGGAGAAAATGAGGCTAAAGAAAAAAAGCAAGAAAAAGAGATGGACAGTTTAGTAAGAGATACTGTTAGGCCTAGGAGATGGTGCCAAGTGCAAAGTGTTTGATGCACAAACAGGAGAACAGGATTTTGCATCCCCAGCACCCATGGAAAGCCAGGCAGGGCAGCACCATCTATAAATCCAGTGCTGCTATGGGCAGATGTGAAATGAAACGAACATCTCTGAAAGTTCCTGACCAGCAACCCTGGTGTACACAGCGGTGGACGTTAAAGAGACCCTGCCTCAAACAAGGTAAGGCTGGACACTTGATTGTCCTCCAATCTCCAATCTCCACTCATGCAGCATGCAAGTGCACACCCCACATACAGATACGCACAGAGAGACAGGAATGATCTCTTTAATGCCATCCACGAGCATTGACTATACCACGAAAGCATTTGGAGAGCTTGCCGCACATTTGCTACGTCACTGAGCTTTGATATTTTCATGTCTGCCCTATTCTATCTTAACCTAACTTTTTAAAATTTTATTTCTGTAAGCAACCTATTCAGTTGGCCTTTTGACCATATTAATAGGCTAGGACTTAATTAGTATTTAGTTATAAAAACACCAGTTTTACCCTATAACACTATTTATACCATGGAACAAAACATATATGATATTAATGCCATAAAGTATCCTAGCAGATGTGCTAACCTTTAAACTCTCTCTGCATAATACTTGTTATGTATACAGGCGCCTTCTTGTATCCACATTAATCATTCTTGTATTTGAAAATCAGAGCAGTAAACTCAAACCAAGTCCATGCAGGAATCAAGAGAAATGGCTTGGTATAAATCCTCTCTTTTCTGATTTTGCGTGCATGTGCAATGGGTATAACAGGTTGGCTCATCTATGCCAGCACATAAGGAGGCCAGAGGTCAAGGTCAGGAATCTTCCTGTGCTGTACTCCACCTTACTTTGAGGCAAGTCTTTCACTGAACACGGAGCTCATTGACTGACTCGTCAAGGGCCAGGAGCTGCCTGTCCACCTCGAAGTGCTAAGATTACCGATGCTGGAGACTGTACTGGGCTTCAACATGGGCACTAGGTATTGATAACATGGTAACATGTTATCGGTGGGCATGGTACCCATTGAACCTCCTGCCCAGCCCTCTCACTGTGGTTTTCTATGCACACATGATGTGTGCCAGTGAAAAGAGCCACAGATCAAGACAGGAGATTTGGATTGGAGTCTAGGATTAGAGTCGTTATTGTGACCTGTAGGAGTGACTAAATCTCCTGTGGGCTCCATTCTATGAATATTCTCTGGAATGAGGGATAATTGTTAGCTACATTGCAAAGATGAGGCATTGTTTGGAGGAAAGAATAAAACCACCACTATGAAGGGAAATCAATATTCTAAATAATTGTCAACTGGTGTGACAGACTCTTGTCAAAGGGAACACAGTGTCAGCTGGAGATCACTTCAGCTACTGAGGTTCCTACTTCATCAGGGAAGAAGTGTGAAGCTATAATTCCTCTCTGCATTGCTACTGATCTTCTTAACACATCTGCTCTCCAGCTCACAGGAGTTCTCACCTATGAGGACACCGGAAGGGGGGGGGTGGGGGGGAGTGCTTTGCAATCTAGCTAGTGAGAAAAAAATATCCACACTGATCTAGTTGAGACCCAGGGCTGCCTCCCACATTCAACGCCATGTGTGGTCACAGGTGCCTTTAGTTGTCATGGCCCTAGACATGCATATTGTTTGTTCCCAGAGTAAAGGTCCAAGACTAGGAAACACAGAGAGAGCAATATGTCATTCCCAATCTTTCTCCTAATGAAATAAAGTATCGGGCAGTCTACTATAAGCCATCAAGTTGAGTGAGCTGACTGATTAAGAGAACAACAGCTGGGAGATGCGGTCTAATCCCCAGGGTTAACCCCGTCGTGCTGAGCAACTTCCTGGTCAACTCAGACTCAGTCTTCCTGTCCATGAAGTTTTAAGAAACAGAAAAAAGGAGAGTGCCTGCTGATGTCACATTACAGGAATAAGTCACAGTGGTTCTCAGCAATACTTGGGCCAGTACGTGCCTGGCTCCTGGGCTGTCAATAGTGATCGTCTCTTGCAGAGTGGTTAAGTACCAGGAAAGGCATAGTGAAGATCCAGCCTGTTCACCCAAACCTGGAAAACACCCTGCACCAAAGGCTGACTCTTCTGCTAGAGTCCCACCAGCAGTCCCGGCTAACTGTGATTTTGTTACAGACGAGGGAGTGGCAAGAGAGAAAAAAACAAGCAGGTATCTTGTAGAGTCCAACTCCTGATCATAAAATGGTCACTCGAGGCTGTCTGTGAATGCTCCCAACAGGGTTATTGTAGGATCCTTTTGTAATGATTGGCTTGGTAAACTCCACACAGCTCTGCCTTCCCACACTCTCTCATCTGCCTCTCACCAAGTACAGTCATCTTGGGTTTTTCAGATGAGGATGCCAAAGCTTAGGGCTAACTTTATCTCACAGTTAGCTAGGGGTGGAGACAGTCGAACTCAAGTAGTTACTGAAGATTCTTAAAATTCCAGATAATCATACCTTCCTCCAGCCTGGTGAACCATGTTGATAGGACACCGGATAATTGCAGGTGGTGATGGGGATGACAATCCCTAGCCACGAGGGGAGCTTAGCACAATTCAGTGTGTGTTAAACTCTCTGTAAGAGTGATGCCCCCTGGGCACCATAGTGCAAGCCTTCCAGTATTCAGGAAATAGAGGGAGGAAGATGGTGAGTTTGAAAGTAGCCTCAGCTACACAGTGAGATATCATCTCTAAAAGTAAGAGGAATGTTCCGTTTAACCTTCTTGACAGACAAGCCACAACTCTGTGAGACTACTGAATCATTCCTACTTGCTTCCTAGATGCTAAATTATTCCTACTCACTTCCCACAAACAGAAGGAAGCTTTGTTCAGGGCTCAAAGTCACACTGCTAGTACCAGACAGTGGAGAAATCGATTACCATGAGCCCTTTTCCACCAGAGAAAGCACTTGAACCAAGAGAGTTTCTTGGTGAAATAGCAATGTTCGTAAGTGGATAATTTTCTCAAAATGGACCAGGTAACTGAAACCTGAATCCCTGCTTCACAGGGCAGGACACTTTATCTTCTGAGCCAGAGTTTTCTTATGAACTAAATCAACGATTTGACAGACTCGATGATTGCAAATAACTTACAGCAGTTGGCCTTCAAAAGTCAGTGGCTGTCTTAAGCGTGGACAATTCCTTACATGGTTTGCATCTCTGATGCAACCTTGCAGATCCCCTTCTAAGCCACCCCCCTCCGATGTGAGACCTGGTCCAGGCCTCCCTGACTGACCTGTGTACCATGGAAACAATAACTGTGACCCTTTTACTTTGGCCCACCTCTTCAGAAAGAAGAGTCAATCTCTTTCTAGGCCTTCCCTGCTTAGCTCTTAATGATTTTAAAAATAAAAGTACCCTCACTGGTACCCAGGGCCACCCCATGACCTGGCTTTTATTTTTATAATAATGTGTTTAATAAGCATTCCCCTTATTTCCCCTACTGATGTTGGCTGATATAGAGGTGTCTAAAACAGTGAAAAAGTTTTTCCAGTGTTCAAACAAAAGCAAAAAGTCAAACAAAAACCATTCTTGAGGGTGGAGGGTAACCATTATCAGCAGACTATTTTTAAGTGTTTGCCTGATTCATTAATCTTCATCTCATAGGCTTGGTAGTCACTGTACATTCTAAGTTTACCCACCCACCATGTCCAGGAAAAGGCTGCCTCCTAATGTGAGTCCCTTGATGCATGCAGCTATAAATAGTCGTCCTATTCCCCAAACACCTACACACACTTAGGCAGCCCTGAGCCTGCCCGCCTGCATGACATGTATTGTTCCTCGAAGCCATGACTCCCTCTGCCATCTCCTCATGAGTCCATTTATTAGGTCCTGACAAGTGCCAGGTGTTCTGCTGGGCTCGGGGAAGTGGCAGTCACCAAGACAGTGGGTCCTGTCTCCATAGAGCTTGGAGTCTAATGAAGCAGACAGGCATCATTAAAGAGTCAATTACTCAAGGCGCTCTGGCATTAACAGTTCTTGAGCAGTTGCTATGGACTCAATGCTGCACGCCGGCTGTATTTAATCTCTTTGTCTGTGTAGCAATCCCACTGAAGTGTTTCAGGTGTGCTTTCTAGTTAAGAGTGTGATTTGCAATTAGCTGAGTCACAGAGCACTGAAACAACTTTGAGTAATCATCTAAATGTAGGAAGCTGAAGTCCAGTGTGGATCATTTTATCAGGGTGCTGAACTTTCTGGAAAACAAAAAGCAACTCTAAGAGGGACCTGACCCAGTCCTGGGAATCTGAAAGGTGCCCCAAGCACAGTGTTTAAATAAGCTGAACCTGAAGAAGACATTTCAACTATCTCTGGGGGGAGTGAGAGAGTGAATTAGAAGAGGGTTCCAGGTAGGAAACACCATGTGTGAAGGCCCTGAGGTTGGAGAAAACGCGGTCCATTTAAGGAGGTATAAGTAGGACGGAGTAGCTGGACATCAAAAGATCAGAAGACGGGAGCTGACATATCCTTGTGCACTCACGTGTGACCATACCAAGAGAGAATAATGTAAAGCAAAGTTCCTTGTCCAGATGATGGGCAATAGGCCATGGTGCCTCGCTTCAGTGGCAGCTTCACACACTGAGATTATTTCTTTGCTTACT